GAGCCCTTCACTGGGGACCCCGGATCCCCCTGCCTGCCTGGACATTGGGTGAGGAGAGCAGTCGTGGGTGTCTGTGTAAACTGGTGGTCATCCAGAGTGGAGTGGGGGCATCTTTACTGCAAGGAATGTGTATGAGAGGGATCCCAGGGCTTGTCTCCCCCTCCCCACTTTCAGGTGGCTGGGCCTGCTGGTTTGGGTGCAGGTGGGAAGAAGAACTGAATTCCTGGAAAGTGAGTGGGCCCTCCCCAGCCATACAAGGCATACGACAAGTGTGAAGAGGGCAGTGGAGATGCCGGAAGTGCGTGAATGCCTACTGCTCCAGAATGGTACTGTCTACTTCTCGAGGCTCCACGCCCCTGGACAAGCATTGACACTCTTGGGCCTCCTCAGGAAAGCTCGGATCTCTGGGGGAAATTCCACTATAAACCCGCTGAGGCAGACAAGCATCCGTACAGATTAATAGGCCAGTCTGGACGATACCTGGGCAGCTGCAGGCTAGGACTTCCGTCTGTTCTCTGGCGGCAGGGCTCTGGCTGCTTCAGCACCGCGGGCTGGACAGCGCCTCCAGGGCCCTGCAGGAGGCTCCTGCCAGAACTTCTCTGGGTGTGCCAGGGGTGTCTGACCGCCAAAGAAGGGAAGGCTGTTAGACGTGGAGATGATTTTTTTGGCCCCTAGAGGGCGAGCACAGGTGGTGAGAGAATCCTTAGCAGGTTGGAATCCTTGTGGGGCGATAGGAGTGCAGGGCTGCCTCTATGTGTAACTCCCCCTCTCCTGATTCTGGCCGCTCACGGTTGGGACTTATCTGTGACCAGTCCACGCCCCAAGACCTCTGGACCCAAAAACCTCTTTTTTAAAAAAATATATATTTTATTGATTTTTTACAGAGAGGAAGAGAGAGGGATAGAAAGTTAGAAACATCAATGGGAGAGAATCATCGATCAGCTGCATCTTGTACACCTCCTATTGGGAATGTGCCCGCAACCAACGTACACGCCCTTGACCAGAATCGAACCTGGGACCTTTCAGTCCACAGACCGATGCTCTATCCACTGAGCCAAACCGGTTTCAGCCAAAAACCTCTTTTTTATATTTATTTTTTAAAATATAGTTTATTGATTTCAGAAAGAAAGGGAGAGGGGAGAGAGATGGAAACATCAATGATGAGAGAAAATCATTGATTGGCTGCCTCCTGCAAGTCCCCTACGGGGAATGGAGCCTGAAACCTAGGCATGTGACCTTAACAAAATTGAACCTCGGGACCCTTCAGTCTGCAGGCTGACCCTCTAGCTACTGTGCCAAACCAGCTAGGGCCACAACACTCTCTCTCTCTTTCTCTCTCTCTGAATATATTATAATATATACCGCATTTTCCGGTGTATAAGATGACCTCTAATTTTACAGTTAAAACATAGGTTTAGGCCTATATTCGCTTTATAGACTACCCCCCACTTCAAAGAAAAGACTTACTTTGCTGTCAAGATCTGCAGGTAATTTTTGTGCAATTTTGGTCTTTTGCCCCTGATTTTTGGTTGACTTTTTTTTGTTTGTTTCAAAAGTCATCTTATACGCCGGAAAATACTTCGCATGGGTCCCTTTGAAGCTTCTAGGAGAATCTGGTTTCCTTTGATCTCTGTTTGTCCTAAGGAGAGCCATGTGGATTTGCAAGTGGGAGAGAGTGGGAGGCAGGGTGAGTGTGTTCATGAAACAGCAGGGACCTGTACTGTTTGTACTTTGCCAGTTCTCCTGGGACTGTGGGTACTTATTCTCTACCTTTTTTATTGCTTGGAAGTTCTCTTTGAAGTTTAACTGTAGGACAGACTGTCATTGTCTAGAGCTGGGGAATGAATACCATGTCAGAACTATAAAATAACATGCGGAGAGTTGGAAATCAATCATTGGGACCACTCCACCAGAACCGTAAGCCTCCTTTTTTTGACTCCCACCAGCAACCTCATTCACCTGAACACCAGGGGGGAAACAGAGGGGGGCAGATGAGAACATGATAGTAGTTCACCTAAAATCTCCATTCTGGGGGGCAGGAATAGAGGTGTTAGAACTGCAGAGAGAAGCTGAGATTTAGCAAGGCCGCACAAAGAGTCTGACCTTAACCCCTGGACTCTGAGAAGGGTAGCGAGTAGCCCATGTGGGCTGAATAGATGGATCTGCCTGCCCCATCATGGCATTGAGGGAAGGTGCGGGGCAGTGGCTCATGCCCTGGTTAGTAACTCAAAAGCTCCAGATTAAACTTTCCTAAGACTAATGTAGGTGGCCTCCACCCTCTGGGCTGACAGGGAGCATGGGGCGATAGTCACTTGGGGAATTGCCCCTGGACAACCAGTTGCATTTGGAGTCCTAGCCTAACTTTCGTCCAGACACTCTTGCCCATAGGTCGTCTGCTTCCTCGCCGCGCTTCCGGCTCTTTCCCCGCCACTTGGCGATGTGCGAGGTGCGGCGGGCCCAGGTCCGGACTTACTCCTGCCTGCGCGGTGAAGACAGTCTTGTCTTCCCCGCAAGATCCGGCGCGACCGCTGCTGCACCAGGGCCGATCTCTACCTGGAGCGCCCTCTGGCGGTGATGGGCGTCAGGCCTGGGCATCCCCGAGCGACTCCTAGGCGTTAGCCCCAGGATTGGCTTGCCTGAAATGCGCTGGACAGCGCCTGCCAGGGCCCGTATCTCTGAAAACCAGGATTATTACCTCGCCTTTCCATGCCGGCACTGCTCAGGCTGACGCTAAGGAGGCGCGAGACAGTTGCTAGGATGGGCATGGTGGAGGTCCAGGGGAGCCAGGGTGCCACCGTGGGCGTCCGCATCGGTGTGGACATTGCTGGGCCTGGAGTCATACCTGTCATTCTTCTCTGAACTGGCCACTGCCCAGAGGAGTTGGACGGGACTTCCGTGGCTTCTTGATGTCTCTCCATTTCTTCGCCATCACAGCTGAGCCACCTCCTATCCTGGACATTGGAGCAGGAGGGGTGAGGCTGTCTGTGGAAGCTGGGCGTCTCCCAGAGTAGAGGGAGGGCTGTTTTTTATTGTGTAAAATGTGCATGGGAGCAATCCCAGGAACTTTTTGTTTTTGCTGGAGTCATTATTCCTGGACCCAAAGTTAAGGGAGTCAGTGTGGTATGGATGTGGGTGGGGTTGAACCCCTGAAAATTGTGTAAACTTTTTGCAAGAAAAGTCTGGAGAGGGCAGTGATGATGTCCATAATGGGCAAATTTCTACCGGTGCCAGACAGGGCACGGGATTTAAGTGTGGTCTGACAAGTCACTCACCTTCTATCTGGCCTTCCCAGGTAAGCACAGATCTTCTGGGATACCTCTGATTGAAACCAGTGGTAGTCACAATTGTTGAGGAATACAAAGAACACTGCAGATTATTGGGTCGTTGTGGATGCATCTTGGATTTTGCCTGGGCACCTAGTTGGAGGCTGGAGGTAGGGACAGGAGCACACGGAGGCAGCCAGAGGGGACTTGACGGTTCAGCACTGAGGACTGGACAGCGTCCTCCGGATAGTCTGGCACAGCCAAAGGAAGGATGGATTGTCACTCATGTCCAGGGCCAGCACAGCTCAGAGGCTGACAGCAGAAACCTGGGACTTGGGGCCTGGGGCCTGTGCTCATGGGGTCTGGACTGGAGCTCCAGGAGAGTTACAGAAATGTGTTAGATATCGTGGAAATAACTCTTTGTAGTGCTTCAGATGATAAACCTTTTTATACATGGTCTCCGCTTTGCCTCACAACAGATAGGGAACATAGGTCTGGATATCTAATAGATGAGGGAGCTCAGAGAGGATAATCAATCTTTCCGGGTCACACAGCCAGGGAGGGGTTTGAGCTAAGACTAGAATGGCTGCCTTGGTTGTAGCAGATGCATTAACACAGATTTTAAAAGTCATGGGGGACCCTTGTATTGGGATCCTGAGGGTTGATGAGCCAACAAAAGGGGGAGCACTTAGGGGGAGGGCACCACTCACATGGGGCAATGCTCAGGGCTTTGAGGAGGATGGGGACTCCCAATAAAGTGTGAATTTGTCTATTCCTAAAGCCTGAGGTGGCATTCCAGGCTCATCATCTGGACTCAGTAGGACAGGATTCCCACCTTTGGGCCAGAAGGCACTCTTCTCTTACCTGGTTAATCTATCCCACTATGGGCTGAGGTGAGGGGAGTGAGAAACCAAGGGTGCAAAATGTAAGGAGTCCTGCAAGTGCAGGCTAGTGTCAGCATGACTCTAAAACCGAGTCTCTTCCTTCCAACTCCCCCTGCTTCCTCCCTAAGCCCTAAGCTCCCAGAGGCCAGAGACAACCTTCGATAATCTCTGGGTGTCCCAGCCCAGCATGTGGCCATAGCAGGACTCACAATTAGATTCAGTAAACTTTTGTCAATGACCAAGCCTCATCTTTCTTTCCTCGGAGAAAAATGGCCTAGGATGGGAAGGGCATTTGTGTGTGTCACGTGATCTAACAGAGGTTTGACCAATGGCTGGACTTCTCATTTACTAAAGATGAGCAAATGGCATATTAGGGGAGAACCCAAAGCCTGTGTAAGATTCAGAATGTTCGCTGAAACTGGTTTGGCTCAGTGGATAGAGTGTCGGCCTGTGGACTGAGGGGTCCCAGGTTCGATTCTGGTCAAGGTCAAGGGCATGTACCTTGGTTGCGGGCACATCCCCAGTAGGGGGTGTACAGGAGGCAACTGGTTGATGTTTCTAACTCTCTCTCCCTCTCCCTTACTCTGTAAAAAATCAAAATATATTTTTTAAAAAAAGATTCAGAAAGTCCACATCAAGAAAAGGAAATGTGGGGCGACAGAACTGAAGAGTGCCGATGACTTGTTCCAAGCCATGCTGCCGCTTATGGACAGACAGACAGGGCTACTGACAAGTTCTTCCAGGATGTGATCCCATCAAGGAAAACCTTGATGCGCATCGAGTGTATCGGCTTTCTACTGATTGGGCCTGGAACAGTAAACAGGATCAATCTCTTGCTTTTGTCTGCCAGTAAATGCTGCGCGCCGATTGGTCCTGGTTCAGGAGGCGGAAGAAACAGCGAGCACGTGGCACCCGCCGCCAGAGCCGCGCGCGGCGGGCCCGGGAGACCATGGCGTCGCTCAGTGGTGGCACAGTGGTCTGTGTGATCTGCCTGGAGAAGCCCAAATACCGCTGCCCCGCCTGCCGCGTGCCCTAGTAAGCGTCGGACATCGTGGGGGAGGGAGTCGCGAGTGTCGGGCCGGGCGGGGGTGAGGCGTGGGTAGTGTGGGGGGCCGGGCAGGGACGCGGGAGGGTGCGCCAGGCTTGAGCTGAAATGCCCTCTCGGTTCTATTCCAGCTGCTCCGTCAACTGCTTCCGGAAGCACCGAGGTAAGGCCCCCGCGTCCGCACCTCAGCCCCGGCCTCCCTCCTCGTGTGGGGCGGCTCCCACGTCCCGCCCGGGTCTCGGGGTTGTTCTCCCCCCAGGCCCCGCCCCTCCGGGTCTTGTCGCGCCCGATCCTGTCGGATCTGTTGGGGACACCTCTGCCTGTGAATGCTTCTCTGGATTTTGAACAGTCCAAACCTTCCGCTCTGGCTTTTCTTCTACGTGCTATCCATGTTTTGTGTGTCTTTAAAAAAGAGCCGATCGTTTTTTGCCGGAAAAAAAGGCAACCCAGCTCTTTCATCTTTGTATTCCTCATCATTTCGTCCAAGTTGTGCTGGCTGACGTTAACGAGAACGTTCTTCTAAATAATGTCTTGTTAGAAACAGTGAGGTAGATCTCCTTACAATAAGGAGCTATGTCCTTGGTTGTTAATGTTGTCAAGTGTACATTGTAACTTTCTCCAGCGCCTCTTCTCAGCCCTGGGGGACCCTTTCCCACGGCTTCATGATTGGTTGATTCATGGTAAAGTTCCTCGTTTAGTTTCTATTTACTTATTTATCTTTATCGTTGGTAGTATTTTTAAAAAATATATTTTATTGATTTTTTACAGAGAGGAGGTGGGGGAGAGAGCTAGAAACGTCGATGAGAGAGAAACATCGACCAGCGGCCTCCTGCACACCCCCCATTGGGGATGTGCCCGCAACCAAGGTACATGCCCTTGACCGGAATCGAACCTGGGACCTTTCAATCCACAGGCCGACGCTCTACCCTGAGCCAAACCGGTTTCGGCTATCGTTGGTAGTATTATAGATGCCTCCCCTCCCTTTTTTCCCATTAGTTGTTTCATCCTCTCCAATCTCTGCTTTACAGCAGTATGTTTCATGCCTTTCTCTCCAACCCCGGCCCCCACCTCCCGCCTTTTTTCTCAGATCTCTGGAGTATCTCAAAAGAAACCTACTCCTGGCCGGCGTGGCTCAGTGGTTGAGTGTGGACCTATGAACCAGGAGGTCATGGTTGGGTTGGATTCCGAGGTTCAGTTCCTGGTCAGGGAAAATGCTGGGGTTGCCAAAACCGGTCCCAGGTTTGATTCCAGTCAAGGGCATGTATCTTGGTTGTGGGCACATCCCCAGTGGGAGGTGGTGCAGGAGGCAGCTGATAGATGATTCTCATCGATGTTTCTCTAGCTCTCTATCCCTCTCTCTCTTCCTCTCTGTAAAAAAAAAAAAAGCCGGGGTTGCTGGATCCCCAGTAGGAGGTGTTCAGGAGGCAGCTGATCAATCATAATCTCTCATCATTGATGTTTCTCTCTCTCTCTCCCTCCCTCCCTCCCTTTTTCCCTCCCTCCCTCCCTCCCTCCCTCTGACATCAATAAAAATATATTTAAAAAAATAAATCTTCAGCTGAAACCGGTTTGGCTCAGTGGATAGAGTGTCGGCCTAAGGACTGAAAGGTCCCAGGTTCGATTTTGGTCAAGGGCATGTACCTTGGTTGTGGGCACATCCCCAGTAGGGGGTGTAAAAGAGGCAACTGATCGATGATTCTCTCTCATCGATGTTTCTAACTCTCTATCCCTCTCTCTTCCTCTCTGTAAAAAATCAATAAAATATATTTAAAAATAAGTAAATTTTCAACTAAAGATAGGAAAGAAGATAACTATTTTACTGGAAAGGGTTGGGTGCACTTCCCTCTCGCCTTGCATTCTGGTGAGGTCCCTCTGAGAACTCTGTCCAGACCTCTTACCTGTGTAGCCTCCTGCTGCCAGGGTGAGTTTTGAAATGTAAATTGGAGCACTTCACTCCCTTGTTAAAAAAGCCATTCTCTCTAGCACATCAGTGGTTCTTAACCTGGGTGTTGTTCTCCTTAGGGAAATACTTCTTCAGGAAGTTTTCATTGTTACAGTATCTGAGGAGGAGTTGGTGGTACTTCGGGTAATTGGTATTGATTCCCATAAACACCTTGTGGTGTGTGAGACTTACAGCATTGAAGACCTTTCCACCCTAAATACAGTAGCACTCTTGCTGAGAAACACCTGTAACGGCCTGGCCCGTGTGTAGCATACTTTTGCTCCTGCTTTCTCCATTTGTGTTCCAGCCACCAGTCTGCTGGCATTGGCTCATCACCATCTCCTTGCACCTGACCCTATCTTAAGGGTTGGGGCTAGCCACACATCTTTATCTGAGACCCCTGAGAAAATAGTTTAATGCTCATTGAAGTCAGTGTGCCGCTTATACATAATGAAAGCACTATGAATCTAGGCAAGGCAAGGAGGGATCCGGACAGGTCCTAGGGGTCCATAAGTTGTTCTGCCAGGTTCAGAGTTGCTTGTTTTTGCTATACTTTCCCTTGATCTGTTCTCTCACTTCCTCTGCATCCATCTCTACCCCCACCCACATCCCTTACTCCATTCATATGCTTCCCGCCTCGATGCTGGCTTGGTGGGGAAGTATAGCCTTGTCACTAAAATGGAGATGATGTGCTCCTGATGTTTGTGTGTCTTTCAGAGCAGTGCAATACCGAAACTCGTCTTGTTGAGGAAAAAATACCAGCTTTTACTGCAAAAACTATAAAGCCTGAGGAAAACAAAGGTGGGTGTGTTGACTTCAAACCAACCTAGGAAGGGGTTTCAAAGAGAGTAAATTGAAAGGAAGCTGGGGCAGGGAGTCAAGGACCATGTCTTCATTAGGGAGAAGCGCTTCCTTAGCCCAGAGCATCAGGAGTGGGGGCACTGTCCTTGCTGGTTATAGAGCAGCCTACAGGCATTGTTCAGGATAAGAGTAATAGGGGTAACAGGAAGGAGGGGAAGGAGCATGGCTGTGATTTTGGGGTGAAGTAGTCTTCTGTAGTCATGGCTACAGTCTCCCTTCATGGGCCTGGCTGCACCTGTCAGTTCACCTGAGCTGGGCCTCGGTGAGAGGCTGCCCTGGCCTCAGACACCTTGCTGCTGCTGGAGGCTTCTCCCAGGGTACAGTGGCAGAGAGCTGCCATCCCATCCTGCCAGCCAACTGGCTTCCGGGGGCCATGCATCATGCCTGCCTCTGAAAGCAGCCCCCTCTGGTGCCATCCAAGGCATATCGAACGTGCACAGCAAGGAGGTGGCCCGTTTCTGCCCTGGAGAAACGTCCTTACTGGGCGCAGTTTCTGCCCGTGAGGAGATTCATGTTGGCAGATTTTTGTGGAACACACCTACTTTGTTGGTCCATCTTAGAGCTGGAGCCATGGTGAAGAGAGGAGTGATAATTGGCCTCCAGGTGTAACGACCATAGGGAAAGAAAGTAAATGTGTGGACTCTAGGATGCATTTGTTTTAAGTCACCAATGTTTCTTTCATTTCCTTTCCTGTCCTAAGAGACTGTTGGTAGTCACAGACTCCAGAGAAGAGGTTTTGTTTACACAAATGGGTTACTGTCACATGTGTGTGCCTATACATTTTTAAAATCTACTGGAGTAGTTGTTAAAATCTGGCACCTGGAATTTCTTGAGAGACATAAGTAGCTGATTGTGTTATATGTTCCTTAGATGATGATGAGTCTGTAGCTGATTTTCTCAATAGTGACGAGGAACAGGACAGAGTTTCTTTGCAGAATTTAAAGAATTTAGGTAAGTCTGTACTGTGCTTATTTTTTGTCAGCCATTGAGATACATTTAATCTGTTGTATAGAATGTGGTTTTATGATTTTAGAGAAAGAGAGGAAGGGAGAGAGAAAAAAAAGAAACATCAATCTGTTTTTCCACTTATTTATGCATTCATTGGTTGCTTCTTGTACTCACAATCTTGGTGTATGTGAACGAAGCTCCCAACAGCCTGAATGTGATTTTTAATGTTATTAAATACTCAAGCATGGCATGCATAGCCCTTCATCCAGCCACACGGTTCTATTAACCACACAGGATTTCCACACCTCCCAGCTTGTCTGGAAGGCCATTTTCTTGGCCTGGGGTCGCAGTGGCTTTGTGAGTTATCAGAATTCTGTTCCTCCTTCAAGGCTTTGTTCCAGTGTCCTGTCCTAAGTGTTCTTGAGCTTTGACTGTCAGAAGATACTTTTTCATCTTTCCCTGGTGCCTTGTAATATACTGCTCACCAAATTTTATGGTTATTTGTTTCACATCAGTCTGTAGGGGAGAAACCTACATTTATTTCTATGTTCCTAGTGCTCCATTTACAGTCTAGCCACTAATGTATATTGGATAATCCAGGACTTGTTTTTTAAAATTTGTTCTTATTTTTTAAAATGTATCTTACTGTTTTGTTTTTTGTTTTTCGTTAATTCTCACCCGAGGACATTTTTTCCATTGATTTTTAAAGAGAATGGAAGGGAGGGTGAGATACAGAGAGAAACATCAATGTGAGAGACATGATTGGTTGCCACCTGCACTCGACCTGATCAGGGTGGGGGATCGTGCCTGCAATTAAGGTTCCTTAACCCGAGACCTTAAGCAGAATAGAACCTGAACCCTTCAGTCCCCTGGCTGACGCTCTATCCATTGAGCCAAACTGGCTAAGGCTATCTCTATTATTGAAAGATGTCCCCTTTTTTGGACTTGATTTTTAGAGGATGTGGGTTTTAACCCTTTGCACTCCGAACCATTCTGGACATTGGCTACCAGCTACTCGACGCTACTTTGCGAAACGTGCGTTGAATTAACTCAATTCCCCGTAATCACTAATAAACTGCAATGTCATCTGAGAGGGGACATCCGAGTGATATGCTAGAATTCCGATGTCCCCTGAGAGGGGACAGCGGAGTGCAAAGGGTGAATAATACCCAGTATTTTGTGAGATTGCTCATTCAGTCCCAGATAGTTCTGTTACCTATATAATTCATGGGCTAGGGTAGTTCCTATAGGTGGGCATTATTTTCATTACCATTTCAGAGTCTGCCTGACAGGTGGTGCTTTGCAGTGGTTAGAATTAGCTGGGGATGGTTGTGAACAGTTCTGTCATCTGTAAAGTACCGTACCGTCATTTCACTACCGACCGTGCTTCAGGCTAGATCGAGCACCTAAGCATCATTCAATGCAAGCATGTCTAACTTTGCAGCTGGAGGGCCTCAAGTTTGATGTGCTTGATTCAGTGTGTAACTGTCCTTGCCAATAAGCTAATGCTGTTCTCTGTATTTGTAGTTGTGAAGTATTTAACGTGGAAATCATTTTATACGCTGATTTCACCTTGTTTATGTAAAGCACTGGGGTTAATTTGTGGGTTTAAAGACTAAGGGGATACAATACTTATTACATTTAAAGCATTTAGCTTGCAGCCAACTCCACCTGTTCCAGCTTCAACTCAGATTGCCTTTCTTTCCTTAATTTTTAAGGGGAGTCTGCAGCATTAAGAAGCTTACTGCTCAACCCACACCTTAGGCAGCTGATGGTCACCCTCGATCAGGGGGACGACAAGGCCAAGCTCATGAGAGCCTGCATGCAGGAGCCCTTGTTTGTGGAGTTTGCCGACTGCTGTTTAAGCATCGTGGAGCCATCCCAGAATAAGGATCCTTAAAGTGGATTGTGGTGCTGCTTGCTCCTTCTCCCAGGAGACCGGCGCAGTGTTTCCGGGACGAAGACCTGCGGATGGAGGGTAGGTCACGCCAACGCCAGTCTTCACCTCCATTGCCGTGGGCGTAGGTGTCAGATGGACGGTGGCACTCAAGTGGCACACATTCAAATGGTTGCTTTTAAGTTATTTATTTTTGGTACAGTTGTAGATTTTGTGTGATAATTTATCAAGTTTCACACCTTTGAGTGAAAACTTGCTCAGTGTTACTAAATAAAATCACGGTGTGGTTCTGTGGTGCATTGCATTGTTCATCATCCTTGATTCATAATTTAATTGCTTGAAATTAAATAAATCAACAACATATTAAATAGTAAAGTTTTGTTCCTTTTAAAGGAACTAAACACAGAATTTCCCCAGCCAAGATTTTAGAGCTGATCTCAAGCTGCCTGTTCTGTTTGTGGGGAGTCAGAGTGGGGGGGGGGACCCCACTGTAGCAACAGACAGCTCTCAGTCTTGTTTGATTGCAGTTGGCTCCGAGAATGTAGTTAAAATGTGGCCCTGCTGTTTCTTAATCTTGGTTTGGGAACTACTAACCCTGACACCTGTCAGAGCTTGAGATGGAGGCTGGAGCCCCAGGCACCCCTGGTGATTGGCCGCACAGCCCTGACCCGCAGGCAGGCAGGAGCCCTCACTCGCACAGGCCTGGGAGGCACGGGGAGTAGTTTGGCAGCTGTGTGTTGATTAAATGTCTTTGGCAAGGCAGCTGGCAGGAAAAGGCACCGTAGAAACAAAGGCACCACGGGTTGCCCGGCCAGGTAAGGACAGAAGGTGAGAAGAGATCACACATCGCCCAGTCTGTGTCTTTCCAGCAGAATCTGATTAAAGCCAGTAACACTGTCGGACGAAGGTTCAGGGCAGATGTCAGCATAGCGCAGCGGAGACTTTCTGCAGTGAAACTTGATCGAGCCCTAGGGACAGAGAGAAGTGGCTTAACTCCGGCTCCCAGGAGAGCCAGGGCCTAAAGGAACCTCACAGAGCAAATGCCAGGGGTGCAGGGGAGTGTGTGCTGCATGAGAGTCCCGGCAGCAGCAGGACTGAACTAACCAACATGTTTTTCAGTTGGTTAAGTGGCAAAGTCCAGAGCGGTATTAGGATATAAAAGTTCACATCCCTGCAGTGAGAAAGATGAGGACAGTAAAGCTCTCCCCTCCTAGAAGTATCACCTGTCTCGGCCCTAATGCAGCTTAACGCCAGAAGGTCGAACAGTTGGATTTCGGTTTACACTGTGTGGTCCCGGGAGATTTTACCCAGGTTCTGGCCTACAGTAATTCCTCTGGCAAAAAATTCAGTTTCCTTCCTTCTGCCTTGTTGATATCATGTAATCCTTGAGTGTTTGCCTGTTTTATATGCTGGCTGACTTTTTCCCTGGCTGCCCATGATATAAAAACACAGGGCACTTGGACCAATGACTCACTTGCTTGTTATTTTCTTAGGTGGAAAAGGAGAAAAACCAAGTAACATAAGTTGGGGAAACCCTGGTGACAAATCCAGTGTCACTGGAGGGAGTAAGCCGTCAGCACAACCCAAGTTTTTTCCAAGTGTGGGACTAAATAAAAGGTAACCCTAGAAACGTGGTCGCCAACCTTTCGGACCTCACAGACCACCCGCAGCAGACTGCTGCCCCAAAGGTTTCCTTAAACCAGCGGTGGCCAAGCTTTCGGACCTCACGGACCACCAGTTGGCGACCGCTGCTCCAGAGCACTTAGAGGCGGTTTCTAAGGCGATGAAGAGGCCCTAGAAAAGTCAGAGTTGTAACTGCAGCAGTTGGGAAGCTTAGGCTCTGGTTTCCCCAGCAGGGTTAGGACGGCTCTTGTCCCAGCCCCAGTCCTGTTCCCGCTGTGGATTCCTGGGCCTCCTACAGTGAGATGTGAGGGACCCATCCCATCACAGCTTACCTGAGGCAGTGCTCGGATGGACGCGACACCGTCTTGCTCTTGTGCTGTCTGGACAGAGTAGCTACGGGGGCTGCTGGTGGGGAGCTGGAGGCAGGCCCAGACCACCAGTTTCCTCTGAAAGCCATGCACACCCACCGCTGCGTTGGCCAGGACCAGTCCCAGGGGCCAGAGGCGGATTATGGCCCCCGGGAGCCAGCTCTGTGCCTGGGGCAGCGGGAAGGAGCTTGGGGAACGGGGAGTTTGAAACAAGTGTTTTTCTTCTACACCATCCAGTTCTTTAGAAGCAAGGAAGGCCATTCTGATCTTAAAAAGAGAACACCACTTTACAGCTTTTATCAGCTCTTAATGGAAACCAAAAACCTCTTTAATAAGTCAGCTTAACAAGGTGAACTGAAGGGCACCTGGCTGTGATCGTTGGATGCCTTCGACCAGACTGACATTGTGTGGCAGAACTTTATACCCAAGGCAGGTGGGCCTATGCCTTACATAGGCTACTTTAAAAAATACCTTGGTGAGATCTAATTGATATAAAATCCACTCCGTTTAAGAGTCTATTATTCCATGGTGTTTAGCACGTTCCCGGTTGCTTATGCCACTTTTACCGTCACAGCCACCCTGCAGTGCAGGTGGGACCCATTTTGTGCCTGAGGAACACGAGACCACCTTCTTTGCAGTGGCAGGGCCAGCGTTCCAACCCAGGTCTATCTGGTACCCAAATATCCACAGGCAACCCTGATACTCACTCTCCACTTCTGCCACGCGCGCTTGATGACTGTGGCAGCTACGTGCAGTCTCTGGACGTGCTTCCGCGTTAACCAGGAGCGAATGGCTAGAGGGTTGCCCAGAAACCGGAAAGAGTACAGTGTTCATTACAGTTCTTGTGACCTGGCTGTGCAGCGACACCAGAGCTGCCCTAAAAGTCTGAAATAGGTATTTTTTTCAGTCCGTGGCTATTTGCACTCTTCCCTAAGGTAAGGTACTAATGTCAATACATGAATCAAAATTGGCCCTCACACACCCACAGACTTGGAGGTGCCTATACCTTGAAGGGGCAGTAAGGAGAGGGCCAACTCCCACCCTAGGCTCAGCTGGCATAATGCCCAGGGAACTGCCTGCCCTTTTTATTATTATTATTTTTTTTAATATATTTTATTGATTTTTTACAGAGAGGAAGAGAGAGGGATAGAGTTAGAAACACCGATGAGAGAGATTCATCCATCAGCTGCCTCCTGCACACCCCCCACTGGGGATGTGCCCACAACCAAGATACATTCCCCCCACCGTAATCGAACCCGGGACCTTTCAGTCTGCAGGACGATGCTCTAACCATTGAGCCAAACCGGTTCTGGCTGCCTGCATCTTTTAGAATTAGTTCTGTTTTTTGGAAACCAAATTTGCTTGCTTTGTGAATCCATGAATGATATCACCAGACACCCACAGGATGGTAAAGGTAATAACTACCAAATGGTAGACTGACCATGATACTTTCTTCTTGAAATTTCAGCACTTTTTTCTGTTTGGTATAATCATAGTCAGAAAAAGGACTATTCCAAAAAATATGAATACATTTGGATTGTGGAATTCTAAAAAAATGAAAGTGTTTAAAGACACATGAAAGTCAGCTGTTACCTCACCAAACCACATAGTTCTGTAGTATTTTCTTTTTTTTTTTTTTAAATATATATTTTATTGATTTTTTACAGAGAGGAAGAGAGAGGGATAGAGAGAAACATCGATGAGAGAGAATCATCGATCAGCTGCCTCCATCACACCCCTACTGGGGATGTGCCCGCAACCGAGGTCCATGCCCTTGACTGGAATCGAACCCCGGGACCTTTTGAGTCCTCAGACCGACGCTCTACCCACTGAGGCAAACCGGTTTTGGCTGGAAACAAATTTTTTAAAGGGAGACTTATACTATCTCCCCGAGGGTTGTTTTAGGGATAATATATGTCACATATTGGCCCTGACCCAATTTAAGTCAAGGTCACCACATCTAAGCCAAGAAACACTGGGCCTGGCCCTGCCAAAGCAACTGGAAGCAGACTCGAAATGCAATAAATCCAGGAGATTTTTTCAGAGCATAGATTTACAGTAAGTGATTCTCTTAAGCCCGTGGTCAGCAAACTCATCCGTCCAAATACAGAGCCAAATACCAACAGTAGGAGATTGACATTCCTGTGGAGAGCCACATTTTTTAAACTTAAACTTCTAACGCCACTTCTCCAACACAGACTCGCCCAGGTGTGGTATTTTGTGGAAGAGCCACACTCAAGGGGCCAGAGAGCGGCTTGAGAGCCGCAGTTTGCTGACCACTGTTTTAAGGGAATGATGTTATAAATATGCCAATGGCCCTTGGCAGACAAAAGGCCCCACCCCGCCTCCAGCGGAGTGTAGTATTTTCTTACGCATTGTTTTCATGCTAATATGCACAGAAATGCACCTTACCCCTATGTAGTTTGGCACCCAGGTTAGAACATCATATTGGAAGTGGTTTTCCATTAAATTTAAAGTTAAAGTATTCAAAAAGACTTCTTAGCTACCTCATAAGGATGGTCCATAACATAGCCATGATTCCACCACTGGCAAGTGTTTGGGTGGTTTCTAGTATTTTTATTTTTAAAAATGAGACTGCTGTTAACAATGTTCATACATTTCTTCCTTTGCTTGTCAGGTTTTTTACCTTGTTAAACTCATTAAAAGCCCTGGAGACCAGCAGAGTTGTCATAAAGGGAAAGAAAGATAGTATTATAAACAGCTCTCTAGGTCTGGGAAAGGGAATTAGAGATTTTTAGCTTCCACTACCTACATAGCACCCGTATTTGTGTTGTGACCTGGTTTTCACTGAACTGGAAAGACGCTCTGGGTAAGAACGGGAGTGTGGACCCCAGCGCACCACAGGACGTGCCACCAACGCCTTGAGGTTGGGACACTGTCAGCTTTGGTGTCTGGGGACTCAAGGGACAGCATTCAAAGAAACGTAGGGTCTGCAGTCACTGATCAGAGCTGCACTCAAGGCATCTGTGGGCCTGGAACAAGGCTATGTGCCCAGGGCCCCAGTCCTACCTGCCTGCATGAGCACGGCAGCCCGCCTCTGCCTCTCCTGCTTGCGATGCCGGTGTCGCCTCCAGCCAGTCTGGATGCAGCGGGCACACTGCTCCAGCACCTGGGCACGCCTGCGTTCCAGGAGCTCCAGCTGGGAGAAGGGGCATCCACTGAGGTCCTCAGCCCATCCTGCCCCTCTCCTGAGGAGAGCCCAGCCCATCCTGCTGAGAGCACACAGCTGTTTCTGTGACCTCTGCTCCTCTGAAACCTTACCGTGGAGTCCGTCATGAACACCTTGGTCCTGCCACAGTGCACTGTGACTGGCGTGGCCTGCACAGAACTGCCCGATGTGGCTGCTGCCCCGGGTAGAGCGGGGAGAGTGCGGAGTATGTCCTGGAGCAGAGGCTGCAGCGTGGCCTCCTCGGCCTGTGGAGACCTTTCTGAGGGTGGGAGACAGAGGTCCCATCAGTGCTTCGTCATCTCCACACTTCTGTGGCCTTAAGAAACTGGTTCTGTCTCCCTAGCATTTTACAGGCCTCTCTGTTCTTGTTTCTAGCCATTTTTACCTTTTGTTTGTGGGGGAGAAACCAGGGGCAGCCCCTCTCATATCCCGCAGCCCCCTGGCTGTTATGAGGAGTCTTGGAATCCCACTGTGGCTGTGCCTTGGACTGGCCTGCAGCCTCCACTCTTGTGGGTCCCTTTGGGCAAGTGACAAAGGGCACTTGGTGCCCCAAACGTGCTGAGGGCCAAACAGGGCAGTAGGGTTACCCCCTCCGCCCTGACAGCTCACTTCCTGCCATGGAAGGGAAAAGGACAGATTCTGGGCCTGTGGAGGCCCTGGGACCCCCCTGCCGACCTCCTGCGTCACAGGGCTGACTGCTGTGGAGGGAGGTTTACCTGAGGCTCTGAACACCTTTGGCTGCTCAGAACCCCTCTGGAGACAGAGGCTGCCAAAGAAGATACCGCAGACGAGAAACAGCAGCAGAATCAACCAGAGCCCCGGGAACGTGGGCGAGAGACAGAGCAGAGCAGACCATGGAGAGAGGAGGAAGAAGCCGTGGGGAGAAAGGTGAAAGGAAAGTGACTAACTGTGCCCAAGACAGAGAAAAACAAAGCAGAATTGTCCCAACTGGCCCCAGGGTAAGGCTGTGTAAGTGGGGGGAGTGGTTACTGCTGGGCTGGGATCATACTGGGTGGAGCCTTGCACCACTTTCCCTTCTCCTGTGCTGGGGTCACAGCCTAGCCACAAGCCCACAATCTTCCAATCAGGGTCACAGGCCAGAACTTTCCCTTGAGACCAAAGTTCGGGGGAGAACCTCAGCAGGTTCAACAGCTCCCCGGCTACTTTCTCCCACTGGCCTGGCAGAGCTCATTATTTTAATAATTATTTTAACTAATTACTTCTTTCCTTTTCCTCTATATCTCATCAAATGCTTGCCCAGTCCGACTAGTTTCTTCCCAATATTTCCTGACTGTGTCCACATCTCTAGCTTCTCTCTACTCCTGCCAACTTAACAGCCCTACCATGCGGCCCCCACAATAGTCTCTAGGAAGCATGAGGAGTGCCCCATCTACCCAGAAAATAAAGTCCAGCTTCTGTGACTCTGTCCCATTGTCACCCAGGCTCACTTCCCACCACTCTCTGCCCGGACAAGCCAGTGACAAGATTGGGTGAACTGATGGGCCCCACTCACCTGGGCGCCCTTCATTAAGAGATGAGCTCTGGGGGCCTGGGGCTGTGCGAGGACGGGGCCACCTCAGTAATGCGTACCGTTCCACAAAGTTCCGGTGAGAGACCCTGGAAGCCAAAGGGGGGAAGAAGAGAATGAAGCGACTTCATTCATGGACACAGTGCTCAGGTACGATGGGAATAATTTATTCAATCTGCTCAACACCCAGGCCTGATGCTGCCCTGGCTGCACTGCATGGCCGGGGCTGTAGCTCTGGAGAGATTACTCTAAGGGTCTGCTTTTCCTGGGCCCTTTCCTAGAGGACTTGCTGCCTGCCTCCTTCCAAGGGGCACCCCCCCTCCCCCCACTAGACCACTCCTACCTCACACCCCCAGTGCTTGGCTGCGTCTTCACTGTCCTGACCCACAGCCTCCTCCACTTATCCTGATTTCTCTATCCCCTTCATGACAACCTTTCTCTAAACAGCTGGTGACATCTAATATTTGCCCTTCCTCTAAGTTTGGCTTCTGTCCACAACACTGCACCAACGTGGCTCTTGTCACAGCCATCAGCATGCCACTCAAGTGACTGTTGCTAGTTTCTTGTCATCCCCCCTCTCAGAATGTGAGCATTCCTCAGGGCATGGCCCTGACCCCTTCTATCCCCGCTGAGGTTTCCTCCTTGTTTGTGGTGTCAAGACCCTCCAGTTCTTAGAGCTCTGCTGAGCCCGGTCCTGACTCTCAGCCATTTCAAACCTGACTCTCCCACCTTGCAACCTTGCTTTCCTCAAACCATCTCGCCTCCAGGAATTATCCCCCATCCACCCATTTGCCTCAGGGGGAAGCCTGGAAGTTGACTTCCCTGCCTAATACCCACAGTCCTCTTCCTATCACAAGCCGCACCAATTTTACCCACTTCTCTCCAGTGTTCATTGCTGCCACCCTCATTGGGGACACCGTCTCGCCTGTCCGCCTGCAGCAGCCTCTCACTCCTCTCCTCTCCTCTCCTCTCTCTGACCCTATGTCCAACCTCTACGTGGCAGCCATGGGAGCACAGCTCTCCCTCCTCAGAATGCCCAGCAACTTCCACAGCTCCCAGGACAGACTGTGAGTCCCTCAGGTCTGGCCCCCATCCCTCCCTCCTCTTTTCCCAGTTCTCCATGCTCCAGTCACTTAAGCACCTCTTAGTGCCTAACCTGTCCCTAGCCTGGAATGCTCTCCTCCCCAAATCTTCCCATAGGACCCCTCCTGGACCAGCCCAAGGATACCTTTTCCCATTAGTCTACCTAATAATATTTTTTTCTTCCCTAGCATTAACTTCATACTTTTTGTTCTTCCCCAAGAGGGCAGACTCAGACTTCCTTATTCACTGGTATGTACTAGAAACAGTGCCTAGCACAATATCGTGCACAGAAAGTGAACGGGTAAATGACAAGCACAGTCCCTTGAGTTGAGGTTGACACCTGTAGTCCTGCCTTTTCTCTTCATCTCCACATCTGGCTCTTGGCTGGGCAGGCTCTTGTTGGGCCCGAGTCCCGAGCTCTACCCTGACGTTGGCCCTGCCCCTGCAGTGCTGGGTCTACTCACCGGATGGGGAAGCCGGCGGCACTGATGTGGATGGTCTCCACGAGGCCACAGGCCTCCAGCTGGCTCAGGACCTGCAAGGGTGGAGAGACAGCGTGGCACCTGCAGCATGGGGCCGGCAGGCCAGAGACCCTGCCAGCGTGGAGTGGACTGCAGGGTCTCCTGAGGGTCCACGGATGGAGGTATACACTCTGGGGCTGGGGCAGTGAGAAATTAAGAAATATCTCCCTGCTACAAGGCTCCCGGCAGCCCGAGGTCCCCTATGTGGTGCATGGCTTTTGACACAGCTGAGGCAGCTGCTGGCGTGGCTCTTACCATCCCCGCAGTGCAGATGCTCTCTGCCTCATTTGTTTTGTTTATTTTATTTTTGGCTAGGCAATTAAGTGAGTCACAGCTGCGGGGCATGGGAGGTTGTTTTACTGTGAAGAGCCTCCTGGAACCTGAACCATGGTCTTGACCACAGAACAGAGTGGTCCTGGCTATAAGCCCTAAGGTCACTACCAGTTGACTGGGATAGTCCAGCATCGCCCAGTACTCACACCTCATCCACATCCCGTGGAGCCTGGTACCCTGAGCAAAGAACAATTGCTGGCCCTTTTTATGCAAATTAAAAAAAAAAATCTAGAATGTAAGGTGAGACAAACTTTCAGCTAATTACAAGAGATAGCCATTCTTTTGGGGCTCCAGTCTTGTCAGGGCAGAGCTCAGTAAGAAGAGAGCAAGAGGCACCTGAGCCCTCCTTCCTTCCTTAGGTCACTGCAGTGCAGACCACACAACCATACATGCCTGTCCTACCAGCTATGGGGAGACAAGCCCCCCTAATGTCAGGCCCAGCCTGAGAGACCCCCTCTGGTCACTGCACTCGGAGCAGATGTCCTGCCCTTCACCCCTCCAGGGCCTTTGCCAGATAGGGCTCTCTGCGAAGCAGCGCTGGTTCAGTGTGAATTACCTCCTCCCGGAGGAAGGTCTGTGCCTGGCCCTTGCTGTTGGGCTTGATGCAGCGAATGTAGTGGGGCGTGGTGCTGTGCAGAACCTGCAGAAGCTGCTCCAGGGAGGCCTGCAGAGGGGAGAGCAGGTGAGTCAGGCAGAGGATGGAGCTGCTGGGGGCATCAGCTGGGCCTGGTTAGAGACTGCATCAAACACTTCCAGCCCCAAGACCAGGACTTCATGTGCCCTGGGATGACTACTGTAGGTTCTTACTGTGTCCAAACACACCCGTCCCTGACATCCCACTGCTCCTCACTCTGCCTCCAGGGACCTTTCTTGAACTGTGACCCTCCAACTGGTTGGTCTCTGCATCTGGTCTCAGGGTTCCCCACTTCCCGCAATCTTCCTAGAAGAGAGCAATCTCAGAACCCCCAGCCATTCACTCAGGAAATAGCTGTTATTAAACCAAAGCCTGTCCTGTGTGCAAGAAACTGAAGAGCTATGACCGGGCAGTCTGCTGCTGTCTCAGAGACGGGTCTAACGAGTCACTGGCACTGGACGGGCACCCTCAGTAGTGTCTGAGGCCTGACAGGAAAGTGCTCTTCAAACCTGGGCTCCCCGGGTGCCTTCTCAAGGAGATGATGATAATGCAGAACTTTGAAGGATGAGAAGGAAAAACTAAAAAGACCTGGAGGGGGGCGGGGGTGGGGGTGGGGAGAGGAGCAGAGTGTGGTGAGAGACAGTAGAAAGTATAAGATACGGGAGGAGTCAAACCCGCTCTGGCCAAGGACAAAGTCTGAGCAGGAAGCTGGAGAACTGGGAATGGGCCAGGTCACAGGTGCAGGTAACTATTGCTCTTCCACAGCCCCCCATAAGCAGTGGGTGAGAGACCCCTGCACCACCCACAGGCCCCTGGGCTTCCCATCATGGCAGTTATGCTAAGTCTGTGTGTCTGTCTCCTGTCTCTGTCTTCACACAGGACTGTCCACTCGGAGTGAACCCAGACCACGTCTTAACGCATCAATGCTCTCCAGTAAACAATCCTGGGAAGTGCTCGGTAAAAATTTGAGACTGAGGAGTGACCCAAACATGTCACGTCAGCACCACCAGACCCACCTTGAACTTGGACACCACAGTCAACACTGGGGTCCTGCTCTTGCCAGAAGGCTCCTCCTGGGGCTTCTCTTCTGGGTCAGTAGGGAACAACACCTTGAGCAGGGGGTCCTGGGATTGCTGCAGGAGCCTGGTCAGCTCAGGGGGCACAGGGTCCTATTGGGAGAGGACGAGAGCAGTGGGTGAGGGCAGGTGGTGTGCTACTCAGAGCTATCCACAGGCCTGCCGGCCTGCTCACCCAGGCCCCAGAGGAGGGAGTTCCAGGGTAGGACAGGCCCTGAGTTTGGGAGACAAGCTGGTCGCCTATGAACCAGTAGTAACCCAGTGTGACATGGGTCATTTCTGGGCAGGACATGCCTGATTAGCAGACCTCAGGCAGATGGCCCAAGAGGTGACCTGGGTTCTGGGAAGATATTCAGGAGGGAGCTGCACCATAGGAAGCTGCGTGTATGGGCAGCAATGATTCAGCGTGCCGTTTACCCTGGTCCCCAGGGGCCATGGCCCAGCCTCACCTTGTTCTTCTCCACCAGGCCTGCGGTGTGGTACCGCACAGGCCCCGCGTAATGCACCACAATGAAGCTGGGCTCCCGGCTGAGCTTGTCGTGGCCCAGGCGGGGGCTGCCTGCCAGGGCACTTTCAATGCGTGTCTGGAGCTGGGCTGCACTGCTTGGCCGGTTCAGGCGGCATTCCTATGTGGGGCGGGATAAACAGTCGGCCACGAAAGTGAGAGGGCTCCTCACACCCTCACAGTCTCCACCCCATCGTCCCCACGGTAGCAGAGTTGTCACATAGGCAGTACCGTGACCCTGAGTGAAGGAGTACGGGAATCAGGAAACCCATTTGGCAGATGGGGAGACAGAGGCACAGAAAGGCATTACAAGTCTTCAAGGCACCAGAAAAGCCCAAAGCCCACCTCTGCTGCTCAGCACACTACTGACGCTCCCACCTCGTTTAGGAGGGAGCAGATGCTGATGGGGCTCCCCTCGATGAGGTCCAAACAGGTCTGGTTGTCCTGGTAGTTGACAAATGACCACTCCAGGCCCTCCAGTGCGTATTCCTCCTAGAGGGCAAGGTGAGGGGGCAGGAGGCAGCTAAGGGCTGAGGCCCAGAAGGCCATCCTATGGCCTCAGCAACACCAGCCATTCCAGCATGGCATCAAAGAAGGCATTAAAGGCTAGGTCCCGGGGGCCAGGAAGAGAGAGGATCCCCTACCCTGCCACACGCTCACCTGCTGAGCCCTTAGGTAGTGAGCCACAAAGTGCTGTTGCAGCTTCTCATTGGCATAGTTGATGCACAGCTGTTCCAGACTGTTGTCAGGAAATGACTCAAAGCCATACACATCCAGCAGGCCTGGGGGAGAGGGGGCAGGGAGGGCGCGGGTTAGGGGAGAACCCATGGGGGTCACTGCAGAGGCTCAGGGTGAAGCTTCATCCTTGGCAGCCTGGGGATGAGGCTGAGTGAATATGACACCCACAGTGGGCAGAGCACCATACCCCACCCCAGGGTGCCCATCTGTACCTCAAGCCCCATTAGAATTCACAGCAGGAAGAAAGACTGAATGTGTGTGAGGGGCAACCCAGGGCACCAGGTTGAGCTTGTCGTGGCTGAATCCTTAGGTCCTGGTCAGCCCCTTCTTGAGGGCACCAGGTCTCAGGGAACATTTTCTGCAATCAGCCCAGTTTGGAGGGGCTGGGCCTCACCAGCCCAGTTGGTGTCCAGAATTCCACATTCTGTGAACAAACTCACTGGTGCCTCTGAGCTTTACTGCCTCCCCAACCTGATATTCTCTATCCAGGTTCCAACATGGTTATCTTTCACTCATCCCACTACGCTCACAGACAAGTGCCATCTGAGTCTGCCTGGTGAGCTTGGGACGAGTCAGATGTGAGCCGGTGAGTACAGAGATGTCCTTGTCCAAACTCTGGTGGACAGATGAGGAGAGGGGGAGGCAGGAGAAGGAAAGGAGCTGCCAGAATTAGCACAGTGGGCCAAGAGCGGCCCTGGTCCTTTTTAGAAGGGGTGTTCCTGGCGGGAGGCCCACGCTACCTATAAAAGTGGTCCAGGAGTCGGGGGCCGCATAGATGCTGCTGTTGATCACCGATACCAGCCAGTCGAACAGCCTATCGGGGTTGGGGAAGAGGAGACTGGTGAGAGAGGGTAAAGATGAGTTTGAGGGGTGACAGAGCTGCTTCTTCAGCAAGGGTGAGCAGCTCTGTCACCCTCAGGAGGGCCAAGTTGCCATAAGCACATGCACATGCACATATACATGTTCTGTCCCCTAATTTCAGAGGTGCTACTTGACACCCTTACATGGCATCATGAAGGTTCTCAGAACCCAGGGTGAGAAAGCATCCATAACCACATGGCCAGAGGGTGGACATGCCCATATAACCCACTTGGAAAGGCCAGGACCTCACCCTACCCTGTTCTGGGCTCCCACTTGCTGCTTGCTGGGTTGCCCTGCACTTTGGTCTGAGGTTCTGGCTCTACCACCATCTATCATATTCCCCAGGTGCCTACAAAGAGCTGAAACACAAGGACACATGGGTCTGCACCTGGAACTCTGAGGACCCCAGATCACCATGGCGGCCTGCATTGCCAGCACAGAGGTAGGCAGGCTCTCCTCACCAATCACCAAAGCTGTGCCAATTTCCCCATGCAGAGCACCCTGAATGAGGCCGAAGGCCTTGCTTGGGGGAGTCCCAGGAGCGACTCCCTGCTGTCCCCAAGGATCTGGGGAGCGGGGACGGGAACCATCTGCTGTGTCTGGCAGCCCTCACCCTGGGCCTGGGCCTGTTGCATGGCAGTGTCTGGTTCAACTCCAAAGAGGGGAGAACTGGAGGCAGCAGGGGCCCAGAGAGCTCACCGTGCGTAGATCAGTTTGGCCAGACAGTCTCTGCGGGTGTCGCACTCGGCGAGGGAGCAGGGCTTCCGGAACACCTGCTGCTGCCTGCCCGCCCTGATGGTCCTGATCCGCAGCGTCTCCAGCAGCGGGTCCTCTGGGAGCCAGAGCAGCGAGGCCGATGTTCTGACAAAGCCTGGGAGGGACAAACCTTCCATCCACACAGCCCCCTTCACAAGGCAGTGAAGTCATTGTTGTGGAATCATCACCCACCCAAATGAACGCAGAAACCTTGCTGCTAGGTGGAGAGACCTGCCGAAGGCAGAGGCAGGACATGAACCCAGGTCTTCCGTGTCCCAGTCCACATTGCCACATATGGGACAAATTATAAGCCCTCCTACTCTTGTTTGCTCCTGTGTAAAATGGGGACAATGCTGCCTGCTTTAGAGATGGGGTAAGGAGTAACTTATCCAAGGCAGGATGCTACAGCTGATGTTTAATCAAGGGCATAGATTCCAAATTTCACCCTCTGGCCTCCTACCCAATCCCACCGGTGCTGGCTCTTTTCTGGGCAGGACCAGCCCTGCTCCCTGGGTCTGTGACCAAAGCCTGAGGCACAGCCCCTGCCACCCTTGCTCTCACCCCTGGCATTGTCCATCAGCTGGCAGGGCTGGGCTTCATCCTCACAGTCAGCAAACCGGACGTTGCCGAGGTGCAGCAGTCCAGCCAGGACCTGAGGGGCAGGAGAAAGGAGACACACAGGGGGCACCTTGTAAGGGCTGGAGTCCGCCTGGAAGGCTTCTCTTCTGCTAAATATAATCACAACAGAAGAATAATAGCAGCTCCCAGCTACTGCCCATTTGCTGCAGGACTGAGACACGTTACATGCATCATCTTGGTTAATCTTTTTTTTTTTTTTTTTTTTTTAAATACTTCTATTGATTTCAGAGAGGGAGAGAGACATCAATGATGAAAGAATCATTGATTGGCTCCTGCATGCTCCCTACTGGGGATTGAGCCCACAACCCTGGGCATGTGCCTTTGACTGGACTCGAACCTGGGACCCTTTGCTCTGAGGCCAACGCTCTCTCCACTGAGCCAAACCATCTAGGACTTGGTTAATCTTTTCAACATCAGTGAGGCAAGTGCTGCAATGATGTCCATGACACAGATGCGAAGGGGCAGGTTAAATGAGAACCGGGCAGTCTGGCTACAGAAGCCTCCAGGGCAGCTGGTGGGCCCCCAGGTCACCGTGGTCTGTCCCTCTGCCTTCCCCTCTGGAGCAGGCTGTAGGACACAGCTTGTGAGCAGCTTGCTTCTGTGGAGCTGGGCTTGGACTTCCTTTGGCTCTCTCTCAGCACAGTTGGGCTCCGATGGCCCAGTTGAGGGGAGGATCTGTGACCTCCTGTCTAGACATCCTACTGTTGTCCACTCCTGCTGTCCCTCTGGCCAAGTGCTTGCCTGGCAGTGCCCACACTGGCTGTGATCCCCTCCCTGCCTGAGGAGCCCATCTGGAGATGGAGGTCACTTTCCACTGCACTGCCACCTCCCTGCAGGGGCTCCCGTCTCTGCTGCCAGCCTATCCTATCTCCTCCCTCCCGCTGCTCTGGTGGGTGAGGAGGTGAGGGAGTAGGAGGTGGTCAGTCAGCAAAGACAGATGGGAGGAGAGCGGCCACTAATGGGGATGAGAGGAGCCCAGGCCGCCTGAGTCAGCATGTCCGGAGAGGAGGGGAAAGATGGTGGGGATTGGACTTACTCCGCCTGGTGCAATTCTATCTGTATCAGTGGTGTCTGACTTTGGGCAGGTCACTTTACCTCTCCAGTCTTCTCAAGCATAAAGTAGGAATAACTCCCTACACACAGGCCTGTTGAAAACTTGTGAGCTAAAGAGTGTTAATGTTATTTTAAAATTCCTACACACCGGAGCCCATTAGCTGCCCTGGGCAAACGTGGCAGCGTTATTTTTCTACTCTGACTGTTGCAGTACAAGCTGACCCAGGCTCCTTGCCCTCTGAGCTCTGGCGCTCACAATGCTGTTTTATATACAGGACTATGTGCTCTATGCCCCTCGCACCGACACCGTGTCCCGGTTCAGTGGCTCAGAGGAGTGTCCACTTCTTGGTGACTGCAAGGCGGGGCCCGGAGTCTCAGATTCTCAGGAAGACTCAGGTTCAGAGGAGGGGCTTCCTGAGACCTCAGGCAAATGTAAGTGCCAGACTTTCCTTCTGACCTTAAAGATGTTGTTCTGGGTGGGAGTGTCGATGCCAAGATGAAGCATGGCCTTTCTGGTCACCTCAAAACAATCCTCTGAAAAGAAACCCAAGTCACAGCCCAGCATCAGGACCGGAGGTCAGCAGGGGCAGGGAGAATAAGGGAGGCAGGCTGTGAGCAGAGGGGATGGGTGCTGGGTAAGGCTCCCCCTACCTTCCAAGGTCCTATCTGGGTTAGGCAGCCAGGAGAAGGCGGCTCCCTTGGGGAGGTGCCACTGGAGCCTCTCGTCTGCACTGGCTCCTTTGCAGATCTGTGGGAAGGGGAGAGGTTGCTGAGCTGGGGGTGCGAAGGAAGTCCAGGCTTGTTTAGGCCTGGGGTGGAGATAAAAGGAGTGAGAAAGAGAAATGGCAGTGACATCACAAGACTGTAGAGCACCCAGGGTAGACACAGGGCAAAAGCAGCAGCAACCAGTCCTCATGTGCACAACCGGGTGCCCAACACCATCTGAGGAGGCCTGTGTCTGAGGAAAGCACAACTCCTCCCTGGGGAGGCCCCAGGCCCAACCTGAGAGCTGGGGACACACTACCCATGCTTTGGGGGACCACCCATCTGATGAAAGAGGCACAGCTCTGGGGAAGTCCTCGTTCTGTTTAGAGGAAACAGTTGCTATTCTAAGGAGAGTCCTCAGCACCGTCTGGTTTGATAGAGGAGGTAATACACATCCCCATGCCAAACCATCCCAGAGGCCCAGGTCCAGTGTGCGGCAGTGCTGCCTAAAGTCTGCTGGAATAAGTGGTGGCACCACTGGAAGCCAATGGAAGAGACAGGAATGGGGCAGGAGAGGTTAAGAGTCACAGGCTATCTCCACCCTGCATCTGGGCAGCCGAGGGCCCCACCGGGCACAGACCTGGTAGAAGATGTGGAAGTTCCTCTCACTGGAGGCCTGGCAGGCCACGCGAGTTTTCTCTAGGAGGTAGGTCTGGACTGCAGCTCCAGTCATCTGATGGGCCCTGGCACAAGCAGGCCAGAGCCCATTAGTTACCCATTCATCCCATAGGCATTTACTGTGTGCCAGACTGCAACCCCCACATCCCCACCAGGCTCTTCCACCTAGCCAATGGGGGTCATGAGGACGAGGGACTACTCAGCAGGCCCTTGAGTGGTATGGGACATTCCCCTGTAACCAGCTAAGGTGGGCAGAGCCAAGGCTTCTGTAAGTCATTATGCCCCACCCCAAGGCAGCAGCAGAAGTCCTGCCAGGTTCAAGCTCAGCGTTGTGGCCCACAGAAGTGGCTGTTTAACTGTAAGTCCCCAAGCAAGGGTAGAAGCCAGGAGGAGCACATAGGCTGTGACAAGCACGCTGCCCCAGGTTCCCCAAGGCTGAGCAGCTATATTTCTCTAGATTCAAAGATCACCTTCAGGGTTCACTGATCCCATATACATGCATGCCAGGAGAAGCAGGGTTCTGCCCACAGGGGTGGCCCAGGCTAGAGACTACTCCAGCCACCTGCTGATTCCCTGCCCCCGACCTCCCACCAGGGCAGTGGTGGCAGCAGCAATTACCTGTTCATTTGGAGCTGGATGAACTTCCCAAAGCGACTGCTGTTGTTATTCCTCAGCGTGCACGCATTCCCTACAGATCACACCTCTGTTTGTACCACTCCCCATGTTTACAGAGTCCTCATGGGCCAAGTGGCTGCAGGTCTGCTGGGGCTAAGTCTCTGTAAAGCCATCTAAAAGCCCCTGTTTGGTTTCTATGCCACAGGGGACAGGACTAAGGAAAGAGCACTTGGGCTCCAGCAAGTGCGACTGAGGAGTTAGAAGAACTTCCTGGCAATGAACTGAAATGAGCAAGCCTAGGCAGCCAGGCACTGTCTTCTTTGAAGGGAAAGGATAAAAACTACAAGCTGTCACTATTGAGTTAGACAGTAGGCTCAACATCTAGAGTCCCAACATGGACACTAACTGTTGCCCATCCTTAGACAAGTTCCCCTCTCCTCCGAACCATCAGGTTAGACCAGAGGAGCCACAAGATCCTCTCCAGCACCACTGTTACATCTGCATAGGCTAGAGGGAGGAGATGGCTGGATGACAGCATCTCTCCTGGAAAGAGGCTCAGGGTACCTGGAGGAGATTGGGAACCCAAGGCAGCGAATGCAACACTCATCCTCCAACCCCCAAAGAGAGGGTTTCACTCTCCTCTCCCTGGAAGGTGGCAAATCCCAGAGGACATGGGACGGAGGACACCGAGCTTACCAAACGCTTCCATGACAGGGTTGGAGTTCAAGATGCGCTGCTCGATCCTCTCTGCAATCTTGTGGCTCTCCCAGGATGTAGGTGAGGCAGCCACCACAGCGTAGAACTTCATTAGGCAACGGGACGTCCATGTCTGCGGCAGAAACAGCCCTGCGGGAGCCCTGCCCGAGTTCCCTCCACCTCAGCCTGCCTGAGGGAACAGTGCCCATAGCACAATCTCCACCAAGCGAGGTGCTAACCAAATGGGTGGATGCTGAATTCAACTGTGTCCGTGGGCAAAGCACTTCCCCTGCTCTGGGAGTGCTTACTTCTAACTCAGAGGATGCATTTAAGGAAAAGAAACAAGGGGGCCTGGGGCAGAGATGGGACAACACACTCTGACCTGAGCAGGCTACTGTGTCTTAAGTAGGAACAGATATTTGAGGATCAATAACTATTCGGTTAACTTCCTTTACATGGAATGACAAATATAAAAACAAATGGAGGAAAAGAAACTAGAAGGAAACAGTCAATGCAAGGAGCAGAAGATAAGTAAAATTATGAGATATTCTCAACAATAGGAGAAGATTTGAACCTATGAAATAAGACCAAGATACTGGAGGGAAATAATAGAGATCAAGAGAGTATTCTTAGAATTAAAATTTTGAACAAAAATTCAAAAGAATTGAAAGTTATTTAAAAAAAAAAGGAAAAAAATTATTTTGTAAAGATAAAATAAGAACTATCTTCCAGAAAACGGAACAAAATGTTAAGAGATGGAAGATTAGGTAAAAAAAAAAAAAAAAAAAAAAAAAAAAAAAAAAAAAAAGATTATTAAACAATTAATCAGACTTACTAATAGGAGCTCCAGAAAGAAAAATGGAAGGGAATGAATTATTAGATATACTACAAAAATACTTCCCTATGTGAAAAACATGAGTTTCCAACTTAAAAAGACCCACACAAAGTATCCATCATAGACAGTAAAAAAAAAAAAAAAGACCATGCCAAGATATACCACTGTTAAGTTTTAATACCTACGGCTTTTGGAAAATAAAATCACAATTTAGGGACCAGGATTTTCAAAAGCAACACTCAAAAGGATATAGGAAAGAAAAGTATTTCTAACCTGAAATTATAAAACCCAGGCAATATATTCAATTTAAGGCAGAATAAACATTTTTGGATGCGTAACTCAAAATTTTGCCCTTCATTTACTACCTTTTCCAGGAAGCTAGTAAAGAATGTGCTCCATAAATACAAAGCAGTAGGGGGAAAAGGAAAGCATGGATTCCCGCGAGGGGGTTTATATGGACACAGCACTCTGACCCCGGAGTGAGGCAGAGAGCTCCCAGGTAGCAGCTGCATGGCAGTAGCCCCGGCAGCCGCCAGGCCAGATGGGAGCCGATCGGAGAGTTCTGGGAAGGGCACCTCGAAGAAAAAAGCAACCAGATGTACTTGCCAGCTGAACAAGCTGGAAAAGCTTTGGTGATAAGTTTGGTAATAATTTAATAGGCATGTAGAAACTAAACAAGGAGAAAACTGGGGTAATTATAGGAGGGAAAGTAAAAACTAGACAAGCAAATATAATCATAGATTACATGGTTATAATATAAATACTGCCTATTAACTTAATTAGAAATCATGATAAAAGTACATATGTGTTTGGGGGCAGGAAAATAAGACTAAATCTTTATCAAAGTAGGAAATGAAAAGATTAGGTCCAAAAAAGGAGGAAAAAAAAGTCACTAACAATATCATGCTGGTTAGAAACATGATAAAAACACCCAAACACACTGCTATAAGATGTAAAGTAGCCAGGGGGTTGAGAAATATGGGGCAGGGTTGTTGTTTTTCTTTGTAAGCCTTGCAATATTGCCTGATTGTTGAACTATGCAACTATGCTATTTAAAAATAAATCTACCAGGCCCAGCCCATGACCACAGCAGCTGCTCAGTAATGGGTTACTGAGCTCTGGTTGCATGAGTCTCCGGCCAGGTCCAGCTGCAGCTCCCCAGAGGGACAGTGGGCTTTGTCCAGGACCTGGACATCTGTCATTGCACTGGCCACCTTGATACAAGTTTCTAAGATATCCTCCCCACACAAGTCCAAGTCCTCATCCCTGCAGCTTACTGCCTTCATCTGTTTCCTTGTCCATCTTTCCCAGTGGACTAAGAGCCCCCTGAAAGCCAGCTGCATCTCTGTTCCTCCCCCTGCCACTCCCCCTGCCATCTCTGTTCCTCCCCCTGCCATCTCTGTTCCTCCCCCTGCCCAGGGCCTCAGTACTCAGTGATTCCCTCATATGTGAGTGTAGACAGTGGGGGGTTATGGTCCAAAGAATCCCTTGAGAAGGTAAGTTTGGTGGAAAGGGAGAGGTTATTGCATGAGGCTTGCCAGGAGGGTGAGGCCTGGACCAGTAGCCTCCTCTGACCAGCTATGCAACTCCTCACCCATTCTTTTTTTTTTTAAATATATTTTATTGATTTTTTATAGAGAGGAAGGGAGAGAGATAGAGCTAGAAACATCGATGAGAAAGAAACATCGACCAGCTGCCTCTTGCCCACCCCCTACTGGGGATGTGCCCACAACCAATGTACATGCCCCTGACCGGAATCGAACCTGGGACCTTTCAGTCTGCAGACCGACACTCTACCACTGAGCCAAACCAGTTTCGGCTCCTCACCCATTCTTGTGCAACATTTGGTCTCACTTCTGTGGTTCTGCTCCTTAGGGAGCCACATGACTTCTGGCCCAAGGCACTGCCCTTGCCATCATGGACAACACAGAGGATGCAAGGGGGCTACTTCAATAATCCCTTTCCCATAAGTAACCCCAGCTACCTTCCGTGTCTATTGCACTGGTTCATTTAATTCTCACAGAAGTCTCATGAGTCAGGTGTTGGTTCTCCTTTCCTTGCTATTTTATAGGTGAAAGAACAGGTTTGCAGAATTGAAATCTCTTTCTGATGTGCTCTGAACCACTATGCTGGAATCCCCAGTAGCTATCTTTTGTTTCCGTCGGTGTCAGAGCTGGGAGAGACTTACGATGGGGAAATGAAGGCCTAGGAGGAAAGTATCTCACCTAGAGTTACATCAGAGCTGGTGGAAGAGCCTAGACTAGAATCCAGTCTCTTGATTTCCTTTCCTGCCCACCACTACACACTGCCTCCCCGCTAAAGCCAGCCTGTCCGGGAGTGATGAGGTAGCAAACGGCTCCACGAGGAATGTCCCCCTCCCTCTCTGCCCACCCAGCCGGTCATGAAGTGGACAGGATGGGAAAGAGGCCTCCTACCTTTCCAGCACCACTCTCTCCACTGACAACGATGGACTGGTTGACTGGCTCAATCAGGCTCTTGACATTCCTGTAGGTCTGTTCACCCACCATGAAGATGTGGGGCTTCAGTTTCTGAAACAGCAAAGGGTGAAAGGTCATGTGAGGGAATGCATGTAAGGAATGCTGATGGCTGAGATGAGGAGCCTGCCCTCAGCAGTGCCAGGAGGCTTCCTCTAGAAAAATGTCCTGGATGTAACAGTGTTAGGCCCAACTGTGGGGCCTCCCTGGTGGCTTTGCCCACTCGTCTTCTCTCAGTCTGGAAGCAGCGCTAGCCTTGAATACTTTATCCTCCCATCTTATCTTAATAGTCTTATTCTGCTCTGTATTATTTTGTTATTGTACTTTGCAGTTTGCAAAGAATTTTCTTTCAAGTTACTGCCTAAGATGTCTGTATTAGATGGATAGCTAATCGTATTTTATAGATGAGAAATCTGAGGTTCAGAGAGGTTAAATAACCTTCCGAAGGCCACTCAGCAAGTAAGGAAGCCATCTGACTTGCATTCCAAGGCCACTGTTCTCCTTTCCATCACCAAATAGAAATTGTCCTCCGTGTGCTAGGTATCAAGGTGGGAAAGCAGAGGGGACCATGACATGGCTTTTGCTCTTGAGGAGGCAGATAGTCAGTGAGTATTGGCTCTTGGGTCAGACTTCACATAATTCCACCCCACAAGAATTGCTTACCCACAGCTTCCTGAAGGAGAAGGCACAGTTCTGGATGGCTGTCCCTCTCTCCATCAGCTTCTGCCCCAGTCACTTCTCACCTGGACTATTACCACGTCTTCAACTGTTCTCCCTGCCTCCTGCCTCACCTTCCTCAATGCACTCTCCCAGCTTCCAGGGTAATTCTCCCCACAGTGGGCTCCATTCAGTCCACCTCCACTCCTGGAAGCAGCTCTGTGGACTCTCTGCCTGCTGTGATGACTCAGACTATCTCAGCCTCTCTTCCTACCTCATCTACTGCCTCTCCCCCCAAGAGCTCCTTCCTGCCAGCAAGTCTGCTCTTGCCTTTTCCTGAACACATGATGCACTATCACACCAGCGAGTCTATTCCCTGCCTACATGCTCCCACCCCATAAGAATTTATTCCTCTCATTTGAGATGAACATGCGCTGAGTTTTCTAGGGTAATCCTTAGCGCATTAATTGTATCTTTTCCCCAAACAGATGTTTGGGAAATACACAAACATATCTTTGTAAATCCTTTCCGATTAAACTCATAAATAAGGGAAAAAAATACTTTGCCCTATGTCCCTATTTTATGATCCAAACTCAGTTAAACAAATATTTACCTCTCACTTTGCACCACTGTCTTGTGCCCAAAATTCCTCGAGCTCTTGATGGACAGGGCTGTGGCACCAGCATGGCCGATGCATAGATGGATAAGGACAGGGACGCTGCAAGGAGGCCTCAGGGGAGTCAGGGGAGTCCGGAGGCCCAGAAAGTAGCTGAGTCTTACCTGGGGCTGAGGAGCAGCGTGGTACTCTTTCATCAGATCTGGCGAGTAGAGCTGAGGGACAGGCTTGAAGGGGTTCAGAGCCACCAGGGTGCAGCCAGCATTGGTGTAGAATGTGTCTGCCATGTACCGGGCCTGCAGACACCTCAGGACTGAGGCAAAGGTGCTTTTAGCAAACTCTGGCCTAAATGCAGACAGGAGCACACACAAACATCTGCCTAACCGCACTCCCTCTGCAATCAGCCAAGAGCCATTAGATTCCAGCAGCTCCCTGATGAATAGGTACAAGATCTAATTAAGATGAACGCCAAATCTGGAGCAAAGTCGGGCCCGGGGAGCCCAGATGCAATTGCCAGGCAGGTCTGACGCAGCGTGTCTGGCTCCAGGTCAGGAGTCCTGCCTGCTGTGGTCTGCTCAGGGGAAGCTGTGCTGAATACCTACACCAAGGTGCCACCCTGTTGGAGAGGGCGCTCTTGAGGAGAGGGAGGCCCGTACCTGTCTCCAGCGTCACAGGATTCACCTTGGTGAGGTCATCCAGCAGGTGCAGCGGGGCCTCCTGGCCTAGGAACTCCTGCAGGTCTTCTCCGAGGGCTTTCCCGCCAGGGGCAGCAGGGCCTGAACTATGGCCATTCACCTGGGAGGGGGTAACAGGGCCAGGAGAGCTGGGACTCGGACCAGCTGGCAGCTGTGTAGGGGTAGAGGCGTGTGCAGCGGAGAGAGACTTGGCTTCCAGTATCTTAGTCTGGTTGGGTTCAAATTTCAGTTCTGCCTCTAATTAAGCCTGTGAGCCTGGGTAGGTGACTTAACCTCTCTGAGCCACAGTTTTTTTTTTGTAAATAAAAGAAAATAAAGCCTGTTCACAGGGCTATTGGGAAGAAAAACAAGAAGACATATAAAAAGCATTTAGTCCTTGGCACATAGTGAATCCTGGATAAATCAATAGATGCTATTACATCTCCTATGCCATGAGCTCTGGCTTCCAGGCTGGCCAGCTACTAGCCTTACTGGGCCTGCGGGGTTGGGGGCCATGGAAGGGGGCTGCTATAGGAGTATCACAAAGGAAAAGAAACATGCTTTGGGCCTTTTTTTTTTTTTTTTTTTTTTTTTTTTAAGAAACAATTCAATTTGAGATGAAAAATGCCTTCATCACCTGCCTCTTTAGGTTTGATTAATCTAGTTAATTATACAACTGTTGCCTCTGCCCTGGGTCTACTTAAGAGGCTCAGAAGTCAAGAGGACAGGCCCTTTCACCTTCTCCCTTTTCCCATGCATGATGCCACATTTCTTATAACCATTTCTCCCTTTTTCTCTTGGGGTTGTAAGGAAGATGAGGTGGAGAATAGAAGACAGTAACGTGGATGACACTGCTTTTGGAGGAAAGGGTCTGTGATATGACCTGTGTGAATTTCCATGAGACTAGTGAACTCTACAACTTTAAATTCCTCAAGCCCAGATGGCAGGTGTCATTTGACAGGCCCAATGACAAGTTTATTATTTTTTTAAAAGATATTTTTTATTGATTTCAGACAGGAAGGGAAAGGGAGAGATAGAAACACCAATGATGAGAGAGGTTATTGATTGGCTGCCCCCTACACGCCCACCCCACACTGGGGATGGAGCCTGCAACCCAAGCATATGCCCTTGACTGGAATCGAACCCAGGATCCTTCAGTCCGCAGGCTGATGCTCTATTCTCTTAGCTAAACCTGCTAGGGCGACAAAGATGTTGCCTCTTCTCTGACCTTGGGCCCACCATAATGCACAAGGCAGAGTCTTGGCCTACAGAATAAGTGCTGATTCCTGGAAACCCCTCTGCTTTGAGGGTCATAGGAGCCTTTTCTGAGTGGCAGAGATCCAATAGTACCCCAACCCCCCATATACCCCGTGATTCATTCATCAGAATCCTTCTCTATTTCCACATAGATCATCTTCTCCCACACTTTTACACAGACTGACTTTTGTCTGGACCATTTATTTTCCTTCTCTACTTGGCTAATTTTTTTTTTTTTTTTTTTTTTTTCCTTTAAGGCCCAGTTTCAAGGAGACATCTTCAGGGACATCTCTCAGCTTCACCTCCTTTTGGAAGCCCCAGGCTTCCTCTGTGCCTCAGCAATTCCGGCTGGCAGTGACATCTCTCAGGACTTCCTCACTGGTTCAGGCTTGAAGGTCACCAAAGTGCCCTCAGGATTCCCTTAACCACCCCAGGAAAAGAGCTACCAACTACAATAGGAGAGATTCAAATTAGGTATCAGGAAGAACTTAACACGGGTGAAAGGCACTGGAATAACGACATGAAGTGAGAAAAGGCGACCTTTAAGGGGTCATTTTCTTCCCGGTTTAGGGTAGTGAAACCACATTCAGACAAGTCAAAGACGCAAAGGTGCTTCAGGTGCTTTGGGGCTGGGGCATCTGAGGGCGAGGTTTTACCTGCTGGAGCATCCTGCTTCAGTGTGGTCAGCCAGAGTTCTGGGTTTGCAGGCACAAGGAGTGCAATCCACCTACTCATGAGGACACAGGCTCGGGCATGGGTCCAGCAAAGAGCTCAGTTCTGGAAGAATCTGAGGTGAGTCATTGCAGAGCCTATGGCACGAGAGAGAAGACAAGGGCCACACACAGGTGAAGGCTTCTTTAGGGTGACTCAGTCCTGCTCCCCACAGAGCAGAGGAACCAAAATGAGAACCAGAGGAGCTGGGGCAGAAAGGAAGTCCCTCTGTGCCTACCAAGTAGGGAAAAGGGGGAACTTTTACAAGAGCTTCTGCAGGCTCCCTGGGCCCCTCCGGGGCTAGTTTTACTACAGGGTTAGGGGTGGGGCTGCAAATCTGGGTCAGTGTGAGGTGGAGGGTGAAGACATTCGGAGACAGAGACATCTCCTGCTCTACCCTCTCCACTAGACAGAAATATCCTCTTTTATTTATTTTTAAAAATATATATATTATTGATTTTTTACAGAGAGGAAGGGAGAGGGATAGAGAGCTAGAAACGTCGATGAGAGAGAAACATCGACCAGCTGCCTCCTGCATATCCCCCACCGGGGATGTGCCCGCAACCAATGTACATGTCCTTGACCGGAATCGAACCTGGAACCTGTCAGCCCGCAGACCGATGCTCTACCACTGAGCCAAACCGGCTTCGGCAGAAATATCCTCTTTTAGCAGAGCCTGTAGTTGGTGGGGTGGGAGGCTAAAGTCAACCAGATACTCCATGGAAGAGAAATCAGAGCCCAGTCATTCACTGGTAAGTCACAGCACCTTCCTTGTCCACCGATTCCTCATCTTGCAAACGGCGATAGTAAAATCTACCTCACAGGAGTGGTTGTGAAGGTCAATGAGGTCATGGATTGAAGGCACCCCACAAAACACAAATCTGAATATGCACTCCGAGGGGAGATATTGTTAGTACAATTAACAATATTTGGGGGCACTAATCAGGTGTAATACTCCAGTATCAACTTTAAAATGAGAATTTCAGAGGATGGGAACCCACCTGAGAGAAGGGTGTTGTGAGATTGGACTTAGGCCAATTTCTGTAAAACTGAAAGTGACCCTCAGACTCAGAATTTCCCAGGCTACACACTGCCCCAGCAAAGTGAGGCAGTGGATGAGAGGTGTCTGAAATGGATTAACCTTGGTGGAGACTTTTTTTTTTTTTTAAAGAAAAAAAAATTGACTTCAGAGAGGAAGGGAGAGGGAGAGAGCGATAGAAACATCATGAGAGAACCATTGATTGGCTGCCTCCTGCGTGTGCCACAATGGGAATGGAGCCCACAACCCAACCCGGGCATGTGCCCTGACCAGGAATTGAACCGTGACCTCTTGGTTCATAGGTTGATGCTCAACTACTGAGCCATGTCAGCCAGGAGGGGGGAGACTTTTTTTTTTTTTTTTTTTTAATTGGGTGGAGACTTTCTTAAGGCTCTGAATACATCTGGCCTTTGAAAGAACAGGAATAGGAACTTCCCTGGGAACTGGGAAATGAACAGTTCAGGCAGAGAAGAGCATCAGGCCTGTTAGGCACACTCCACACTGACTGATCCCATCCGAAGGACAGCTATGCAGGGGGCTCCAGAAACTCAAGGAGAACGAAACTCCCTCAATTGGAAGTTCATCTTAGAGGACCAGAGAAGGAGCACAAGAGGTTGTGGGGTTAGAATCCAAAGCCCCTCAGATGCAGATCACTAGAGCTGAGCTTTATTTCCTCCACAATCACTCCTTGTGCAGTAGATTTTACTATCTCCATTTGCAAGATGAGGAATCACAGTGGACCAGGAAGGTGCTGTGACTTACCAGTGAATGACTGGGCTGATTTCTCTTCCTGGAGGATCTGGTTGACTTTAGCCTCCCATGCCACCAATTACTGGCCTTGCTAAAAGAGGATATTTCTGTCTAGTGGAGAGGGTAGAGCAGGAGACGTCTGTCTCCAAATGTCTTCACTCTCCACATCACACTGACCCAGATTTGCAGCCCCACCCTTAACTCCTGTCATTTGCAAAAAGGAATACTAACACCCAGACCTCACAGTGTAGAGAGTTCAGGATCAAATGGGCTAGTGGAAGCTGTGAGAGCTCTTTGCAAATGTTGGTTAGTATGTGCAGTGTCAGCTCTCAGCCAGAGTTAAGTCAGGTTAGAGCGGTTTTCTCCAGTCCTCCCTGCTCTTGCTCCCACTCGGCTTCGTGGTTACCAGCCGAGTAGTTCTGGAAAGGGTGTGACCACTGTGGGCAGGAGGGAGCCGGTAATGAATAGATGAAACACCAAGTCTAGGCAAGGCAAGCGGCAACCTGATCACCAGCTCTTCCTCCTCCCCAGCCTCAGGTTCTCCTCGGCTCGGAGAACAGAACAGAAAAGCCGGGTGAGGGTCCTGGTAGCCTCGCCAGCCCCGCCAGCCCCGCCCTGAGGTTCTCAGTGGGAACCGGGGGCTCCCGATCCTGGCAAAGGGTCATGCGGGCCCAGGGCTGGGATGCCGCTCCTTAAGCACCTGGCACGGGGAGAGCGTGTCCTTCCCGGGAAGGTGGACGTGACCCCAGCCAAGGGCGCGGCTGCTCTGACGCCTCCCGGGGCCAGCGCCCCCTCCCAGATCCCTCTGGAGAGGAGCAGGGGCGGGGACCCAGCCTGCCAACCGGCACCTCCCCCACCCCCCACTGAGGGTCGCCCGCTGCTGGCAAGGTGGAAGGTGACCATGAAAAGTCCTGGTTCCTAAAAGTTCCTGGTAAGGGCCAGGATCCAGGCTACCTTCCCTTGGGATACGAGAGGGTTCAAAAGGGAAAAAAGGAAAGGGCAGGGAAAAGGCGCGTTGGAAAGGGGAGATGGCCACCTCCTCCTCCGCGCTCCAGGGGCAAACCGGCCTCCCCGCCCCTTAGGGGCCACGGGAGGGCTTCAGACCGGGGCTGGGGTGGCACTCACCGATCCCACGGCCTGAGCGTGCGGCCCCGCCGGCCCGGCTGGAAAAGCGGGCGGGCCGGGTGGGGCGGCGGGAAGAGCCCGAGGAGCGGAGGGAAGAGGAGGGGCGGGGGCGAAGCGGGGAGAAAGGCGAGCCCGGCCCGCACCCGCCGCCGCCGCCGCTCCGCTAAGTGGCCGGCCGGCCGGCTGGCCCCTCCCCCGGGGCGGGGCGGGGCGCGCACACGCGGCGCGGGGCGCACGTGGCCCGCCGGCGGGGCGGGGACCCCGAGGAGTTGGGGGCTCCACCTGGGACCGCACGTTTAGAGAGTCTGGGGTAAGGCGGGAGTGGCAGGGAGGCTCGGGGCCCGGCGGGAGCGGCGCGGGAGGCAGGGCGTCCTGGGGTCGGGGCCCTCGCAGGGCTGGGAGGGGACGCCACGGCCTAATTAAGGTTCGCCGGGGCTCCGGCCCGTCACCCTGACCGGCCTCGCCGCGGCCTGAGCGGTGGTGCGGCCCTTTCCCGCTCCGGCTCCTCCGACCGGCCGGCTCCGGCCACGCCCCGGCACCGCTGGGCCGGGCACCCCATGCCGCGGCTGGCGAAGAAGCCAGCGCCGCCCACGGCCGGATGCGCGCGGAATTCGCCGGCCCGGAAGCGCAGACCCTCCGCCCCCTCGTCGGCCGGAAGCGCGCCTCCGGGAGGCGGAAGCTGCCTGCTCCGCCGCGTAGGCCCGCGGGGCCGGAGGAAGCGGGCGGCCTGACCCACGTAGACGGCCTCCGTCCGGGGAGCCCCGAGACCAACCGGAGCACGGGAGGTAGACGGCCCCGACGCGGTGGTGGAAAAGGACTTTCCTTTTAAAATATATTTTATTGATCTTTCACAGAGAGGAAGGGAGAGGGATAGAAAGTTAGAATCATCCATCAGCTGCCCCCTGCACACCCCCTACTAGGGATATGCCCGCAACCAAGGTACATGCCCTTGACCAGAATGGAACCTGGGACCCTTCAATCCGCAGGCCGATACTCTATCCACTGAGCCAAACCGGTCAGGGCAGGACTTTTATTTTCAAGCCAGCCAATCGGTTTGTTACCGGCTTAGGCCATCATGAATTCATTTATTCTACATCGTTCTTGTTTGACCAACAAAGGTGTTCGTGTGTGCCACTTTTCAGACATTGATGTGTGGCTGAAAGGCGTTTTATAAAACAACCCTGGTATGTGCCATTACTACCCCTTCTCCCTCCATTAGCATCCATTCTACCTAACCTAATACCTAAAGTGCAATTTGGCACTCTGTAAATGTAGGGAGCAGTCTGGGGCTCAGGAGGCCACTGGAGGATCCAGGTGTGTGTGTCCTGGAGGCAATCCTGTCAGAGAGGTTCTGAACAAAAACCAAGGCCCCAGCTCCCAAGTGTACTGGAATGCCTTCTCTGCTCCTGTCCTTCCATGCCGTCTGATCTAACTTATAGCCATTAGTTATGTGTATTCTATTTAAAAAAATTTATTTTTATTTTTTTATTGATTATGGTATCACATACTCAATTTTCATTAATAATCTTCATGACATACATGTTTTGTAATAGGAACTTACATCCAACTGTGAGTTCTTTTATATCCCAAATGTATTTTTTTGTGTGAGTCTGCCTTATACTGAATATAGCTAAAGTTGTTTAACCAATAATTTCATGCTATTAGGGTAACATTCGTATCCTAATGGGTTAGTGTTAGACTTCTTCCCACAATCCTTGGAAGAGGAGGTCACAAGACTTAGGTTCTACTCTGGAATTTAAGATAAGAGCAAGTCAGGTACATATATATGTCAATTCCACAAGAAGACCGCTTTCCACAAATGCATTCCTTTGCTCTTTGTGAAAACAGGAAGAAGAAAAAATGTCTCAAAAGCAGATGAAGGAAGCTTTTGTTAGTAACCTCAATGGATGCAGCGTGCTGGAATTTACCCAGGGCTTCTGCTTCCCTGCGCTCTGCATCCTGTGCAGAGGACTCCTGATCGTTCTTTCACAGCACTTGTGGTCTTCACACACCCGGAGAACTCGATTCTTCATTGACTTTGTTTTCCTGATAGTTCCCCTGATGACCACTCTGACCATTTTGTCTTCCTTTCAATACCTTGAGTACCTCACTGCAATTCTCTTTGGGGCAGGGCTATTCTATCAAATATATTGCCGGAGAACTTGCTATGCCAAAATGCCTGGCCAGAAAATCCTTGAAAAATTCTTAAAAATTAGTTTAGAATCAGAATACATTCCAGCCATCTCCTGTTTCCGTGTAATTACCAGTGCGTATACAGCTGTTGCCATTTTGGCTGTGGACTTCCCACTTTTCCCCCGAAGATATGCCAAAACTGAGCTCTATGGGACCGGAGGAATGGATTATGGAGCAGGAGGCTTTGTTTTTGGAATGGCTATGGTTTGTCCAGAGATTAGGAGAAAATGTATGGAAGGGTCCAGATGTGATCGTTTCACAAAGTCATTGTACTCTATTTGGCCATTGGTCCTTCTAGGAGCAGGACGATTAATCATCATAAAATCCATAGACTATCAGGAACATATAACTGAGTATGGAGTTCACTGGAACTTTTTCTTTACCTTAATAGTTGTGAAATTGGTAACATCGCTGCTTTTGATGTTTTTCCCCCCCAATAAGTCCTGGATTGTGGCCATTGGCACTACTGTATTATACCAGCTAGCCCTTGACTTGACCCCATTGAAAAGGTTGATTTTGTACGGCACTGATGGCAGTGGTACAAGGGTTGGTTTATTAAATGCCAACCGAGAAGGAATAATGTCTACCTTGGGGTATGTGGCAATATACATGGCTGGTGTGCAAACAGGGTCATATGTGCTTAAAAAAAGGTCACATATCAAAGATTGGATTAAAGTAGCATATGGTATTCTACTGTTAGCTATTAGCCTCTTTGTATCTCTTTACGTAGTTCAGGTATATGTAGAAGCAGTATCTAGAAGAATAGCCAATTTAGCCTTTTGTATTTGGATAGTGGCTTCTAGCTTGATCTTACTGAGTTGCTTATTACTAGGTGATATAATTTTGAGTTTTGCAAAATTTCTAATTCAAGGGGCTCTGGTACCATGTTCTTGGAAACTTGTCCAGTCTCCTGCTACAAGTAAAAAGCGTTCAGAATCTCTAATGTCTCAAGCTGAAGGAAAGAAACCCAGTCTTTGTTTAATCACAGCTATCAACAGAAACCAGTTGATTTTTTTCTTGCTCTCAAATATCACCACTGGCCTAATCAACCTGTTGGTAGATACATTGCACAGCAGTACCCTGTGGGCCTTCTTTCTGCTCAATCTTTATATGTTTACCAACTGTTTAATTATATATATGCTACACTTGCAAGATAAGACTATAAAATTTTGGTGATCGATAGGGGTTGGATGTGTGTGTTTGATGAGGAATTAATGAGGAATAAATAGTAAATGTGGAGAAAGAGAGCTTTTGGCAATCCAGTGTTAACTATATTTTATTGTAAAATTAAGAGTTTCATTCCTCTATAAGAATAGTGAAGCTTAATACTTTAATGTATTTCTATACTATGTAAAATAAGTCAGTGGAGAAGAAACAAAGCCTTATGACTCATTAGAATACTAAATTTCAGTATTTTAAAGAAACTATTGTATTTATAGTTGTGACACTGGAATATTGGAGGATGGGGAGGAAGGTTTTTATTTTAGTTTGTATAACCTTATATCATCTGTATTTTTTATTGTATTTTGTAATCTTTACATTAAAACATAGTGTGAACTGTGGAATTGTCAACATTCTTTACTGCTCAGTTTTAATCTATATATATAAAAGGCTAAGTGTCCATCTGTTTGACTAGTAGCTATGATGTGACTGGCTCCCAGGGGGCAGATGCTCCAACCAGTAAGTTAGCTTGCTGCTGGGATCTGGCTGATTGGGACTGGGCAAGATGGGCCAGACACGCCCTGGAGCCAACCTCTCATGGACCCTCCCCGGCCTCTAAAATATTTCTTCTAATTAATTGCAGTGTGCACAAGTTTGTGCACCAGGCCTCTAGTTTAAAAATAAACAGCACCACGGACCTGGCGCTGACAAAACAACACTCACCTTCCCCAAGTGGGACACAGACCTCGCCACTACCCCAGGAACGACAGCCAAAGCTGCCAGGACCCCATGGTGCAAAATGTGGCCCACACCCAGGCCCAAAACTGGCTATGGGTACTACTTAATGACATCATGTAGCAACACCTTGCTTCTCCCTAGTGACTAGCATCTGTGGAGTTTCTTCAGCCCAGGAACATGACTTGCTTTATAGCCGGTGCAAACATTTTATAGTTTAACCAAATGTTAAGCGTTTTCCTGTGCCTCATCTTATTTGATCCTCACAGAAGTTCTGGAATAGGTAAATAGGAGACTTGGCAGAATCCTATTTTCTTTAGCAAGATGTGAGTAGCGATATTAAAATATTTCTTTTAATTTCCTTTCAATGTGCATGAATCTGTGCATTGGGTCACTAGTCTTTTATAAAAGCCTAAATATGAGAAAGCAAGTGTTTAACATCAAATACTGTACTAATTTAATAAAAGGGTAATATGCAAATTAGTTCACTTCATCACAATTATGGTGATACCCAGTCCTCTCAGCCCCTGGGAGGGTGGGTGGGGGGAGGAGCTGCTGAGCGGGCAGTGCGAGCAGCCAGGTGGAATGCTCGCTTCATTGCGATGAGGCAAGCATTCCACCCCAGCCACAGAGGGCCTCTGGGCAGCAGGCACAGAGCGGCCAGGGACGGGGAGGAGAGCTTGCGACATTGCCCTGGTGACAAGGCAAGCATTCTGTGCCCAGTCATAGATGGGCCTCTGGAGCGGCCAGGCCCTGTAGAGAGCTACTGGTGCATGGATTTGTGTGCAGGGATACTAATAAATAATAGAAGCATAATATGCTAATTAGACTGAACATCCTTCTGGACGACCTTCCAGACAAAGCTGGGATTGCAAGGGAAGCCTGGGTCCCGGGTACCAGCAGGCAGCCAGGAGAAGGAAGCCCTACTCTTGTACGAATTTCGTGCATCAGACCTCTAGTCTCTATATATAAAAGGCTAACATGCAAATTGTTCCCTCAGGAGTTTGACCAGGAGTTGGATCACTCGCTATGATGTGACCACCAGAGGGTGGTGTGGAACAAAGGAAGGACCCGGCCTGCCGCTGGCAGCCAGGGAAGGAAGACCCTGAACGGCTCTGATCACCAGCCAGGCCTAGGGACCCTACCCATGCACCGGGCCTCTAGTATTCTATAAAGTCAGAAAGCAATTAAATGCCCCTAAGAATATACAGAATTGTTTGATGTAATTAGCACAGACTGCAGATGGAACCTGCAACGTGGGTATGTGCCCTTATGGAGTAGGTGGAAGGAATGCATGGAAGGGTCAAAGGAATTGAACCTTTGACCCTTCCGTGCATGGGAGGATATTCTAACCACTGCACCACACCAGCCAGGGTGAGAGCTTGTCTTTTAAAAACTTGAAGCAGACCTTTGAAGTTGCTGTTTGAAATCTAAGATTAAAAAAAAAAAAATCACTTTCCAATTCTAAATTAGTTCAAAATTAATTTTATTGCATGGTTTGTTAGCTATGACTACTATACTAATTAATACGTTACATTGCTGATGGCTAATTTAGTATTTGTGTGCCATTTAACATTTGGTAACTACAATACATTATATTTGGAGGTAATTTATTACTGAAAGGACTTCCCCCCTCAAATCAGTATGTTGGTTAAATAGCTATAAAAACAAAAATTAGACTTTATTTTCAAAGAAAAAGACTTGAAATTTAATATTATAGTATAAACTAAGCATGACTGGGAAAGGTGATTGGTTTTCCTGCTATGTCAGTCACAGGACTAATCCCCCACAATTTATATGTTGAAAGCCTTCATAAGAGGGCTGAGAGGCCTTCCAAATTCTCTCCTTTAAAAAAGGGTAATTTAATACCGGGCTGGTGTGGCTCAGACCTTGTCAGTTAACCCAGGAATCAAGAGTTGCTGATACGATTTTCAGATAGGGCATATGCCCAGGTGGTGGGCTCGATCCTCAGTAGGGGACATGCAGGAGGCAGTTGATCTATGATGTTTTTCTCTATTCCTTTCCCTTCTCTCTCAACACATACACACACACACACACACACACACACAGTAATTTACGTTATTTGATGACTTAATGAGCATGTGGTCTAACTGGTCTGTTGCTGCTTGTAACTGCCCCTTCACCCTTTTCTAGGTCGTAAATAACTTTGTTTCACAATTACAGATACTGAATCATAACTTAAAACTACAAAGTGTACGGTGTGTGTTTTCCACCTCCAATTATGATATTCATGTAAGAAAAAAAAACAACTAATGAAATAGCATTCATAACAAGATTTCGTAAAAAATGACCATTCTGACTTTACAGAAGAGAGAGCAAAATACCGTTCAACAAAAATTTATTGAGTTCCTCAGTAACAGGTACAGGTAAGTGCCAGGAAAGAGCAGAAAATAAGACAAAGTCCCTGCCTTCAAGGGTATTACATTTTAACTTGTGGACATTTTCCCTTTAAAAAAATGTAAGTAGGGGGAAAAAAAAATGTAAGTAGGGAAAATAGTATGTCTCTTACTTTTGACAGACAACAGAATTTAATTTCATTAAAAAGAAAACCCACTTTACAGATTTGGACAACCATGGTAATTTAATAACATTCTGCTATTGATTTTACCACATAAAACAACATGGTTAATATAGTGACAATTATGATTAACTCAATTTTCTTTTCAACTATCAATATTTGAGGCTAGAGAAGGAAAAGGGAAAGGGAAAAAAAGCATAAAATCTGGTCTAAGATTTCAGAAAGGGAGTCATTCCCATGACTTTTAATTTTACACAATTATAAAGAGGATATACATCATATGTATCAGTAGCTTTGTGTTTAGGGGATGACAACCAGTTTTATTTTTATTGAACATTAATGTTGTACATGTTGCATACATCATACAAAAAAAAATACTTTGCTCTTTAGTTTATGGAGGTAAATAATAAGGAATAAATCTGTAGTCTTTTAAATCCAGGTAGCTTGGAGAAGGTCATATCTCACTTGTGCCTGATTTTTCCTCCCAATATTTTTATTGATTTTTCACAGAGAGGAAGGGAGAAAGATAGAGAGCTAGAAATGTTGATGAGAGAGAAACATCGACCAGCTGTCTCTCCGCAACCAACGTACATGCCCTTGACCGGAATCAAACCTGGCACCTTTCAGTCCGCAGACCGATGCTCTACTGCTGAGCCAAACCGGTTTCGGCTATGCCTGATTTTATAGCTGGCTCTCACACATTGGGGACCTAAGAAGAAAAAGAATGGCATTTTGCTGATAATCACATCTCTTCTGTTATTAGGTACCAGCAATAATTGTTGATTGCTTTCTCCTTCTTGGTATTTCAAATCCTTCTACCTTGCCCTTCACAATGCCAATACTGAAATTTAAAAGTAGGCAGTGATAGGCTTTTTTAAAAATATAGTAATCACTTATTTTGCCAATTAGAGATAAGCTCTGTAAAGGCAGATACTTAAGTCACGAAATATTTGCTGAAGATAGACTAACTGAAAATAAAAATGAGTGCCTACTCTTAAAACTAAGAAGATACATAGTTAAAACTCCTAGAAGTTGTTTTGCAATGAAATAACTTTCTAAACATTTTCCTTCAATACGATTTTATAATATGATTTTGACATTTGTAGTACCCAGGCTATTTCCTTACTTCTTTAAGAAAGCAACTTAGGTAGAAAATTATCCACCTTTTTAGCCTTATAAGTATTGAGTATGTATAGTATGTGAAACATTGTCCAAAGGTAGTAAGCATGTGCTTAGTAGACCTACATGACAATCAAAAGACAAATCCAAACCAGGTAATCTTAGACGGAAAGAGAGTCTTGTGGTTTCCTTATGTTTTATATTTGGATTTTAAATCCTTTTCTTATATTTAAATCCCCATTTAAATTCTCTGTTCTTTGTTAGTTACCAGTGTGTACTCAGTTACAAAAGTTATTAAAAGTAGCATCTATTATCTTGAGCTTATTTTCAATGTTCTTTACTAACCATAATTTAAAGAAAGTTTAAAAGATATACAGATCTTATGTGAATTGATTTTATAGGAGCACCTTTAGATCTGAAAAGCCACGGTATTCTTTTTTCCTTAGGATTGTTTTTACATAAAACAGAAGATTCTCTAAAAAATGCTCTAATTTTGGCTGTGTTCTAACCTATCAGAAGCTGCATGCATATCCTAGTTACCTACTGAACTTAAGCTAACAAACCACACTGTTTTTGCTCTCCTGACGTGGCCAAAAGACATAATTAATGGAAAAAGCACACTTTTGGGACTGAACAATGGTTCTTCCGGTTTATTATGTCACCTGCACTAACAGTGACCACACAATGTCCTAAGTCAACATGGCTAAGGATGCACTATGGGGTTTTGTTGTGAATCTCTAAGGCTGCATGGAATGACCGAAATATTTTTTAAAGGTCAGTATCACAACTCTAGCCTATTCTCTCAGGGAATACAGACGTTATCACGATTAGCTGTAAAACCAGCAGGTAGATTTAATCTTAAAATCCGCAGGACTTTTCCCTAGGCAAAATACTTCCTTCCCAGCGATTACTTTGGCTTTTTGTAACAGGCCTTCAAAGCCTTCAGGGTAGGAAGTGACTACTCGGTGAGTGTAGACGAACTGTCCTTCCCACAGCTCCGCTGCTCAGGGGAGGGCGAGAAGGGAGAGCCTTCGGCCGGTCCCGGTACTTTGCCCAAGGGAACTGGTGAACGGTCAGGGTTCCCCGAGTTAATATTAACCCAACCCAAGAAGTTCCAATGGCCAGGACACAAGCCACTCTCACAATAGTTTATTTGCCTCACTCGGCGCTTAAGAACCGGCGGCCTGCTGGGCGGGATCTCAGCGCAGCCTTTGGGGAACGGAGACGTCGCTGGCTCCCGGTTAATCGGGGCGCCTGGGGGGGAAGCGACGTCCAGTACCTGGAAGCCCAGCCCAGAGAGTATGTGTGTGTGTGTGTCCCTGAGCCCGCAGACGCTCGCCTCTCCTTCCCGGGTTCCCGCCTTTTGGGTTTCGGAAGCCTCAGCTCCTCCCCCACGTACCCAGGTCCTCACGCGGCCCGTCCCCTCGGGTGGGCCCTGAGTCAGCTCCGCTGGGCTCCCTCCGCCCCTCGGTTCTCGGGAGAGCGGCTCCCAGCTCGCTCGGCAGGGGCCGGAGGCTGAGGGCCGCTCACTCACTCCCCGCGGTCCCGTTTCAGATTTTATTTGAGCAGGTAGACGAGGGGGAACGGGAGGGCGGCGGGCACCCGGCTCCAGGCTGCCTGCGGGCACCCCGGCCCCGCCACCAGGGTTTTGAAATCGCAGAGCCCGCAGCGCTGGTGTCCAGTCTCGCGAGAGGAGGAGGAGGAGGAGGAGGAGGAGGAGGAGAAGGCGCCCCGCCCGGCGTTCTCCGTCCCTCCCGGCCCCACCCTCCTCCAGTCCCCCCCGCCCTCCCTCCCCCACTCCCCGCGGCGCGAGCGAGCGGCTGAGACCGGAGGGGAAACGGCATTCGGCGCCGCGCCCCCGCCCAGGCTGGTCCTGACGCGGGCCTCGTCAGCCGGTAACGGGGAGCCAAGGTGGGGGTCAGGGAGGCGACCACGAAAACGGTGAAGGTCAGAGCCCAGAGGCCTTTTCCGAGAACAGTGAGGAAAGGGTCTCTGAACCTGCCTCCTCGGCCTCCGCAGAGCCGAGGCGGGGTCTACCCCTCCCAGGGGCGGGGTCGCGCTGGGCAACTGCAGCCCAGGGGACTGGCTGGCTGGGCGGGGCGCGCCAAGAAAGGGGGAGATCGGGGTCAGCTATGGGCTCCCCGGCGGCGGGGAGCGGGCGCTGGGCGGGCTGGTCCTGGAGCCAGGGCCCCGGTGGCGGGCCGGGGGAGGCCCCGCGGCCGCAGAGTCCCTTCCGCCTCTCCTTTGGACCCTGACTGGAGGCCGGCCGCGGTGGGGAGGGGGCGGGGGAGGGGCTGGGAGGGCCCGCGGCGCGAGGGGGCGGGTCCTGTCCGCGCTCGGCGCTGATTGGGCGAGCGTGTGTGGAATCGGGTGATGGGAAACGCAGCTTGACTCTCCAGTCCCCTCCGGCTTTTCTCCCTGCCCCCCCCCCCCGTGGCGAATGTGCTGCGCGGCGGCGGGTGCTGAAGCTCGCGGCATTTGGCTGTTGCAGGCAGGAGCTGGGAGGAGGCGGCGGCGGCGGCAGCAGGAGCAGCAGCGGCGGCGGCGGCGGCAGCTGGGAGGAGGTGGTGACGGTGGCAACGGCAGCGTCAGGGACGATGGCGCGACTGGTGGCAGTGTGCAGGGACGGGGAAGAGGAGTTCCCCTTCGAGAGGAGGCAGATTCCCCTCTACATAGACGACACCCTCACGGTGAGCGAGCGGGCCGGGTCGGGCTCTGGGCTCTCCGCGCTCTGGCAGCTGTTTCCCTCCTCCCCCTCCCCCAGGCCGAGCGCTGCGCACTGGAGAAAAGAGTGTGTTGCAACTCCTAGGCGAGGCCTTTTCTCCGGCAGGCCCCACCAACTAGCCTTTGCGGTGGGTCCCTCGGTAACCTCTGCAGGCCCCTAGCGCTATGTGCCCACTTTGAGCCCCTTTCCCCCAGGCTCTCCTTCCTTTTTTTGAACCGTTTTTCCTCTGCCCTGTCTCTTTCGGAGACGCTGCTTTTGCCAAAGCACGCGCCTCGGAGAGGGGTTGAAGGATCTTGGGCGTTTAGGGCCTACTATGCCTTACAGAAACCACCTACCTTCGGGGAGGCTTAATTATCTGGAAATGTCACAGCCACTCTGGTACCTATATACTGTCTATCTTCATACAGCAGCTCTCACTGCCTAAGTATAATTACTGAGGACACAGTGACATGCTCTTGCACAGTAAAAATTCCACTTAAGTGATCTGATTTCGTTGTAAGTAGTATTGTATTGTCTTCTACATTAAAACTCTTAGAAATGATTTTTACTGCTAGGCCATGACACTTCAAAATGGGCTTTTTTTTGGCATTAGTCTTTAGTGTGTTATTTTTTTTAAGGAAGCAAACGTTATTGAAGATGTAAAAGCTCAATAAAAAAAACTGATTGTTCATCTTGAATGTCAAAACCTAGTTCTGGGTAAATCTAAAAAATCTTTTTTAGATTTGGTAGTAGTACAGAATTACAGACCCTCTCCCCTGTGTTGCTGAAGTATTTCCTTTAAAAGGAAATGGCAGAAATTTGAATTGAACCTGAACAGGAAATGAGTGCAGTTGCTTGCCACTATTTCCTAAGAAATGAAATGAATCTATTCACAATGTCTTCTGAAATCTATTTTGATTATGCTGAAACCTACTTGCCTATTTTTATAATGTGTAACTAGTCTCTTCATTTTTCTCCTAGGGCTTTTTTGTTTTTCAAAGTCAGTTGATCTGTTTTGTTCCTGATTTTTAAAAAAAAATTTTTTCCAAATTTTATATAAAGTGCAAGTCATTGTAGAGATGCCACTCTATGCCTTTCTGTTGGCCAGTCTCAATTAAGACTTGAATGAGCTGCGGTATTTTAAAAAGGATTAGAAGAGCTATTGAGTGACTTAATTTGTTAGAACTTTAAAAAAAATTAAATTTATTGGGGTGACATTGGTTAACAGGATCATATAGGTTTCAAGTTGTTAGAACTTTTTAAGTGAAAGCATCTATAATTACCTGAGATAAATTTTATTTTCTTGGGAAAAGGTAGATGATTTGGCCTGCTATGATTTAAATAGAATTTGTGTTGATGCATTAGAAAATACTTGAATGCCTTGGTTATGATTTTTGCATTAAAAGTATATTGGACTTTTATTATAAACAGCTTAAAAAATGAGCACTCTGTGAAAACACCTACTAAGAATTCATTTGTCAATAATTTTCTTCTTTACTCCCCCTCCAACACTTTTCTGGAGCACATAGTTTAGTATCAATCTTTTATGTTTATTCCAGAATGCCTTTGAAATTTAAAAAATATCTTTTGGGTTTGGACATAGATTACTATTGAGTGTATAATATCATAGGGTAGAGGAAATCAACGTAAATTTGACTATTGACAAAAAAGGGAGAGAGACTGATTTCTCTCCTTTATGACCACATAACCACCTTTAATGAAGCATTGATATATCTGATACATAGCACATTAAAATAGACAACTTTGGGAGTGTTTTTATACTCTCTGTACAATGATACTAATTTCCATAGAAAAACCTTGCAATATGATGTATTATTGTACTTATTTTTCCAGAGAAATGTATTCGACTGAATTGAATTTTGCTTTTATTGCATTGTGAGCTTCTGACCGAGGCAACTATAACTTAGGTTTACTTAATTTAAATATCTCAAAATAGCATTTTATTTAGGAAAAGGTGCAACTTTCTTTGTTTTGGAAGGGTTTTTGTCACTAGGGAATGAGTGGGACTATTAATTGCTTTTGTATTGAACTTCTGCACAGACATTGAATGCTGATTAGTGAAAATTCTTATCAACACATTATATTTAGGGAAACAAATTTCTTTCAGAACTATTGTACCAATACTACTTAAACAAGCACCTGTTGGGGAAGAGGTAAGGTAGAGCAGAGGTTGATGCTCTGAGTACTGGTCTATTGATAGTTTGACAGCAGTGTATCCCTGAAGTTAACATTTGGCTTGGTATTTGTTTTTAGGATCCATAGGTAAGGCAGGAGAAAACATTGTGTTATTTTATTTCTAGTAGTTTTAGAATCTTGTTAGCTCCTAGATGTTAAATCCAGGTAGTCAGTTACAAATATGTTTATCATTTTAACAGATGCTACAATCTCTAGCCTTAGTTAAACTGGCTATTTTAAATTATATTTGTAAAATGAAACTAGGTTTGTATGTGAGGAAGTAGCCTCCTCTTTTATGTGATACTAGAGTCCCGATCCACGAAATTTGTGCAAGAGTAGGCCTTCCTTCCCTCGAGTTGCTGGCACCCTGGACCTGGGCTTCCTTCTGGCCTCCGGCACCCAGAACCTGGCCTTTCCTCGCAGAGGGAGGCCCCGCCTACCCGCCGCAGCCTGCAGGTCAGTGGCCCGGGCCTCCCTCTGTGGGGTGATCATGGGGTGCTGGCTGGGCCCCCAACCAATCACATTGCACCCGTCTTGGCTGGCCTCGCGCCAAAGGAGGGTATCATAGCATTGTTCCACTGTTTGGCCGTTCGGTCGATTTGCATATTATGCTTTTATTATGCACTAGTGGCCTTGGGGGATGACTTGGCTGTCACAGGGATGGGCCTCAACTGGCAGCTGGACATCACTCTTGCAATCCAGGACCACTGGCTCCTAACCCCTCACCCACCTGCCCGCCTGCCTGCCAGATTGCTCCTAACCACTCTGCCTCTGACCTGCTTGCCCCTAACTGCACACCCCTGCCTCCCCTCTGCCTTCTCACCCTCTGATTGCCTCCAGCTGTGTGGCACTCCCTTCTCCCCCCCACCAGTCTGCTCACCCCTAACTGCCCCACCCCCCGCTGGTCTGATTGCCCCCACTGCCCAGCCTGATCACCCCCAACTGCCCTTCCCTCCTGGCCTGATCACCCCTAACCGCCTCTGGCTTGGCCTCACCACCAGGGCTTTGTCCGGAAGGATGTCCAGAAGGTCTCTCAGAAGGTCTCCAGGTCTAATTAGCACATTACCTTTTTATTAATATAGATGTTGTATCCACATGTAAAAGAGTCATGTGGAAGCTCAGCCAGTGTTGCCTAGTGGTTGAGCATTGATCCATGTACCAGCAGGTCATTGTTCGATTCTGGTTCAGGGCACATGCTTGGGTTTCAGGCGTGTTTTTATACCTTCCTCTCCCTTCCTCTCTGAAATCAGTAAAACACACACACATATATTAAAAGATTTGTGGGTTTGAAAACTTGAGTACTGTGCTGATGTAGGTGTATTTGGGAAAATCCCAAGTAAGTAAGCTGTTGGAATATTTGAGAAAGTGGCATGCTATGTGGCCAAAATGCTGTTCAGTGCTACTAGAATTATAAAATAGCAGATGGATAGAAGATATATATTATTTTTTACTTAAAAAAGTATTTTATTGACTCTACAGAGAGGAAGTAAGACGGATAGAGATCTAGAAACATCGATGAGAGAGGAACATCGACCAGCTGCCTCCTGCACCCCCCTCCCCCCCAGGGGATGCGCCCACAACCAAGGCACATGCCCTTGACCAGAATCTAACCTAGGACCTTTCAGTCTGCAGGCCGACGCTCTGTCCACTGAGCCTGTATGTTTCCCATCTGGAGATCAAACCCACAACCCAAATATGTGCCAGGAATGAAACTGACAACCTTTCAGTGCATGAGATTACACTCAGCCAACTGAGCCACTCTGGCTGGGCAGCAGTGATCTTCTGTATATATAAAAGGCTGGGATGTGAAATGTCCCCTTGGGTGTTCCACTTCATTAGCTCCCTATGACATGCGCCGACAACTAGGGGGCAGCGTGGAACTAAGGAAGGCCCCAGGAAGGCCCTGGCAGCTGGGGAAGGAAGGCAGGCTGGCAGGCCGGCCCTGATTGCCAGCCAGGCCTAGGGACCCTACCCGTGTGCCCTGGGCCTCTAGTTTTTAATAAATACAAACAATATTGTTGATGAGAATTTATGAGAATGCTCTAAAAACCAGATTTGTGGTCAAGTGGAAACCAGGACAGATACTTAAGAGTGAAAGTGCGTAATGGATCCAATAAACTTTATAAAGCAATAATTTCAGGACCATGACGCGTTCTATTTTTGGCTAGGCAGGGATAGGCAGCCTCACGGTGAAGCAAAACACTAATGATTCCTCTTTGAAGTCATGCTTAAAATACTTTGTGTGACAGTTTTAGGTAAGCCAGCATCTGAAGATTAAGTGAATCTGAAGTGGCTTTAAAGAGTGGGGGAGAATGTGCATCTATCCTCTTTTGTGTCCCTTTCCCCCTTTTTCTTACTATTATCTTTCAATGTTAAGCATATAGCGATTGGCTAGAAAACCGCAAGGTAAAATATCCATTCTCCTTAATGTTTGAAAAGCAAGGACAGGGTATTTATTGTGAATGCATAGTAAGTACAAGAGAAAATTTAATAATATACGTGCCAATGAAACCTAGAAGATACATGGTAATCAGGTCTATTTGCCCTGCCTGAGCTTCTCAGTTGGTTGATCCTTGTTCTGTACCGGTTCAATTCCTGGTCAGGGCACTTTGAATATTTCTTAAATTGATAGCTTTGATCTTAAAATAGTGTAGGTAATTTCCTTTCTTCCTCTCTTCCTCACTCCCTCTCACCCTCCTTTTTCTCCATTCTCCTCTTTCCCCTTCCTCCTTCCCTCTTTCTTTTTGGTTAATATTCACCTGAGGATATTTTTCTTCTTTTAAAAAAATTTTTAATTTAATTTTTTTCTTTAAAATTTTACATATGTCTCCTTTTCCCCCCACTCCCAGCCATTCCCACCCCAGGCAAGCCCCAATCGCCCCAATGTCTTCTGTCCATTGGTTATGCTAATATGCATACATACAAGTCCTTTGGTTGCTCTCTAACTCCCCTCCACCCCAACCTCCCCTGTCATTTGTCTCTGGATCTATTTTTGTTCATCAAATTATGTTCATCATTATATCCCACACATGAATGAGATCATGTGATACTTATTTTTCTCCAATTGGCTTATTTTGCTTAGTGTAATACTCGTCAGTTACAATCATGCTGTTGCAGGTAAAAATTCCTTCTTATTTTATAGCAGCATAGTATTCCATTGTGTATTCCATTCCTGATTTCACTCTTTGGGTGTGTAGGAGTTTGTGCCCTTGTCATCTGGAAATAGAAGTTTGTTCTAGCAAACAGTTTTTTAATTCATTAATCTGCTGATGGGCACTTAGGTTGTTTCCAAATTTTAGCTGTTGTAAATTATACAGCTATGAACATAAGGGTGCATATATCCTTTCTGATTGGTGTTTCTGGTTTCTTGGGATATAGCCCTAGGATATTTTTCCATTGAATTTTAGAAAGAGTGGAAGGAAGAGGGAGAAACAGAAACATCGATGTTTGAGACACACACCAATTGGTTGCCTCATGCACACAACCCGAGCAAGGCTGGGGAACCTGCAACCGAGGTACATGCCCTTGACCGGAATTGAACTCAGGACCTTGAGTCCACAGGCTGACGTTCCACCCATTGAACCAAACTGGTTAGGACTGTTGGTAATTTTTAAAAAATATTTTTGTATGGCAGCAATTAATATATGGTGAAATGGTATACATTTGTATCAAGCAAAGAGAAAATGCAAACCAAGGTGTTAGTTGCTTAAAAAATAGATTTGGAGTGGTTGGCAGTGTTTGGTTAAGTGGCTTTATAAGTTTATCTTATACTTCTTTTGTGATTTGACAGTTAAATTTATTTGTGTTTGCCCAACTAGTGTGGTTCAGTGGTTCTGCATTGACCTGTGAGGTCATGATTTAATTCCCAGTCAGGTCACATCCCTGGGTTGTGGGCTTGATCCCCAGTGGCAGCTGATCAGTGATTCTCTCTCATTATTGATGTTTCATTCACTCTCTTATCCCTTCCTTTCTGAGATCAACAAAAATATATTTAAAAAGACAAAAAGGTCTTACATACTGTTTATATTTAGTTGTTCAGTTCTTAGTTTATTGTAGAACAAACATCTTTTAAGGCTCTCATTTCTAATACGGGGGGGAAAGAATGGTTAATTCCATTAAAGAAGCAGGTCTTTGTGTTGCTGGTTGAAGAGAAGAATCTTTTTAAGATCACATTCAATTGGGTGGGGTTTTTTTAATGTTTTGTTTTTGCCTCAAATGGGTCTCTTTTAAACCTGATTTCACTCTTTGGATGTGTAGGAGTTTGTGCCCTTGTCATCTGGAAATAGAAGTTGGTTCTAGCACAGTATGTTCAATACCTTTTACAATGTTTTAATTAAGATATAAATGTGTTACTTTATTTCATTGTCTTGAAGGCAGACTTTTTCCCCAGATTTTTAACATCTCTGAAATTGGGTTGCTTCTTTCATTTGGTGATATCCTAGTTATAATGACTCCTAACCATGGTACTTTTTTTTCTTTTTTTTTTTTTAATATGTTTTATTGATTTTTTACAGATAGAAGGGAAAGAGATAGAGAGTTAGAAACATCGATGAGAGAGAAACATCGATCAGCTGCCTCCTGCACACCCCCTACTGGGGATGTTCCCACAACCAAGGTACATGCACTTGACCAGAATCAAACCCGGGACCTTTCAGTCCGCAGGCCGATGCCCTATCCACTGAGCCAAACCGCTTTTGGCATTATGGTACTTCTTAATATCAGTGCTATTGCAGATCATTGAAATGTGTTAATTACTAATTCCCCATTATCTGATATTCTGAAATATCCTTAAACTTTTTTATATTTCTCTTCCTCTGGTAATGAATTTTGATAATTGAATAAATACCTCAGTGTATCCTTTTTGTTCATAATTAGAGCAAACATTTACTATGTGCCAAGTACTGATCTGAGTCTTTCTCATTTATATGTGATATATGTATCATATATATACATATATATGATCATTTCGTTATGAGATTTACTGAATTTCATAGTTAAGAGGAATAACTAAAAATGTCAAGGTATTTAATGTAAAATATAAGGTTAAATGCTATCATAGGCCACCACAACAAACACTTTAAGATATAATTTAATCCTCACAACTCACTATGTGAAAGATATTAAGATATATTATGTAATCTCATTTTACAAAAGAGGAAGCTGAAAATAAGACAGGTTAAGTAACTTGCCCAGAGTTATGACATAGATTGTAAGCAACAGAACTGGGGTTTGAACTCATATCCGCCTGACTTTGGTGTTTCTGTGCCTAATGGCTATAACTCTTTCTGGCTTTAGAAACTTGTATAACTTGGATTTTTAAAAACAAACAAAAACCACCTTTTTTGGCAGAGGGCAGGTTGGAAGGTGGGGGAATTTGGCTTGTGGGGGGTGTCTATTTTTGTCCTAAGAATCTGTAAAGTGTTCAAAGAAGAGAAAATAATTGATTTTTATTCTTTTGCATATTAAGATGGTGATGGAATTTCCTGACAATGTTTTAAATCTTGATGGCCATCAAAATAATGGTGCACAACTAAAGCAGTTCATTCAGGTAATAGTTTTAAAAACCAACCTTTTAAAGTGTGTGTGTGTGTGTGTGTGCGTGTGTGTGTGTGTGTGTGTGTGTGTTTTAAAGAGTCATTGAAAATTTTAGCCGTAAGTGTTAATTTTGTTTTACCTAGGGCTCTCTAGGACTTAAGATTACATTGAAGTTGCTTTCTTTTATTATTGCTACTGTGAATATATTTATGTACTTTTCATGTGAAAAAGATTAGATTTTGGTATTAACATTTTACATGTCTATAAGGCTTTAATTTCACCAAGTCATTTTTCCTGGGTTTTAAAGATAAGGTATACAACTTTTCATTGAGAACTTGTTGATATTCTTTTATGGTAATTTTTATTCAAGTAAAAAAAGTTAATCCTGTTTTTCGAGCTTTTTGATTATTTAATTCTTACACAGTATGATACTTTATAATACACTATATAATTAAGATAATGGAGGATAAATTGTTACTTTATTTCAGAATTCTGTTTCTACTTTTGGAATAAACTTTGAATGGTTAATAGTAAATGTGAGAAAAATTCATTTTAGATATAAACTATTTCACCTGGTTTTAGTAAAGCTGGAAATAAAGTATAGGTTTTAGTAAAGTATAGTTATGTAACTATAACTCCATCCAGGTAGAAGTTAGGTACTAGAATTTTGCCCGTTTCTCTACAGTTGTGGTTCTCAGTCATTTTTCAACCTTGTCATAGCCAACAGGTAACATTCATATGCATCAGCATTTTAGTTACTCATTGCAGGCTCCTACATAGGTACGATAGGCATTGTTCTTGCCCACTAATCCATAACATACCTGTCCATACTTCCAGGTTAAGAATTGCTGTTCTATATGATCACCCTAACTTGACTCCTATAGCTAAACATAGTATGTTTTTAAAAGTTGAGAAGACATTGTAAAGCTGCATTGTCTTTCCTTTTTTTTCCTTCTTTTTTTTCCATTTAAAGCAAGAGTACTAAACTTAATACTTAAATAAACACTAAATTTTCAAATGCAGGGCTTCTTTTGGCTAGCTGGGGCATATCCTAAGCAGAGTTTTTTTGTTTGTTTGTTTTTTTTAAAAAAATATATTTTATTGATTTATTTACAGAGACGAAGGGAGAGAGAGAGAGAGAGAGAGAGAGAGAGAGAGCGCGCGAGCGCGAGCGCGAGCTAGAAACATCGACCAGCTGCCTCTTGCACACCCCCTACTGTGGATGTGCCCGCAACCCAGATACATGCCCTTGACCGGAATCGAACCTGGGACCTTCCAGTCCGCAGACCGATGCTCTACCACAGCCAAACCGGTTTCGGCCTAAGCAGAGTTTTTTATAACCTAGTTTCTAGAAAGGCAGTTTATGCAGCAAACTCAGTATTGTATGGACAAAGCTGACCACCTTGCCTTTTAAAAAAAATATGTTTTTATTGATTTTAGGAAGAAGAAGAGAGGGACAGAAGCATCAGTGGTGAGGGAGAATTATTGATTGGCTGCATCCTGCATGTACCCTATTGGGGATTGAGCTCGAAACCTAGACATGTGCTCTGACCCAAAATTAAACCGCGACCTCCTAATTCATGGGTGGATGCTCAACCATTGAGCCACACTGGCCAGGCTACTTTGCTTTTTTGTGGGTAGAGATGGCAAGCCTTGCCCAAGTTGTACTTAGAGCACAAGGATAGGAACAAGAAGTAGTAGTGAAAGAGTAATTTTATGTGTTTCTTAAGGATTCTTCATTTTTCTTTCAGCGACATAGTATGCTTAAACAACAAGATCTAAGCATTGCCATGGTGGTGACATCACGTGAAGTCTTGAGTGCACTTTCTCAGCTTGTCCCATGTGTTGGTTGTCGTCGCAGTGTGGAGCGCCTCTTTTCCCAGCTTGTAGAGTCTGGAAATCCTGCCCTTGAACCCCTGACAATAGGGCCCAAGGGAGTCTTGTCTGTAACTCGAAGCTGTATGACTGATGCAAAGAAACTTTATACATTATTTTATGTACATGGGTAAGTATAATAAATTAGGAAAAAATGGATTTGTTAAATTTTTTTTAACTTGGTGACGGTGTTAGTTTTTATTCTAAATTTGGTTGGAGCAAAGCTTGATTCCAAATCAGTAATTTTATTGAGTAACTTATATGTGCCAGTGACAATAAAATTTCTGTTTTCATGTGGGGAGAAGCAGGCCATAAACAAATAATAATTTGTCAGGTATGATATTGCAGAGAAAAATCAGTAAGGAAGATAGAGGATGAGTGGGTAGAATTAATAAAGAGGATGGTTAGGGAAGGCCTCCTATAAAATAACATTGAATATAGACTTGAATGAGGTGAATGAACCATGTAGATATCTGGGGGAAGGGAAGGAGCTGCAAGTGCAAAGGTTCAGAAGTTGGAGGTCTCCTGACGTGTTTGAAGAACAGCAAGAAAGCCATTGAACAACTGGAGCCAGATGAATGAAGGGAATAGTAATAAAAGATGAGGTCAGAGGAGTAAGAGAGATAGTTAGAAACATCGATGAGAGAGTGAGTCATTGATCAGCTGCCTCTTGCACACCCCCTACTGGGGATATGCCCGCAACCAAGGCACATGCTCTTGACTGGAATCGAACCCGGGACCCTTCAGTCCCCAAGCCGACGCTCTATCCATTGAGCCAAACCAGTTTCGGCTTGAGGCCTTTTTTTACGCTGAGTGAGATGGGAAGATTTGAAGTTTGCGTTACTTTGACTTCTGTGTTGAGAATAAATGGAAAGATGGAGAAAAGGCAGATAAACGGGCTGTTTAATAATCCATGTGAGAGATAACAGGTAATAAAATGGTTGAATCCTGGTAGTATTTTTGAGGAATGAACCACCATGATTTTTGGATAGATTGGATGTGGAGGAAGGTATCAGGGATGATTCTCAGAACAAATAGTTTCCATTTTCTGAGATGGATAAGAATGGAAGGAGCAATTTTGCAGGGCTCACTTTTGGACATGTTAAATTTGATGAAAGTTTTACATGATAAGGGAGCTTTCATAAGGAAATAAGGTCCCAAAGAAGCGGTTAGGCATGAGCGTTTAAAAAAAATGATAGATTTGAGAGAGAGAAAGAGAGAAACGTTGATTTGTTGTTTCACTTATTTGTGCATTCATTGGTTGATTCTGGTATGTGCTCTGACAGGATTGAACCCACAACGTTGGCATATGAGGACGATGTTTTAACCCAGTGGTCGGCAAGCCGCGGCTCGGGAGCCATATGTGGCTCTTTGGCCCCTTGAGTGTTCTAATGCCACTTCTTCAAAATAGACTCTCCCAGGCCAAAAATCAACTTCTGCACCTGGGTCAGAAGTTTCAATCGCACTGTACATGTGCGCTCCCATGTGGTATTTTGTGGAAGAGCCACACTCAAGGGGCCAAAGAGCCGCATGTGGCTCATGAGCCGCGGTTTGCTGACCACTGCTTTAACCAAAGCTATGTGGACAGGGCTGGTGTGTTAAATTTGGGATACCAACTTGGCATCCAAGTTGAGTTCAGAGAGCTCTGACTGATATACACACACATACATATATGTGTGTGTGTGTGTGTATTTAAAATATAACTATAATATTTAAATTATAGTATATATTACATATAGTATATTAAACACAGACTCATACATATAAAGTTTAAGACATTGATAAGAGATTTGATCATCAAAGAGTATATAAATAGGAAAAGAGAAAAGGTCTGGGGCTTTCTTATTTAGAGGTGTTGGTAGAGACTGGATTTTTATTCTGAGAAAAGAAGCTTTGAATGGTTTTTGAACAGAGAATAACATAATATGATTATTGTTTTGAAAAGATTATTCCTACTAAAACCGTGTATAGAGTGTCAGCCTGTGGACTGAAGGGTCCTGGGTTCGATTCCAGTCAGGGGCATGTACCTTGGTTGCAGGCACATCCATAGTAGGGGGTGTGCAGGAGGTGGCTGATAGATGTTTCTCTCTCATCAATGTTTCTGACTCTCTATTCCTCTCCCTTCTTCTATAAAAAAATCAATAAAATATATTAAAAAGAAAAGAAAAGATCATTCTAGTTGCTAAGTGTGAAGTCTTGGAATGTAAAGGCAAAAAGACCATTGGGAGGCCAGCTGTTGCCATTGTCAAACCTAGAGAAAGAGAAGTTGGGCCAGGATGGTGGTGGTGATGGAGGTGATGAGAAGTGATTTGATTCTGAATATAAAGTTAAGAGTTTATAGGCTTTCTTGATTAGTTGGATGTAAAGTGTGGACGTTAGCTATAGATATTCTGTATTTGTATAAAATTTCTATTGATGGTTTCTCATGGTTAGTATATATTTAGATAATGCAGGGGATGAATGTGATATGCAATCTGGGAGAAAGAGTATGTTGAATAACATTTTGACAGAATGGAATGGAAGGCTAGTGTACAGATTAGAATTTGTTTGATAAGAAATTTTTTAGCCGAAGCCGGTTTGGCTCAGTGGTAGAGCGTCAGTCTGCGGACTGAAAGGTCCCAGGTTCGATTCCGGGCAAGAGCATGTACCTGGGTTGCGAGCACATCCCCAGTAGGGGGTGTGCAAGAGGCAGCAGCTGGTCGATGTTTCTCTCTCATCGACGTTTCTAGCTCTCTATCTCTCTCCCTTCCTCTCTGCAAAAAATCAATAAAATATATTTAAAAAAAAAAAAGAAATTTTCTAAGTGATGTGTCTATAATAATTTAAATATAGTAAAAGGTGGTAAATAAATATTTGGAAATTTTAAAGAAAAATAAATATATTTAAACAGTTTTTATTTTATAAAGAGAAGGGGGAGAGAGAGAGGAACATTGATTTGTTGTTTCATTTATTTATGCATTTATTGTTTCTTGTATGTGCCCTGACTAGGGATCAAACCCACAACCTTGAAGTATTGGGATGATGCTCCAACTAACTGAGCTACCTGGGCAGGGCAAGAAAAATAAATATTAATCAAACCTTTTATGGTTTATTTTTAATTAGGTCCAAACTAAATGACATGATAGATGCTATTCCAAAAAGTAAAAAGAACAAGAGATGTCAGTTGCACTCCTTAGATACGCACAAACCAAAACCTTTGGGGTAAGTAGAATTGAATATCAAGATACTTTGTCATTGTTAAGATTATAAATGTTGATTACGTTTAAGAAAAGAAAACCAAGTTTTATTTCTTCAATTGATAACAAAAGTCAAAATATGTCTCCTATTTATGTAGGCCTTTTTGATACTTTTATAGGTTCTCAATATAAATTTGATTTTTAAAAAAAGTTTGCTTATGTAAATGTTTTAGAGAAAAGAGGTGGAGATGTTTGTGGAAATTGATGTAACCAATATTAAGTTTTTTAAAGTAGTGTTATTCTTTGATTTATTTAATATTCATAATATATAAATTATTTTTTATCTTATCAGAATAATTTATGATTTAAAAAAAAGGCTTGAATCAGTTATAACAATATTTATGTAACTAATTGGGGTTGTAGGTGTTAAGCAGAAGCCAGGGATTTTGAAGTGAGTTTGTAAGATGTAACTAGTTTTTGAAAGAATTGGATAATGAGAAAACTATACTTCTGAATTTAAAAAATTAGCTTTGAATATTTCCTCAGTAGTATTGACATCACTGTTGTATAGACATTTTCCTCCCTTGATAAAAAGATTTGAATGACAAAGTGGTGTTAATAATATATTAACAAGACTTTTTATGTAATCAGAAACATTTTTTTTAATGTTATGAAAACTGTCAAAAACATAGAAAAATAGACTATGAGCTTTCCCCCCCAAATACCTTTACCCAGATTCAGTAGTAGTTATCAATATTTGCCACATTTGTTTTTCTTATCTACCTTTTTCTTTGCTGAAGCACTTAAAAACAAGCCAGGTATCATGTTGTTTTACTCTTGCACATTTCCACATGTATCTCTAAATATAAGGATATTTTCTTTCATAATGATAGTGCCATTATAACAGCTAACAAAATGAATTGTAATAATCCAATACCCAGTTTATAGTAAAATATTTTACATGTCTCAAAAAATGTCTTTTTACTTTGATTTGCTAGCATCAGATTCCAAACAAAAATCATAATTACATATGTGAGTGTACTGTGAGTCCAGTAAATAACCTAAAGTGGTTATCTAAGAATAACTGTTATTTCACATACCTGATTTAACAATATCTTAGAGAATTCCTGACTTTGTGAATGCAGAATTCAGTCTGGTTTTCTCATTAGTCAGTAACCTTTACTGACCTTTTGGCTAAAGCTATAAAATAGAATTATATAATAAAAAGCCCACCTTCTGTTTTGTTGTGCATATTCATTAAGGTACTAAAAAGCAACAGGTACCCCGACACCTTGTATATCTGTGTTCATTGCCACCTTTCTTTAAACACCAGTTCTTTCACTTTTGCTCTGAATTCCATCTCTCTTGTTTTCAATGACTTTGTATTATTATTTACCTATTTTTATTAAGTTGACTCACAGTTCCGTTTTTCTATTTAGTTTAAGATAAAACAAACTTCCACAGAGTTTATATCCCCATCACATTGAATGCCAAGTGTTTAGGTTGTTTGCTGAGTTATGGGATAGTATGAATGGAGTTAGTTGATCTTAAGCAGTGTCTCCTAAGATAGCTTCAGTTATTCCAACATGATATAGGAAAAGCAGACCAGGGAGTATAGTCTGCTTAGCCAAGACTCCCTCTCTTCCACTTTGGATGGTCACTGTCATTGAGTACTACTAGAGGCCCAGTACATAAAATTTGTGCATGGGTTGGTCCCTAGGCCTGACCCTTGATAAGGGCCAATCGGGGCCAGGCCAATCAGGGCCAGGCTGGAGAGGAGATTATGGTTGCCAGGTGGGCGTGGAAGGAACTGACACAGGACACTGCCATTGTTGTTTCTGTGTGATTCTCTGCCTCCTCCCTCCCCCCTTCTCTTACTGCTGCAGCTGGGTGGCAGGCTGATTGGCGGCTGCCGGTTGCGGGGAGGGACAGAGCACAGACCATTTGCCACCAGCCCCAAGGAGGGAGCTGGCTCTTGACAACCCTGGGAAAGGGACCACATCCCCTGTCACCCACCTCCAGTTCCCCATCCCAGCCCAGGGGCCGGCCCCCTCTCCCCTCATTGGGGTATGCTGGCTATGGGGAGGGACTGTAGGAGATTGGTCAGTGGGGGGAGATTGGCTGTGGGAGCACACTGACCACCAGGGGGCAGCTCCTGCATTGAGCGTTTGCCCCCTGGTGATCAGTGCATGTCATAGCGACTGGTCATTCCAGTGGTTCCTGTTGCTTAGGCATATATATATATATAGAAAGCATATATATATATATATATATATATACACACACATACATATACATATATATACATATATATATGATTCTCCATTTTATATATATATGATTATATATATATATATATATATATATATATATATATATGATTCTCCATTTATATATTTTTACTTTACCCCCTTTTCTGTTTAGACTTTATCCAGGGAAAGTATAATCCATTCCTTTAGGTTTCAGCCTAACTTAATTGCAACAATCCAGTTTAGTCTTCCTGAGAGTTTTCTCATAACCATGCAAGTAAAACCAAGTTGTTGTTTTTTTTGTCTGGGAGTAAGTTTGAGATTTGAAAGAAAGAAAGGTCTAGGCCAGTCGAGACCGGTTTGGCTCAATGGATAGAGCGTCGGCTTGGGGACTGAAAGGTCCCGGGTTCGATTCCGGTCAAGGGCATGTACCTTGGTTGCGGGCATATCCCCAGTAGGGGGTGTGCAAGAGGCAGCTGGTCGATGACTCACTCTCTCATCGATGTTTCTAGCTCTCTATCTCTCTCCCTCTCTGTACAAAATGAATAAAATATATTAAAAAAAAAAAAAAAAAAGAAAGGTCTAGGCCAGAGTTATAGGCCTACAGCTGATGATCAGAGGCTACTTTAGAGAATGAGATAAAATCGCCAAGAGGAAGAGTAGACTAAGACAAAAGAATGCTGAGGATTCGATATAGTAGTAGAAAAGAAGTCAGTAAGGAAACTTGAGAAAGTATGGCCAGAGAGGTAAGCTGCCGACATTGGTGATCTTGATAAGCAGTTCTGTGACTTGGGGGAAGCAGAATCCAGATTGGGATGGGTAGAAAAGTGAATACATTGTAAGGTTGTAAGGGATTAAGCTGTGAATGGAAAGTATGGGAGTAGAACAAGGAAGTGAAAGATTTTCAGAAAGTTTCATCTTGTAAGGAAGGATTGATATAAAAACATTTGGTCTACAGAGATTATGGATAAAATATTTGAGCTGTATAATCTTTTTAAAAAGTTTTTTTTTTAAGAATAATGCTTTTACATCTCTGTAGAATAGTCATTCTACAGCACTAATTTCATGAACATCTTCCTTAATTATGAGAACTTGAGTTTAAGAGTTATTTAGTTTCAGGAGATTATGGATCACTCAAGCACAATTAGAAAAAGGAAATATGGGAGTTGAGAGAAGAAGGATGTCATATGGGAGGCAGAGCAGGAGTTGAGGTTATGTTTAAAAAATAAGGAGCACTGAACCTTGACCTCTGAGCCCTTATGAGAGGGAATAGGGAGCTGAATTATATATATGGCCTTCCATGGCAGGCAGGTGGTTGAAAAATACTTACTTAGCTATATAGAGTAGGATAAGTAAAGATTCTGAGGTTTTTTAAATCTCAAGCATCGAAAGAAAGGACTGTAGTGAGACCTGCAGAACAGGGAGCTAGTTATTCAGAATTATGAAAAATTAAGAAAAATATAATTGAATGGAATATACACATACATTTCTTTTGAAATGCACAATGCAGTTAAGCAAAACGCATGACAGCACCACATTGAAATCCTTGGAGGAGAGTCTTAAGTTTTAAAAAATTATTTGTATAGTACTTATTATTAATTTAGGCTGTGTAAAATATCTTAGTATGTGATTTTTATTTTAGTAACTATAAGAATTTATTTACTATAATTAGATTAATCTGTGACTTTCCCAGCTTAAATGTGAAGATAGATAAACATTTTGTTGCATGGACTAGCTACAAAATTACATTGAGTAGATCAAAACATGTTTTAATTTTTAATATGTGGAATATTGATCTATGTTTATAGGTGAAAATATAAATTTTTTCAGCCCTTTTCACTTTAAAACATTCCAAGTACATTTACTCATAAAATGCTTAGTATATTAAGGAGTTGCTACCTTTATAAATATAAATGTTAAATTGTATCAGGTAAACTTATTAGTTGAGCAGGAGTTTTTATATAAAGATATAAGCACATGTTTAAACAACATTTTAATATGGTTAAAAGGAATATATAATTATATATAAAAATTTTCAAACTCATTTAATATTTTAATGTATTAAAAATTTCATGATTTTAATAGACTATAGAAATTATTCCTTCAGATAATCTCAGTGTCACTAAGCTTTGTACTATACTGTACTACAGTGAAGGGAGCAGTAGCAGTGTCAGTTCAGAGAAGTTAAGTACAGATAAGAGAAGTAGTGAAGACCACAGGAAGGACAGCAAGTGTAGGATCATTTTGCATTATGGACCTTCCCAGGGAACAGCCAGGTAAAATCAAGCAATACTTTACTCTGCTTTTTTTTTTCTTTTACTATTATATTATTTCTCCTCCTTACTAATATTTTTTCTGTCTGCAGAGGTTGTTGGATGGACGTATGGGAACTAATGTCCCAAGAATGCAGAGATGAAGTAGTTTTAATTGACTCTAGTTGTCTTTTAGAAACACTAGAAACATATCTTCGAAAACACAGGTAAGTGTCAAGGTCATCACCGTATAGTTGGAAGGTGCCTTAGCTATTTGTCCTCCAGAGTAACCTGTCACTGACCTCCATATAATAGTACTCCAGGCTTTCCATTAATACCTGGCCCCAGACAGAGCTTAACGTTAAGGTAGACAATTCCTTTATGGTATGGTATGGTGTTAGCTTTCGTGTTTAGCCACCATCTCCTTTTTTGGGGGTAATTTTTATCTTAGTTCCATGTCAGCCTTTCAAGAAACAAAATGATTGAATTGAGTAAAGTGTACTTAATTTAGAAATTCTACTCTTTCTTTTTATGACAAGCATTTCATGATAACATTTTCAAAATTAAAGTTAAATTAGTAATATTTTGAACCTTTTCTATATTTTCTTCTATATAGTAATATTCTATAAATTTTTTGTCAAAACAAAAATGGAGTTGGAATTTCTGTGCTTCATGTACTATAAAAGTACAGATTTTTTAGAATGCTACTTAAGTGTCATTAACATTTGAAAATTCGTAGGGAGTGGAGAGTGCAGTAGGAAAGGAAACTGGTGAGGGAGCTATTTAGTGATGGCGCTCTTACGGGGAGTTGATGTCATCTATATATATAAAAAGCCAGGGACATTTACGCTATAAGGATACCCACTGTGGCCAGCGAACCAGTTGAGGGGTGGGGCCAGCGGCCAAACTCCTGCTCAGCCTCTCCCATCCTGATTGAGGGTGGGGCAGCCAGCCTGAAGCCCCTCCCACCCAACCTGCCCCACCCCTGATGGACCCCCCACCATCCTGACTGGCCCTCAGCACCTCCCCCCAGTCAGCTCCGCCCCCGATTGACCCCCCTACCACACCAACCCATGGCTCCTCCCCCAGGCTGCTGGCCCTGATTGCCCCCTTCATTCAGGGGCGGGGCCTGCCAGCCCATGGCCCACAGCCTCTCATAGCCAGCCCCACCCCTGATCAGCCCCCACCACCCTGATTGGCCTGCGGCCCCTTCCTCCAGTCGGCCCCCAGCGGGCCTGGCCCATATCTGGCCCATTTGGGGTGGAGTGGTGGACCAACCTCCTGCCATCTCCTTCCTATGGGACTGGCCCTGAGCCAATGATGAATTCATGCACTGGGCCTCCACTACCTAAAATTATTACCTCTTCTAGTGTCTGATATTTTTCTCTCCTTTGTTTTCTTCTAGGAGTTTTATAGTTTCAGGTTTTAATGTTTAGGTCTTTAACCCATTTCCAGTTAATTTTTTAGTTTTACTTGTCTTTACTACCTCTGTTTACCAAGTGGGCTTAGAGCTTCTATTTTAACCTGTATACATTTCAGGAAACACAGTTATATCTATAGGGCCAGAAAGATGTGTGTATCGAACTAATGCATGCAGCATAAGGGTAAATACTATAGTAAGAAGTGTAAATCAAATCAGAGGAACACAGGAAGTTTGAATTCTAGTTATAGGAATTGCAAAAGGTTTCTTTTTACACATACATACATATATATATATATATATATATATATATATATATATATTTGATGATTTTTAAAGAGGAAGGGAGAGCAAGAGAGAGAGAAAAATTGATAGTGAATGTTGCACGCTCCCCACTGGGAGCCCGTAACCTAGGCATATGCCCTGACCCATAATCAAACCAGCAACCTTTTGGTGCAGGGGACGACTCTCAACCAACTGAGCCAACTGACCAAGGCACAAAAGGCTTTTTAAGGAAGAACTTGATTTAGACAAATGGAGCTCTAGTTATATCTCATGTAACATCTAAACTTGTATTTATCTTACATGTATGTGTTATCCATTGTGTAAGGAAGCTTTTTAAAAAATGCCATGCAGCCTTTGCCTGTTTACTCAGTGATTAGAGCATTAGCCTGAGGACTGAAGGATCACAGGTTCAATTCCAGTCAAGGGCAGGTATCTCAGTTGCAGGCTCAATCTCTGGCCCTGGTTGAGGTGCCAGCCGATTGATTAGTATCTTTCACATCGATGTTTCTCTCTCTGTCTCTCTCCCTCCCTTCCACTCTAAAAATCAATGGGGGGAAAATTCTCAGGTGAGGATTAATTAAAAAAAAAAAATACTGTTAGGACTGTGTCATTGTGTAGTACACTGTTATATCCCTCATGAAATAATTACACAGCCAGTTCTTAATTTTGAGTTTTTTTTCCCTCTTCAACAGGTTTTGCACTGATTGCAAAAATAAAGTCCTCCGAGCATACAATATCCTTATTGGTGAATTTGATTGCAGCAAAGAGAAGGGCTACTGTGCTGCACTTTATGAAGGTTTGCGGTGCTGTCCACATGAACGACACATTCATGTTTGCTGTGAAACGGACTTCATTGCACATCTTTTGGGTCGTGCTGAGCCAGAGTTCGCAGGAGGGTATGAGTATGTAATTTGCTAGAATGGGCTATCTAGCGCTTTGCTTCATTTTATTACTGAAAGTTTATTTTCATCACCTTTTTTCATCAGTACATATAATGTCTATAAAGTGTGTCTGTAAAATTTTGCTTTCTTTAAAATGTGCATTTCTCAATTGACTAAGTGAAAATAGGGAGAACGTGTTTTGTGGTGTTTGATTCAGTCCTCTGCTGCTTGTTGCTTGAAGTAGGCAGACTTTTTTTTTTTGGCTTATATTATTATAGATGATCATTTTCACTTGAAAATGATTAGAAGGGATAGTTTTCCTCCTTCATCCATGCATTTTCATATTTAAATGTTGTTTATAATGATGGTTTCTGCATAGGAAGTCAGGCCTTTGCAGCAGGGGGTTATAAAGTACTTTATTAATGTAATTCATGAACTGTGTATATTACTATTAAGTTACATAGGAACCTAAAATTTTATCTGTGGCTTTATTGTGAAAATAATATCAGGGAAAGGTGTTTGTAGGATAAATGGAACCCATTTTCCTTTGTCTTTCGTGTAGCAACTTTCATTTGAGTGCCTAGGTTCTGTTAGGCATTTAGAATACAAATGCTCTTTTATCACTGAAGTTCTGTGAACACTTCTGAAGATTGGCTTAGGGGGCTTTTGCCCATGATTGAGTCACTTCAGCCTTGCCTTTCTCCATTCACCCTCAAAAAAGAAACAAAACCCAAACAGACATTTGCTATAATTGGAAGGTTAGAGGAACTGTCATGTCTACCATGAGCTGGACACTTTTATGTGACTTCTCTTTGCCCCCAAACCATCTATTTAGGGCCAGTTCCTGAATTACCTTATTTTTAGTAATATTAGGACTTAGCTCTATCTGCATGTATATTTCTCATTTTTAAAATACATTTGTACTTGTGTGTTTATGCATTAATTGAATTTGAATGTATAACTACCTTGTTACTAGGTTAATAGGTAGGAAGATTGTGTTTAAAATTTGAACTTGCAGGTGTGTTATTCACCTTTTACTGTTCCAGTTAAAGGAGTTATGTATAATTTGCTCTCCTTTATAGGCGAAGAGAAAGGCATGCTAAGACAATAGATATAGCTCAAGAAGAAGTTCTGACTTGCTTGGGAATTCATCTTTATGAAAGACTGCATCGGATCTGGCAAAAACTACGAGCAGAAGAGCAGACGTGGCAGATGCTTTTCTATCTTGGTGTTGATGCTTTACGTAAAAGTTTTGAGGTAAGAACAATGGGCTGCTTCAGTGTCCAGAATTGCTTATTGGACTGACTCTTAGTGTAAGCCACCAGGCTCACCTGGCCTCAGAGCGCTGCAGTCCAGTGCCATGTCTTTTGGGGGGTTAGGGAAGAAGCTTTCTGGGGAAGTGGAATTTAGAAGAAGTTTGTGAGTTTTTCTTCGTTTTGTCTGCCTTGGCTTTGTAGACTTTCTCAGAGTAGAACACTGAAGTTGGTTATTATTTAACAAGATGCTGCCATGAAGCATAACTAATGAAAACTCAAAAGCAGCTAAAAAATAAACAAATTTAGAAACCTTTAATGAGTCCTAGTATGCTTGCTGATTACCAATAATATGAAGTAAATGCTGTCAAAATGCCATGATGTAAGAACTACTTCTTAGAAGTACACTGGAAGCTCTTTATAATGTTGGTATTGGGTTAAGTGCTTGTGTTTTTTTCAGTTAAACACTATAGAACATAAATTTTTGGCTAGTGAATATTTTGTTATAGTGTAGGACATGGTTATAATCCTTTATTTGGTTCACCAGTCCCTTCAGAAAAGGGTATGAAAGCTACACATCCTTTTTTCAGAAGCCTATCGTGCATTGTTCTAGCAGTCTGAGGAGATTTATACTAGTTCTTGCTGAACAGAGTTCTTACCCTTTTTCTCCCTGTATGTTTGTGTCTTCAATAACTAGATCATTTAATGGGGTTAAATAGTCTTCTCATTATGTGATGAAATGAATGCTTTGCTGTGTTAAAATTTTGAAATTAGGAGAAAAATTCTGAAATTAGAATATGCTGGTGTGTATAAGTCTGCCTTTCCCATATAGATTAGTTGTATATTCACTTCCTATGTAGATTTTACGTCTGTAATCACTTAAAGTATTAATATTTGAAATTCTTTGTGGAGATTATGTGACAGAATTGCAACATGAAATAATCAGTTTCTGTGTTTGTAGTATCATTTAAAGTTAACAAATGAGAATGTTCATGAAAAATAAAGGAAGTTTTAAGCACAATTATTCATTTTCAACTTTTGTTTTTGTAATAGATGACTGTGGAAAAAGTACAAGGTATTAGCCGATTGGAACAACTTTGTGAAGAATTTTCGGAGGAGGAACGAGTAAGAGAACTCAAGCAAGAAAAGAAACGTCAAAAACGGAAGAATAGACGAAAAAATAAATGTGTGTGTGACATTCCTACTCCCCTCCAAACAGCAGAGGAGAAGGAAGTAAGCCAAGAGAAGGTAGGATTTCTTAATATTGACTCATGAATACTTAATAAGGCTTTTTGCTAGATTTTGTTATTTTTACCATACCTTTTCCAGAATGTGAGCTCCAGCCTTTTTTCCTATTATAATCTGTATAATCCAAAATTTTTAGTCATGTGTTTGTTTTATAAAGATGGGTATCTTTTTTTAAAACCCTCATCTGAGAATATTTTTCCATTGATTTTTAAATATATATATATTTTATTGATTTTTTACAGAGAGGAAGGGAGAGAGACAGTTAGAAACATCAATGAGAGAGAAACACTGATCAGCTGCCATCTGCACACCACCCACCAGGGATGTGCCCGCAGCCAAGGTACATGCCCTTGACCGGAATCGAACCTAGGACCCTTTGGCTCTATCAACTGAGTCAAACTGGCTATCTTTTCCCTGACCTTGGTATACTGTTAGGTCAAAGTTAACTCCAGGAGGTGATGGTTCGATTCTCAGCCAGGGCATATACCTGGATTGCAGGCTTAATCTCCATTTTGGGGTGTATGGAGGTATCTACCAATGATTTTTTCTCATCATTGATGTTTCTATCTCTTTCTTCCTTTCTGAAATCAATAAAAATATATTTTTTTTAAAAAAAAGTTAACTCCAAACATGACCTAGAGCAGTTCTCACTTTTTGATCTTAAGACCTGTTTGCATTCTTAAAAATTAAGGTGCCCATTATCTTTTGTAAATTATATCTGTCAAGTCGAAACGGTTTGGCTCAGGGGTAGAGCGTTGGTCTGCGTACTGAAAGGTCCCGGGTTCGATTCCGGTCAAGGGCATGTACATTGGTTGCGGGCACATCCCTGGTAGGGGGTGTGCAGGAGGTGGCTAGTCGATGTTTCTCTCTCATTGACGTTTCTGGCTCTCTCACTCTCCCTTTCTGTAAAAAAATCAATATAATATATATTTTAAAAAGAACATGTTTTAAAAAATTATATCTGTCAATATTCCTATATTAGAATTGAAAAATTCTAAATTATTGGTTCTTTTAAAAAAATAATTTCACTATGTGTTAACATAAATAACTTTTAACCTGAGGATATATTTATTGATTTTAGAAGGAGAGGAGGGATGGGAGAAAGAGAAACCTCTATTGGTTGCCTCTCGTATGCTCCGTGACTTGGGATCAAACCCACAACCTAGGTGTGTACCCTGACTGGGAATTGAACCTGTTACCCTTTGGTGTATAGGTCGACACTAAATCATCTGAGCCACTTGGCCAGGGATGAATAACATTTTTTGAAATTTAACTATTTTCAAAAGAAAAAGTAAGAAGGGTGGCATTTTATATTTTTGCAAATCTCTTAATATTTGGCTTAAAGGAACCAATCAGATGGATTCTCACACCTGCTTCTGCATTCAGTCTGTTTTTCTCTGTTGCTGGTTGAAACATTTAAAGAAAGTCTTGCACTTAGAATAGATCTTTTGCCCTAGCCGGTTTGGCTCAGTGGATAGAGCGTTGGCCTGCTCTCAAGGGTCCCAGGTTCGATTCCGGTCTTGGGCATGTACCTTGGTTGTGTGCACATCCCCAACGGGGTGTGTGCAGAAGGCAGCTGATCAATGTTTCTCTTTCATTGTTGTTTCTAAATCCCTCTCCCTCTCTGTAAAAAAAAAAAAAAAAAAAAAAAAAAAAATTACTCATGTATGATTTGCAACAGAATGCAAGGTTATTTGAAAGATATGGGTTGTGCTGAAACCGGTTTGGCTCAATGGATAGAGCATCGACCTACAGATTGAAAGGTCCCAGGTTTGATTCCGGTCAAGGGCATGTACCTTGGTTGTGGGCTCATCTCCAGTAGGGGGTGTGCAAGAGGCAGCTGATCGATGTTTCTCTTCATGGATGTTTCTAACTCTCTATCCTCCTTTCTCTTCCTTTTTGTAAAAAATCAATAAAATATATTAAAACAGAAAAAAAGATATGGGTTCAGCCCAGTTAGTGTGGCTCAGTGGTTAAGCTTCAACTTATGCATCAGGAGGTAATGGTTCTATTCCCACACTGCACATGCCTCCATTCCCAGTAGGGGGCCTTCAGAAGGCAGCTGATCAATGATTCTCATCATTGATATTCCTATCTATCTTTGAAATCAATAAAAATATATATTTTTAAAAAAGAAAGATTCTGAGTATCTTCCCAGTATATTGACATTTCATTATATAATACCAGATAATCAATCACATTAAAAACACTACTAATCTCATCAGAAAGGTTTTTTTAAGTATTGGGAAGCTTTAAGCTCATTGTGCTTGCATATGCATGTTTCAGAATTCTGGTTGAGTTTGAAAGTTTGGTGAATTTTATCATTGACAACAAATACTTTGAAGTGATGGGCTGACTTCATTTTTTTTTTTTTTTAACTTCATTTTTAAAAATATATATATATTATTGATTTTTTACAGAGAGGAAGGGAGAGGGATAGAGTTAGAAACATCTATGAAAGAGAAACATCAATCAGCTGCCTCTTGCACACCCCCTACTGGGGATGTGCCCACAACCAAGGTACATGCCCTTGACCGGTATCGAACTGGGGACCTTTCAGTCTGTAGGCCGACACTATCCACTGAGCCAAACTAGTTTCGGCTAACTTCATTCATTTTCAAGAAAATGTCTTTTAATATCCAAGGTTTGAATAACCTTAGTTTGTCTTAATTCTTTCTTTCAAGTAAATTGATGATTCAGGAAAAATAACTAATTTAGCTTGTAATTGAAACAGTTGCACAAGTACTTTCCTTGAGATAGTAATTGTATTTTGGTGTACACAAAAGTGCTTCAAGCGTACTTCCCATTTGTCACACAGGCTCTTAAAAAAACATTTACTGATGGGTTTATATTTAATAAAATTAATATTTTTATTGCTTCAAAGACATTTAGAAGTTAAATATCTGTCTCCTGAGAGTGCTTGACAAGTGAAGAATATAGTGACTAGTAGTACACTTTAGTTTCGACTGCCTTGATTTGTGTTGCTGAAGTCAAGGAATTTTCCCCACTGTTGTGTTTGTATCATCAGTGTAAGTGTCAAAACAGTGAAAGAGCAGATTACATCTTAGTATTATGATGAAAATAGTTTTGACCTAAGGAACCATTAACTCCACTTGCTTTATCTTTTAAAAAAATATATTTTATTAATGTTTTTTTTACAGGGAGGAAGGGAGAGGGAGAGAGACAAACATCGATCAGCTGCCTCCTGCACACCTCCTACTGGGGATGTGCCCACACCAAGATACATGCCCTTGACTGGAATGGAACCTGGGACCTTTCAGTCTGCAGGCCAACACTATATCCAGAGTCAAAACCAGTTTCGGCTGGGCCCCAGACCTTTGAGGACCAGAAGGCCATTCCGGAGACCCAGACAAGAGCCCATTGCTTATTCCTTTATTGGAGTCTTAAATACCCAGCCTAGTCCAGACCACCATTTCATCATCTTAGGGTCCTGCCCTTGACCCAAACCTCCCATGTGGACCCATATCGCCCCCGAGTGACCAGACCTCATCTGGGGCACAGACCTATATCTGGGTCCCAGACCATCATGCTGTTAGAAACATAGATGAGAAACATCGATTGGCTGCCTCCACCCCACCCCCACAGGGGATGTTCCCGCAACCAAAGTATATGCCCCTGACCGCAATCTAACCTGGGACCCTTGAGTCCGCAGGCCAACGCTCTGTCCACTGAGCCAAATCAGTTAGGGCTCCACTTGCTTTTAGTTGGGTTAATGTCTTGAAGTGAATTAATATTTTTTTGTGAAAGTAGTTGTTTTTTTTTTATTGTTAACCTCATAACTTATTAGTTAATGTGAGTGTAGCCATAATGGAGGTAAAGCTTTTTAAAACTATCTCTTAATGCTGATCCTTAAAGGAAACAGACTTCATAGAAAACAGCTGTAAAGCCTGTGGCAGCACTGAAGATGGTAATAGTTGTGTAGAAGTAATTGTTACCAACGAAAATACATCATGTACCTGTCCTAGCAGTGGCAATCTTTTGGGGTCCCCTAAAATAAAGAAAGGTAAGTAAATATAGTTTCTTTTTAAAATTAACTCTTGTTTATTTTTTCCTTTTAAATGTAAGCTTTTAGAAATGCTGTAAGCTAGAATTCAAGAATTGCTTTATACTATTAATACCAAGAGTATCCTTTGGTCAGACACTTAATATTTCTTTTTTCTTTATGGTGTTTGATTTGTTAGTATTTGATAAAAACAAAAAATTGTAAATCCCTATTCATGTTTTAATTATTTAATTTACTTTCTACTTTTAATAAACCATTAATTTTGAAAAATTTCTATGGTCTTTAGATAGTTCACATTTTGTCTTAACATATTTATTGGTATGTTAATTGTAACTGTCACCTAATTAATTCTCAGGCTTATCTCCACACTGTAATGGTAGTGATTGTGGATATTCATCTAGCATGGAAGGGAGTGAAACAGGTTCCCGGGAGGGTTCAGATGTTGCTTGCACTGAAGGCATTTGTAATCATGATGAACACGGTAGGTTCAGATTAAGTTTCCCAATTATTTCTGCTACATGGCTGATTTAAGCGCATAAGTAAGAAATTATGATTTCTGCAGGTGATGACGCCTGTGTTCATCACTGTGAAGACAAAGAGGATGATGGTGATAGTTGTGTTGAATGTTGGGCAAATTCCGAAGAGAATAACACCAAAGGAAAAAATAAAAAGAAGAAAAAGAAAAGCAAGATGTTGAAATGTGATGAACATGTAAGGGTCATAACTTGCAATTCTGAAGCCTTTGCAGTTAATGGGAGACAACCTCTTTTCCTTGGAGTGGCAAGAGTGCGGTTTAGCTGCTAGGATTTATTATTGCTTTTTTTTTTTTTTTTTTATTATTGATTTTTTTTTACAGAGAGAGAGATTGAGAGCTAGAAACATCGATGAGAGAGAAACATCAATCAGATGCCTCCTGCACACCTCCTACTGGGGATGTGCTCGCAACCAAGGTATATGCCCTCAACTAGAATCGAACCCGGGACCTTGTGAGTCCTCAGGCTGACAGTCTATCCACTGAGCCAAACCAGTTTTGGCATTGCTTTAAGAATGAGTATTTTATGCAGTTCCATTGGTTGCTTATCTTGTGATTTGGATGTGTATCTGATGTGGTTCAACAACCCATGAGAGTTATAAATCCAATTCATTTTTTTTATATTACTTTGAAAGTTTGCTTGATCATACTTTTACCATCTGTAAAATGGAGGAAAAGGTCCAAGATTAAGTTATCTATTCTAATAAAATCATAATATGCTAATTAGACTGGACAGCCTAATGACCTTCTGGATGACCTTCCGGACGAAGCCAGTGCTGCCTGGCACAAATTCTGTGCTTTGGGCCTCTTAAGTGTAAAGATAAAATGAGATTATATTAATGGATTAGCATAGTGCCTGGTATGCAGTGTTTAATAAATTTCAGCTGCTGCTTTTATTCAGTATTCTTTTTAAAAATTTAATACACTATCGGGCTTTTTTATTTTTATTTTTTTCTTTAAAGAATAATTGCTATTAATCACTGCCTTCTTACCTGGGAAATCCTTTGCTATGATTTTAGATCCAAAAGCTTGGAAGTTGTATTACAGATCCAGGAAATCGAGAGACCTCAGGAAATACCGTGCACACGGTGTTCCACCGTGACAAGACCAAAGATGCACATCCTGAAAGCTGCTGTAGCTCTGAGAAGGGTGGACAGCCACTGCCTTGGTTTGAGCATAGAAAAAATGTACCACAGTTTGCAGAACCTACAGAAATTTCATTTGGTCCTGATTCTGGAAAAGGTGCCAAGAGTTTAGTTGAACTCCTTGTAAGTAAACCATGATGTCTTATTGTGGATGATTGCCCATGGCTAGATGTGGGAGTGGACAGAATTTTTGAGGGTTTAAAGTTGGAAGTGGGGGAAATTAAGAGCATCAATTCATTATTTTTTTTGGTGACCTCATTTCTGTTCTTTCACTTGTGGTTTATACAGCTCCTCAGAAGTACATTTTCCTATTCTCCTTTCTCTTAAAGGTAGAAGAAACTAGTTGGGAGATGAGGGTAGAGTTAGCATTATGTCTAGGAATCTGCCTCCTTCAAGAGGAAGGTTATGTAAGCAAATTGTCTTTCTGAGTGGCAATTTTATATAGTAGCCACTCTTCCAGAGCAGAATCTGAACTACAACCCAGGTTTTTAGGTTACTTCCTTTCGGTGTCATGTATGATAAAAGCATAACTGAACATGGAAAACCTTTTATAATTGATTCTAGTTCTTGATACTTGAGATGAAGTATACATACCTGATTCCAAGTGATCTAGTGTATAGCTTGTGTGGGGCTTAGAGGAGGGGGAAGAAGAAGAAAGGTGTTTTTTCTATAGTAGTTGGGATCTTAATGGAATCAAATCCTTTATAGAATACTAGTTATTTCTTTTTTATAAGGTCATAAAGTTAAATGGTGGTGTTGTGTAACTTACAAGTTAATAAAGGTTATACTTTTACTTAAATTGTAGAGAGAAAAGTTTCAGCTTAAGATCAACTGGAGATAAGTCTGGTTATTTAAAATTTGGTAGCTAGTAACCATCTCTAATTAGTCATTTTTTTAAGGCAGAAAGAAGATATGTTGGTATTAGCTAGGCTCATTATAGCCTTCTAGGAAGAATGATAGATCCAGAGTTTCAAACAATCAAATTGTGTTGAATTTTGTTCTCATTTAGTACTTTCTAAGACAGAACAACATTATGCTTATTCTGTAAACATTCAATTAAAAGGTTTATTTTACTGAATTGAAACTGAAAAGCTAACTGCTTTAATATTTAGTTGTCCTCCATCAGTATAACACTTTGCATTCTTTAATTTAAATCATAGTCTTAATTATTCCTTTAATTTGCAGGATGAGTCTGAATGTACTTCAGATGAGGAAATCTTTATCTCACAAGATGAAATACAGTCATTTATGGCTAATAACCAGTCTTTCTACAGCAATAGAGAACAATACCGACAGCATCTGAAGGAGAAATTTAATAAATACTGCCGCTTAAATGATCACAAGAGGCCCATTTGTAGTGGCTGGTTGACAACGGCTGGAGCAAATTAAATAAATAAAATAGCTCTGTCTTTCAATGAAACACTCAAGATGACTACTGCGCCTTCTCTTTCAAAAAACCTCTTAATTTAGTGACTTACAGCAAAATTTTATCTTAAATCAATGTGATTCTTGTTTTGGGAGATGGTGGAGGTAACCTCATTAGTTTGTTCTTTCTTTAGGCTTGTGTCTTTAGTGGCTGCACAGGCCTGCCATATGATTTAAGCCATCTCTTTCCTTAAATGTTTCTCTTCCTGTGAGACTTACTAAAGCAACTTAGTGGCAAAAGTAATGTTGTACTTATACTTCTGTACAGAAATGACAATGAGCTGAATATATGGTTTTACAAAGTAGACATCCACTTGCAAAATGTTTGGATGTACTGTTAAAGCGCAATGTGCAAAATTTAAATAAAGAATATTTATTAATACGCACAGTAAAATTTGGTGTACATGTTTCTGCTTAATGTGTGGCACTGTTGTAATATTTGCCACTTTTGGACTTGGTACTTGGCCAGTGTTGATGTTAGAGAGGATGAAGAGCAAATGACAGAGATAGATTGTTGAAGAGAAAATTCTTACTTTTTAGAATTGATAGCTGAGAAAAGCAGTTTCCAGTCTTTAGTTTTTATATATTTACCTTTTAACACTGGCCAGCATCTAACTTTCTCATAAGACTTAATAGCCATTATTGAAAGTCCCCTTATAAACCCAAAGCACCTTAAATTCAGAGGTTCATATTGAATTAGAAGAATGAAAACAAAATTTGGCAGAATTTCAAGCATGGATTGCCCGATTAAGTAATTATTCAGTGGGTAGAATTGGGTCAGAAGGCTGTACTGAGAGCTAACCACATTGTGGTCTTTGTAAGTGCATGTTCTTACATGGTTTTCAACAATGAAGTTACTGTGGCATTTTAGTTTACTGCCTTCACAAGCTGTCTGAATACTGAAGGAGAGATTCCCCTAGGAGTAGCATTTGGCTGCCATTTAAAAAGTTGAGTCAGTAGTTCAGTAAACACATATGCTTAGAGCTTTGTTGTCTGCATGTTGATAATACTTGGTGGGCAGCAGACAGCTGTTGCGACTGTCAATACTTCTGTGCAATAGGATGGAGTGAATTTTATGGGCTTTCTACTGATTAATCAGATTTCTAATCAGATTTCAGTGGGCAACATCAGAAGCCTAATGAGATTTAATTTTTGTAGTTGGTGGCATTTCTTTGATCCACCTCTTGAGCTGTCTTTTCAAATCTTAGTCTTGTATAGGGATTGGGGCAGAGGTAAAATAAGTGATGATTCCTCTCTGACCCTGTTGCTTTTATCTTGGAATCCATAAAGATTGACCAAGGGCCTCCCACAGCCCTTGGCTTTTGTCCCAATCCTTTACCACCTGTTGCAGTCAAGTTTCCTCTTGAGATCCCTAAATGCAAGAGCTGGTTTTGTGTTAATCTATAACCTTCTGGCCAAATATATGAGTGCTTGTTGAATGAGTAAGCTAGCCACAATCACTGCTTATTCCATTGCTTGCATTAGAGGGATTCTAGTAGTTATATGGATAGATCTTTTCTTTGGAAGGATAGCTATATTAAGGATGCAGAAGTGGCCCCAGCTGATTTGGCTCAGTGGATAGCCTATGGAGTGAAGGGTCCCGGTTCAAGTCCAATCAAGGACACATGCCTGCGTGGGGGGTGTGAAGAAGGCAGCCAATGATTCTCTCAGCATTGATGTTTTCCTTCCTCTCTGATTTCAATTTTTAAAAAATTATATATATTTATATTAAAATGCAGAAGTGAGGCAGCTATCAGTGCTTTGATGAAATATATCCTAAGTAGCAAAACCAACAACCTAGGAAGAGACAAAAGGGAGAATGGAGTGAAGGCATTTTAGGGGCACATCCTCTGTGGTTCAAACCATGTTTTACCCCTTCCTGTCTTAACTAAGTTTAGTTATCTAAAAAAATGAAGGTATTAGTAAGTACTCTTAGGGCTATTCTGCATATATAATACGTTTAAAATGCTTAAAAGGGCATGTCACACCGTACGTAAATGTCCAATAAATGTTAGCTATTGATTTCATCTTTTATATATTTGCAGCAATGAGAGTGAGAAGGTCTAGGTCTAGGGCAGTTGGAAGCAGTCCATTGGGATAGAATCCCCCAACACTACTTGGAGGTGTTTCCATTTTTAACCATCACTTCTTGGTTAGTAAGATTGACAGTCCCTCCCAAGGTCGCCTCGTATTGATGACTGAGACTACCCAGTCTTCCTGGGCTGAATTCTTCCCATCAGCCACCGGCTGGTTTAGTAGGGCGTTGGAGTCACCTTAAGTGACCTTAATTTCTCTTCCTGGCCTTGGGTCAGGAAAAGGAAGGGCATCCTCCGGCCTGGGGCAAACTGCCACACATCGGTTTCCCTGCCCCAAGGGGAAGAGCTCACCTGGGAAGCCGGACCCCAAGGCCCCAAGCCCCTCCGGCGCAGGCCCTCACCCATAGGAAGACCAGTTCCCTCGCGGGGGGGAGGGTGTGGGGGAAACGCGGGGCGGGACCGGAAGGGGCGGCGCGCGGCGGCGCGGGGGGCGGGACGTCCGGGCTGCTGCGCCCTCTGGCGGGTGTGGCCGGCGGTGGAGGGGAGGAGGGCGGAGTCCCGGCCGCCCGCCAGCCCGGCCGGAGGCGGTCCCAGCGCGGCCCGGACGGGGGCCAGGCGGCGGCGGCCGTGCCGGTAGGGGAACGGTCTAGCCCCTGCGACCTGGCGCAGAGCTCCGCCGCCCGGTCGCCCAGCCCGCGCTGTGCGGTGGCCCGGGGCAGCATGGAGCGGTGGCGCGACCGCCTCGCCCTCGTGACGGGCGCCTCGGGGGGCATCGGCGCGGCCGTGGCCAGGGCCCTCGTCCAGCAGGGAGTGAAGGTGGTGGGTTGCGCCCGCACCGTGGGCAACATAGAGGTAAAGCCTGGCTGGGGGGCGGGGTGCCCGGGAGGGTCGTTTTCGCCGGGTTCGGGTCCTGGTGGGGGCGGGGGCGGCCGGGGGCGGGCTGTGACGCCGTCCTCCCTGGCCCGCCACCCCCGGGTGTAGGGGCAGGCTGGTGCCTAGGGGGGCAGGCCTCTGGAATGCCCTCTTTTAAGGAACAATTCCCCCCTCCCCACCCCATTGTACCAAGTCTGTCTCTGGCATCTTCCTCCCTCTCCTACCTGCCTGCGCGGGTAGGCTGAGGACAGGGGAACCAGAGATCCCGGCTTAGCGAGGCAGCCAGGGAGAAGGAAAGAAAAAGCTTTCCGGATTGCTTTCTCTGGTCCCCAGACTTAGCCCACAAAGCCAAGGAAAGTGGCTGGGCAGCCAGATGAGCAGAAGCTAGAGGTTATGATGATGATTTTTTTTTTTTTAACCCAGGTCTGAGGTTGGGATTGAAGTGGGAGTGGTTTTTCTGAAAACAAACAAACAAAAACAGACAGTCTAGCCTCCTCCCTCCCCCGACCCCAAATATGAGGACTAACGTCCTTCCCAATGGGCTTAAAGGAGTGACAGACCCTTGTCCAACTTGACTAGGCGGGACTGAGGAGGTGACATAGGCATTGAACATGGGAGCCCCGAGGGGAACAAAGCACTGGAGATGGAACTCCGGCTTCCTCTGAAAGTGGGGTTGGGAGCAGAGTGGTGAGCAGCAACAGGAGCTCAGAGACAAATGAAACGAAGTTGGCCATGTTGAAGCATGGGGGAACAAGGGGAGGCATTTCCATCCTGTTCACTGGATTTGCCCAGCAAGATCACTCTCGGGGTGTGTGTGTGTGTGTGTGTGTGTGTGTGTCTGTGTGTGTGTCATGCTAGTGCTTAGCTGCAGGGCATTATCTCCACCATTGCTCAGTGTCCCTGGGCTGGGAAAGGTAAGGAAGCCTTGGGTGGGGGCAGGAGGAGAAGGTGTACAGGAAGGAGGGCTGTCCCCTCCCCTGCTGCCGCCCAAAGGTATATTTTATAGCCTCCTAGATAGTCCCAAGGTCACCTGGTTGCAACCCTGCCCTACTCTGCCCCTCCCGTTCTCCTGGAGCTCAGGAGCCTTGGAACCTAGAGGGTTAGGCCAGGGATAAGACCAGTGGATTCCCTACGTCTGAAGCTACTCCTGCCTTCTCTTCCTACTGCCCTGCCCCAAACTAACCAGGAAAGGGAGTCCCTGAGCCCCAAGGGAATCTCCAAGCGGATCACTTAGCCCCCTGAGGGCTGGTGGGGCAATGAGAGGGCAGGGCCGGGGAGAAATATATTCTCAGTCCCTCTATCTGGCTTTCCTGTGAGGGCTTTTGAGTCGGGAGGAGGAAGCGAAAAGTTGCCTGCCAGGTGGGGAGAGTTCTAGGTTAGCTTGCCCACAGTCTGCTTTTATTGATGGCTTGGTGGAGAGTAAAACAGAAACCCTGTTTCCTGAGGTGGTTGTGAGTAGGTAAAACTGGGTGAAGGGCTCCTGAGTCCCAGACGACTCCGCCTTTTACACTTGGAAAGTTAAAGCAGAAAAGAATTTCCTAGGTCACTTGATCCAGCCATTTATCCCCAGCTTGGTTTGGGGGGCAGGGAGGCTGCAGGCCGAGGCAGTTGGCTAAGCCGGCTTTCCTCTAGGGCACCCGTCCCCCCCTGGCCTTCTCCCTCCCCCCCATGTACTGCACACAGTCACCTTCACGAGTCTCAGGTGCCCCGTCGCTGGCCTCCAAGGCCACGTGGCTTGTTTCTCCCGGTTTCTGAATGTCAGCTTTCCTCCCAGGGATCTCGGTGGCTCTGCTTTCTCAGGTCTTTCCCTTCCTCGGGCCTCTTCAGAGTGCAATGCACGGGGCGGGGGGAGGAGGGGAAGATTGGGAGGGGGGGCAGTGTCACCTGTCACGTGACTTGCCCCAGAGTTTCCAGAGAACACTAGGCACTGTGGGACAGAGAAAGAATTTGTCCTCACTTCCTCACCCTTCCTGTATGCAGGGTGAAGGAAGACTGGCAAATGGGCTTGGTCGAAAAAAACACGTGTGAGAACTCTGAGCCAGGGAGGGATTTGTGGAGGGAGGGTGATAGTTCAGATGCAAGCCCTTCTGGATGAAGTGGTGGGAGAGAAGGGATGGAAGCGCTGGCACAACCAGCTCAGTGGCTCTTGGAACCAGTGGGAGTACGGGGTGGGGGAGAGGTGCATCTTACGTAGGAGCAGAGAAGGTTCTATTGAGGGAGAGGAAGAAAAGAGAAATCACTCCATCCCCAGCCCCCGGTCCAGTTGATCCGTGAGGTTACTCCATTGGTAATCTCAGCTCTCCCCTCCCTCACTCAGGGTGCACTCTCACCCCCTGGACTTAGACCAAAGAAGACAAGCTTAGTCCCAATATCAGTGTGGCCAAAAGGTGGCTGCCAAAGGAGAGAGCTCTGAGCAGTGGCAGCAGAGGGAGGTCGGCTCTGGCAGGGAGGTGTGGGAGTGAGCAGCTCACCCCAGTTAGATCCCTGTTGGGTTTCATAGGAGCTGGCTGCCGAATGTAAGAGTGCAGGCTACCCCGGGACTTTGATCCCCTACAGATGTGACCTGTCAAACGAAGAGGACATCCTGTCTATGTTCTCGGCTATCCGCTCTCAGCACCGCGGTGTGGACATCTGCATCAACAATGCTGGCCTGGCCCGGCCCGACACCCTGCTCTCAGGCAGCACCAACGGCTGGAAGGACATGTTCAATGTAAGGGCTGCAGACAGGGAGTGGGGGGCTGAGAGGACGGTGGGGAGCCCAGAGTGGGTGAGCCGGAGCACTGCTCGGGATGGGACAATAGCAAGAAGGAGCTTTGGGTTCCTTCCGGGCACCCTTTCTTCTTTCCCTGCCTGAGGGATAGTGAGTGGATGAATGGCCATGTCTTTTTTCCTTTGAGGCCCTGGGCATAGTTCTTAAAGTCCAGGCTGATTCCTTCTATTGGAAGAAAGCTCGGTAGGGGAGAGAGCTGCTGTTTACTGAATGTCCCCATATGTCAGCACTATGGGTGTTTGGGAACATGGTCTTATGGGAAGGAAAGGATCGGAGAGACAGGAGACAATGTTCTTAACCAGCCCTGCCAGCAACTATGTGGCTTCAGGCAGGTACTTACCCTTTCTGAGCTTCCGTCTTGCCGCATTTAATTGGGATGAACACACTTGTACCATCAGTATCTGGGGTCACTAACTCTAATGTCCCCTGTGGCCAGGAAGGTAAGAGAGTGAGGCAGGTCAGGTGGGGTGGGCAGTAAGTGACAAAGCACACGGCCATGTACAGGGGCAACCACTCTAAAGTCCAGTGTCCCTGCTGTAGGGCATTGTGGCCCAGTGTGGCCAAATCTTATGATTTCTTTGAGAGGAGAGGGGAGCCTGGGTTTTTATGTGACACTCCATCCCTCCCTGAAACCTCACTTCCACGAGGGCAAGGATTTTTGTGTGTTTTATTCTCTTACAGCCTCAGCTTGGAAACAATCAATAGATAACTTTTTTAATGAATGAAACCTTCTAATACATGTTGGAAATAAATTTAAAATGCTTTTAAAACTAAGTATGGTCCCAACACGGCCATGGGTTTTCAACTTCTGGACTATATTATGGGGCAGTATTGGGTATGAAATTATTCTGAGAAGTTGAAAGCAGTGTGTAAATGCAATGTGTCTTTCCCCTCACAATTCTTTTTAAAATATATATATATTTTTATTGATTTCAGAGAGAGGAAGGGAGAAGGAGAGAGAACCATTGCTGGCTGCTTCCTGCATGCTTCCCACTGGGGATCGAGCCCACAACCTGGGCGTGTGCCCTGACCACGAATCAAACTGTGACCTTTGGGTTCGTGGGTCGATGTTCAACCACTGAGCCACACCGGGCCCCCACAATTCTTTTCATGTCTGCTCACAGTAGCTTTAGCACCTGACAGGTGTTTGGGCCAGGAAATGAACAATGACTATTGAAACAATGAACAGTGAAAGTGAAGCACTCTCCTTGCCCTCACAGAGAGCCTTCTGGGAAATCTGAGTTGTGGCCCTCACCTGCACAGGTGGGTCTCTCAGCTGTATCTCAACTTGCCATCTATAAAGTGAGGGACTTATGTTAAATCCCTAAGGCCCCTTCCACCTTGAGCATTATATAATTCTTTTTTTTTCCTCTATGTATTTTATTTTTTTATTAAATTATTATCTGTGTACATATTTTAACATTGCCCCCCCCCCCATACATACCTTCCCTCAGCATTATATAATTCTGTTAGGATCATCCTATGAGGCATTTTCTCCACTCCCATCCCTAACCCCTGGACCTAAGACAGTGGTCAGCAAACTGCGGCTTGCCTCTCTATTATCTAATGAGTTTGCCGACCACTGACCTAGGAATCCACTTCCCTGACATCCAGGGATCTGTTTCTCCTACTCCCTCTGTCCCCAGGAGCTGGGTCCTCTGCCTCACAAGCCCGTACTGCTAAGAGGACCAGAAACGGGGCTGAGAGCCCCTGTGTCCTTCTGTGAATGCTGAGGCAGGTTCACGCTCAGGGTGTTCTGTCCTGATGCCTGGCTCTGACGCCTGATAAGGGCAAACATCTGATTTCCCGGCTGGCCCCGTCTCTTCTGGAGAGGCGAGACATGAGGCCCTGCTGAAAGCTTTATCTCTGCTTGTCCTCCTGGGTAAAGCTAGGGGTGGGGCTGGGCAGGAGCTTTAGAGCAGAGACACTTCTTCAGGCCTCTGTTCCTTGAAGGGTGGGGATTTGGTGTCACCTCTGCCAGAGCGAGTAGGAGAGGGCAGAAAGGGGCCAAGGAAGGCGGGAAGCCCTTTGGGAGGCCCCCTGCCTTCCATGACAAGTTACCCCACCCTCTTAAGAGTCTCTGCCTAGTTCTGTAGATGGAATAGAGGTTAAAGGAAGGAGGAGCAGACCTTTTCTACTAGCAGTCTCAAGGGAGGGGGCAGGGAAGGAGCAGAGAATGGCTGGGTAAGGTGGGGAGAGGCGAAGGGGTGTTTGAGGAGAGAGATTTTTAAAGCCACTTTAGGAAGGATTTGAGGCTGTATAGGAGAGAGCAGGATCAGGGGCACTGTCCCAGAGAAGAGGGTATTTGAAGAAGAAAAGAAAATGGCTCCCTGAGGCATAGATTCTGCTGTTTGGAGAGGAAACAGCCAAGATACAGAGGGTTCTGGGTTGTGTGTGGGGTTTGGGGGGTTTCTATTCCTGTTTGGAGGAACTTGGGGGTCACCCAGGGAGAGAAGCTGCCTCTGCTGTCAGCTGGGGCTGTCAGCTTTGGCGGGGGGCGGGGTACCTCTAAGGCACAGTGCTCTGGGCCTGTTGTTGGTCTCTGGTAGGACCTAGGCACTGTTTGGAATGCTTCCCAGGGTTCTCTGTGGCTCCATCACCTGCTCAGATGGGCCCGAGCTAGAGACATCCCATTGCCCTTCCTGGCCTGCAGGTGAATGTGCTGGCCCTCAGCATCTGCACGCGGGAAGCCTACCAGTCCATGAAGGAGCGGAATGTGGATGACGGGCACATCATTAACATCAACAGGTGAGACAGGTGGCCGAGGGCTAGCGCTGGGTGATCGCTGCAGCTCATTTGATCTCTTTGGTACTGTTTCTTTGGTAAAGCAGGGATTTAATTCTCCGTTAACACCCAGTGGCATGATTGTGGGGAGGGGAAGAACAGTGCATGTCAAGTGCCAGCCCCTCGTTGGCTGGAATGGGTGGCTCAGCCCTTGTCTTTGCAGTGGAAGCCTAGGGGCTCTCCTGGCCCTGAGGTTCTCCATTCCTCAGGCCCCGGAATGAACCCCACCTTGTGGTACAAAGAAAGACTACACAGTATCATTGGGAGCCCCCACTCTGAGCGGGGAGCCATGGCCTCTGCCCTCAGAGATCTCCCAGTAGAACTGCATCAGTGAATGCGCAGGTGAAATGAAGAGATTTTTGACAGCCTGCATGTCCAATGTCCGTGTGGGGATGACGCCTAGAATAGGGTTTTCAGGAGCTGCTTGAATAACAGCTAGATTAGTGAGCCCCAAGGATGGCCTCCAGAGGTCCCCTTTAGAAGGCTTCCCTGCAGCATCAAGGTCGGGGGGTTGACTGGTACAGCAGGGGGCACTGCTGGTCTCGGGAGCGTCACTGTCTTCTTTCCCCTTCCCTCCCTCTACCCAGCATGTCTGGCCACCGAGTGGCACCCCAGTCTGTGACCCATTTCTATAGTGCTACCAAGTATGCCGTCACTGCACTGACAGAGGGACTGAGGCAAGAGCTTCTGGAGGCCCAGACCCACATCCGAGCCACGGTGAGGGTGTGGCCTGGCCCTGGTGGGGATGGGATAGGCACAGGCCCTCTCCACCCACACATGCTGCCCAGGGAGCCCACGTCCAGGGTGTGCTGCGTTAGAACCCCTGCGAGCATATTGGGCACGGAGCTCCTGGGCTCTGGGGCTGCTTGCATGGCCCTGCTCAGTACCTGAGTGTCCCGGTTCACTGACTTCGAGGTAGGAGGGGATTGGCCTGACTGGAACATGGCGGGGTGAGGCTGAGGGAAAGCAAGGGATTGTGGGAAATCAGGTGCACAGTGGCAGGAAATCAGGACTCTGGGCTCTTCCCTTGAACGACCTTGGGCAACTTAACCTCTCCAGGCCTCAGTCTTCGCATTTATAATAATAAATGATAATCTATCAGGTTATGAGGTTTTTAAAGAGAGAACATTTTGTCAAACATTTACCTGGCTTTTAGTAAGGGCTCTGTAAGTGGTAGATATTGTGATAATCACCAGTGGCAGCCTTGGAGCCAGGAGGCAGGTGCTGGACATGGGACAGCCATCCCTGTGGCGTCCGTCCTCTCTCTCCAACCTACTCAAAGCCTGGCCTCTGAATGGGGTTGGGGTTGGGCAGAGCTCAGCTCCTGAGCAGGCCCTCTCTGTCGGCCCAGTGCATCTCTCCAGGATTGGTGGAGACACAGTTCGCCTTCAAACTTCATGACAAGGACCCTGAGAAGGCAGCTGCCACCTATGGACACATAAAGGTGGGGCCTCCCTCTGGGCTTGGCAAGGCCACTCATGCTAAGTGAAGACAGAGGGGAGGAAATCTGTCCTTCTAGCCAGGCTGTTACCCCTCCTAGAGGGTTGGGGTGGGATGTGGATGGTGGAGAGGACTTCAGTGGTGGGAGGGAACTTGGATCCATTCCGTCCTCATCTTAATCCCCTTTCCCCCTGGTGCTCAGTGTCTGAAACCTGAAGATGTGGCCCAGGCTGTCATCTATGTCCTCAGCACCCCCCCACATGTCCAGGTAAGTCTGGCATTGGCTGTCCACCCCAGGGAGAAGCCCAACGATTCCCAGAGGAGGAAAGCAGAGAGGCCTTAAAGGGGGTGGGCAGAGTGTCCTGCTGCCTCAAGCCTCTGTGCCTTCTGCAGATCGGAGACATCCAGATGAGGCCCACGGAGCAGATGACCTAGTTCCCTGTGGGGAGCTCCTCCTCTCTGAATCTGCACGGCTTGGTGCTGGCCTTGGGGTTGTAGGTGTTAATCTCTGGACTCCTGGACTCTGCTTCCTCTCTCCACCCCTCCCAGGGGTTTAAAAATGTTTGAGGTCTTTTTTTATCTAACGAATTGTTTCCACCACAAATGTGAAAAGTGGGCTGGGGAGAGGAGGTGGTGTCCCTGATTCTTTTACCTGTTAACTCACTCTTGGTCCCCTTCTTGGGCTCCTTGGCCTTTGTTTGCTGTCCTTGGTCTCTTCCCTTTGACTTGGGGCAGGACCTTGGCCAGAAGGGTGGCTTCCCCCTATCTTCTTACACTCCACCCTCTGTTGGCAGGGGGACCTCCCCACCTTTTATCTGAGTGGTTATGGAGGGCTCCAGCTTCCTCCTCTTCCTGCCCCAATGCCCTCACCAGCCCTTCTCTCCCCTCCCCTTCCCCACGTAGTTCTCCAGTCCAGTGGGGGTCATCACTCTACTCTGACTGGCAGCAGAATACCAGGGCCTTCCTCCCAAGTGGATTTCAGTGTGATAATTAAAAAAGAAAAATTTCAACAACCGACCTTGGCTTTGTAGTTGTCTTTTGGTTCTTCTCCTTTCTTTGTGGTTAGGGGTGGTTGTTTCTCAGAATTTCTCCCAGGTGAGTGGAAAGTAAGTGAATTTAGAGCCTTACTTCTGGAGTGTAGACTACCTTAGGTAGCAGGTGTGCTTTTGCGTTGGGTCTTGAAAATTGGTAGAATTTGCCAGCCAGAAAAGAAGACAAGATGTGCAAGGCTCAGAGGCCAGAAAGAGCATGCAATGCTGTGGAAACAGCACAGAACTTAGGGCAGGAGTGAGATGGGGCTGAAAAGCCTGAATCCCTGGAGCTCCGAGTGCTGAGCAAGGAGTCTGGCCATTACCTTCGGGCCAAGGGCTTAGAGAATCACCGCCACATGCCACACGGTAGGAAGTTACTGCTGAATCGTGCTAACCGGTGCTGAGGGTTTGAAAAGGCAGTAGAAGTGCAGGGAGGGGCTGGATGCAGGAGAAGCTGCTGAGCAAAATCACCAGTATCTAATGGGAAGGGAAGCACCACGACTGACCTAGTTGAACACATCTCCGTAACGTGCTCTTTGCTGGTTCCTGGGTGAAGACAAGCCTCCAGCTTCCTGGGACCTCGAGCCGGGATCAGGGTCCAGCTCAGCGCTGACCACTGCCTCCCACAGGCCGCCCGCTGCCTGGCGGCGGAGGTCGTTGCTTAGCCCGCCCCGCAGGCGGCGCTGTGGGGACGGCCTAGCGGTGCGCATGCGCAGTGCGGCGCCGCGCAGGAAGCCGGCTCGTGCGCAACTCGGAAGCGGGGCACCCGCGCGGGGTCCGAGGAGGCGGTCGCGGTCCGGCCACCTGCCTTCAGGGCGTCTTCCCGCCGCTGGGAGGCCGGACTGTTCGTTTCTGTCCGAGGAGGCGGGATGGGCGCCGCAGGCTCCGTCCGCAGTGACAGCTCTTGAGGACGTAGCTGAGGGCAACGAGCATGGCGCTGCTGTGGGCCCTCAGGGGCGCGACCCGGCGTTTCCCTGGTGGACCCGGGCGCCGGTCCTCACACCCGGCGGCGCGCGGGGAGCGGCCTGGTGGGGAGGAGCTGAGCCGCCTGCTCCTGGACGACCTGGCGCCGGCCCCGCGCTCCCTGGAGCTCCTGTTCGGCCTGTCCCCGTGCCTCCTGGCGCTGCGGGCCGCCCGCCGCCGCGTGGCCCGGCTGCTGCTCCAGGCCGGCCGCGCGGGGCTGCAGGGAGGGCGCGCGGAGCTGCTGCGGGCGGCCGAGGCGCGGGACATCCCGGTTCTGCGGCCCCGGCGGCAGAAGCTGGACGCCCTGTGCCGCCACCAGGTCCACCAGGGCGTCTGCATGGAGGTGAGCCCGCTGCGGCCCCGGCCCTGGACTGAGGCCGGGGAGGCGAGGCCAGGCGATGGCCCCCAGCAGCTTTGGCTCGTCCTCGAGAGGCTCCAGGACCCCCGGAACCTCGGGGCCGTGCTGCGCTCCGCTCACTTCCTCGGAGTGGATAAGGTCGTCACCAGCCGCAGAAACAGGCACGGACATTCGTTATTTCCCAGGTGTCCCAACTTCAGGGGGCAGCCGAGTCCCTCAGCACCTTGCCCCTTTGGTGATCCCCTAGTCAGGTTTCCCTAGCGCCAGAATTTTCCATCTTTCACCCTTGGGGGCTGAGGGAGGGGAGGGAGTAGGGGGAGAGCCCCGGCCTTGAGATTGCACAGCCTTACACGGGGCATGGGGTAACTTTGCAGCTGCCCGCTCACTCCGGTAGTCAGCAAGGCCAGCGCGGGGGCCATGGAGGTGATGGACATATTCTTCACCGATGACCTGGGCGGTTTTTTGCAGGTAAGGGCCTAGGGGGCTGGGGTGGCGGGAAGGAGCAGAAATGAGCCAAGCTCAGCCTCTCAGGGCACTTAACTAGCAACTGATGGAGGAAGGGGGAGAAGAGAGCATGTTGGCATCATTCCCTATGCTTCTCTAAATCCCTTTGGGAAGAGAGAAGGATCCCAGGTTGTTGTTGTTTTTTTTTTTAAAGCCATGAGTAGAACAGATTCTGCAGTTGGAGACATCCTAGCCTCATTCCCTTTACTGCACTTCCCCAGGCATCCCTTTTTGCCCTGCTGCAGGTCTACCACAGTGCCTCAGTACCTGCTAAGGAGTCTTCAGTAAATGTGTCCTGAGTTCCTCCATTGGGACTTAAAAAATAAATAAGTTTTATTGTTGAAGGCATTATGTATGCCCCCCCCCACTCCTTCTATCCCGCTTGAAAGGCTCTTTAAGTAAAGACTAGCCTATGCCTTTCTCCTCTTCCCTTTCATACACACAAAACAACCGTCACTACCAGACCCCCCAACCCCCAAATTTGGGGCGCAAACCTGTCAAGGAACCCGTCTGCTGTTCTTCTCTTGCTGGACACAAGGGGGCAGTATTGCCCTGCAATTTCCCGACCATCTCCAGGTCTCTCCCAAGTCTCAGTACTTCTTGGATCTCATTCCCCTATATGTAGTCTTTCTCTCTCTCTTTTTTTTTTTTGCCTCATCCACTGTCAGGGCTTTAAGTAACATCTATATTTGAATGCGCCCCAAATGTATAGCCTAACCTGGATCTTGCTCCTAAACCCCAGATTCACATATCTAGTTACCTACTCAATAGCTCTGTTTTCAAACAACTAGCAATATTGGTTTCAGAAAAGCAAGGTAAATAACAGTTGATGGGATTTTAGAAAGCTGCTCAATGTCCTCACCCCAGAATAATTCCAATATGAATAAATAAAAGCATCTCAAAGGGGTTATAAAACAAAACAGCTTTCTTTAGCTGTGTAATCGGCATTTCAAATTGAACAGTTCCATAGCCGAGCCTCTGTTCCTTCTGCAGACCCAGCTCAATCGATGGCAGCTCCATCCTCTCAGTTGGTTAGGACAGAAACCTTAGCACTGTGCTTGATTTTTTTCTGCTCTCACACCCATTCCTATTTGTCAGTGCATCTTTTTGGTTTTACCATAAAGTTATTTGCACATTCTCACCTCTTCTTGCTCTCTCCATTGCTACCACTTTGGTCCAAGCCATCATCGTCTCTTGCCTTATTATTACTATTATTTTTAAAAATATATTTTATTGATTTTCTTACAGAGAGGAAAGGAGAGGGATAGAGAGCTAGAAATGTCGATGAGAGAGAAACATCGACCAGCTGCCTCTTGCACATCCCCTACCGGTGATGTGCCCGCAACCAACACACATGCCCTTGACCGGAATCGAACCTGGGACCCTTCAGTCCACTCTACCACTGAGCCAAACCGATTTCGGCTGTAATATTATTTTTTTACGTCTACTTTTATTCTTGATTTTAGAGAGGAAGGGAAAAAGAGAGAGAGAGAGAGAGAAACATCAATGATGAGAGAGAATCATTGATCGAGCACACAGCCCGGGCGTGTGCCCTGACTGGATCGAACCCTGACCTCCTGGTTCATAAGCCAACGCTCAACCACTGAGCCACACCAGCCTGGCTCTTGCCTGTATTATTGTGAAACCCCCTACCTGGTCTTGCTTCTACTATTGGCTGTCAACCCAACAGGCAGAGAGATCCTGTTGCAACGTAAGTCAGACCATGCTACTTTTCTGTTCAGAGTTTTTCAAACCCTTTGCATTTCTCCTAATAAAGCCAATATCCTCCCAGTGGCCTTTGGCCTTACTTAGGTAGCCCTTTGTTCCCTCTTCTGTCTCAATGGCTCCCTTCCCGCTGGCCACCTTGTGATTGTGCTGTTCCTCACACAAACCAGGTAGGCAGCCACCTCTCAGCCTTCACATTTACTGATCGCTGCCTAGAATATTCTTCCCCCTGACGTCTACAACGTGCTTCCTCGTCTCCTTCAGACCTTCACTCAGAAGTCATTTCAGTGAGGCCCTCCCTTCCATGAAGCTGGGATTTTGGGCGCCGTTCGCTGCCCTATTTCCAGTGCCTAGAACAGAGTCTGCCCATTTTGGCTGCTTAATAACTATTGACTGAAATGCATGGCTCAGCGAGGTAATGCATACAGGGTGGGGCAAAAGTAGGCTCATAATTGTTTGCATGGGAAATAATTTAATATTAATACAAGAATAAAAAAAGTACTTGCAACTGTAAACCTATTTTTGCCCCACCTGTATATAGGCAAGGTTGGGGCTGTTCCTTGGCCAGGGCTCTGATGAAGGTTTGGTGAGCTAGAATATGATTTCTTTCCCCTTGCAGGCCAAAGCCCGGCAGGGCTGGCTTGTGGCTGGCACGGTGGGCTGCCCCGGGCCTGAGATCTCCGGACCCTCTGAGATCCCCATCACTAGTTGCTTGGAGTTCCTCTGGGACCAGCCTACTCTCCTAGTGCTGGGTAGGTAGATGTTCCTGCTTTTCTGTGCTCGGCCATTCATTTCCTGAGTGCCTGCCTGTCCAGCTGTGGCATCCCTAATCCTCTGCCCTTCCACCCCTCCCGTGCTCTGCAGGGAATGAGGGCTCTGGCCTGTCCCCAGAAGTGCAAGCCTCCTGCCAGCTCCTCCTCACCATCCTGCCTGGCCGGCAGCTGCCTCCTGGCCTGGAGTCTTTGAATGTCTCCGTGGCTGCAGGTGAGTCTTACTTCTCTTCCTCAGATCACACATGTGTTGCTGTTTCATTCTAAACGAGTTCCTCAACCATTCTGTGTCCCCATTGCTTTCTGTGCCAAACGCAGAAAATACATCCTTTTGAGAATGAAATGAGGGAGTGCCTGGCGTATGGCCCTTCCTCTTCTCAGTTGTCTTCCTCATGTCATTCTGTCTGTCTTTGCAGGAATTCTTCTTCACTCCATTTGCAGCCAGAGGAAGGGTTTTCCTGAAGTGGGGAAGAGAGGGCAACATCTCCAAGACCTCAGAGAACCCTCAGCCACGGCTGAAGGGCCCAGATTGCCTCAGCACCCAGGACTGTCCTCAGGATCAGAAAGAGAGAGGCAAGACGGGGGCTGACCTGAACTGTTGAAGATGTGTATGTGCTGGAGGGCAGGGGACAGGTGCCCACACATCCACATGGCGAAATGTGTTGGAATCTGTTACCTGGTGTGCACCAGGCTATGTTTAGTAATCACTGTCTCGGGAAGCAGGGAGGTTTTCGGTGGAGACCAGAAGTTCAGTGTCCTGTGTTGAGTTTGCACTTGCAGTTGGAGATGGTAGCCTGTTAATTTCTAGGATGTGCTAGTTGAGAGGGTCTGTTTCCTCCCAAGTCCTGCCTGGACATCCCAGGGAAGTCTAAACGTCAGAAGGGAGTTGGGCAGCACAGTCCAGGGATTCTATTCCTTCAAACCAGTGTGAGAAGGGAGAGGGAGCCAGGGGCTCTTTGTGGACTAGACAGGTTGGAATCCAGGCTCATACCCTGCAGGGGCCTTGAGCAGGGACTTCATCTTTATATGCCTCAGGGCCCTTATGGGCACCTCCCTCTTAGGGCCCTTGTGAGGCTCAAATAAAACCTCAACTGGTGGGCCATTCTGTTGGCCTCGTCCATTAGGTGGCAGCCTTGCTCTTCAGTCCACAGTCATTTTGGGAAGCTCTTGCAGTCATCTGGGGGGATTCCTGGCCGAGGCCCCCAAGAGGCAAGGGAAAGGTTAGCAAACACTTCCCACCCCACTGGCCCTCAAGCCCCCCTGCCTGGTGAGTCAGCAGGTAGTCCACTTACACGGAGGGACCCAATGAAGCCTGGCCTCTGATTCTGGGAGGTGGCAAGGATAGGGTTGCTGGTTGTTATATTGAGACCAATCGGTACTTGTCCCTCAGAGGTCCACAGATGGAACGGAGGCCACAGGTATAAGTAGTTTAGAATTGTCCAGGCTGCACATTGGAACCACGTGGCAAGCTTTAAGAATCAAGTGACACTGGGAGATCCCTACAGTCCGATGTAATTGGTCGGTGCAGCTGGGCATCAGGATTTGTAAAGCCTCCCCCTCCGCCCACCACAGGTGTTCTGTGCAGCCCAGGCTGAGAACCTGGAGCAGCGTTTGTCAGTCTCAGTGCTGTTAACATTCTGGGCTGGATGATTCTCTGTTGTGGGGACTGTCCTGTGCATTGTAGGATGTTTAGCAGCACCACTGGCCTCTTACCTACCAGATGCCAGTAGCAGCCCCCTTCCTCCAGTTGTGACGACCAAAAATCTCTCTAGACATTGCCATATTTCCCTGGAGGGGGACGTGGGGGAGCCACCCCTAGTTGAGAACCACTGCTCTGGAGTGTGGATCTAGAGGACAGCAACCCTAAATTCAAACCCTGATTGCTGTTGACCCTGGGCACATTCTTTATTTGCCTGGGCCTCAGCCCCTCCCCTTTCTGGATTGCTAGGAGGATTCAGAGGACACTAGGAACTCGGTGCCCCACGTATAGTAGGTGCTTAGTAAATAGTACTGCCCTTTCTCTGTGGACTGCATTTACCTTGGAATTTTATGATGATGCCAATTTAGAAAGACATTTGAATTTGTTTAAAAAGGGCCTGAGATTGCTTTATGGTCAAAGCTGATCCTCTCAAGAAAGGAAGAAACTCCTTCCTAAACCCCACAGAGCACCACTTTATTGGCACTCTCCCTCCTCCCTTGAACTGTCTGTCCCCATCTGGCACACAGGCTCTGACCTCTGCTGGCACACGTCAACCTTGCGTATACTACCTGTTTCCTTCCTCCCTGCTGTGTTCCTGGCCAAGAGCCTCCTGTGGCTTTGCACCTTGGCTGCACTGTAGAGTCATGGGATCGGGGAAGGGGAATAAATTTTAATATTCCAGATGCCCAGAGGCACCAGACTGATGAAATCAGAATCTCTGAGGAGCAAGCCAGGTACACGCATTTCTTACAGCTCCCTGCTAGCGTGCAGCCAGGTTTGAGAATCACTGTTCCTCCAGCCACCCGCTCATATCCAAGAAACCTCTGCCAAATCACACCATGCTTTGGAGTGCATGTCTGGAAGCACACACCAGGCAACCTTTCATCTGTCTCTGAGGTTCTTTAGAAGATTCTGTCTCCATGACTTCCTACCTAGATGGCTTCTCAGTCTTCACCCCTGTAAAACGGGAATGGCACCATCCACACCTGCTCCAGCTGCCTCCTCCCCAGCAGAGATGTAAAATAAGATGAGAGCGAGTCAGTAAAACATGTTTTTGGCCAGCGTTGATCAGTGATTAGAGTGTTGGCCTGCTCACTCAAGGATTTCAGTGGGTTGTGGGTTTGCTCCCCACCCCCGGTTAGGGCACGTGCTGGAGGCAACCAGTCAACATGTCTCTCACACCAGTGTTTCTCTTTCTCTCCCCCCCTCCCTTCCACTCTCTCTGAAAAGCAATGGGAAAAATATCTTAGGGTGAGGGTTAACAACAGATAAAGTGTTCTGTAAACTAAAGAACTATGCACCCAGGACTGGCACACAACAATCCTGTTGTGATGGTTCACCTTATATGTCAACTTGCCTGGGCCATTTGTCAAACGTTCTGGGTGTGTCCGTGAGGGTGGTTTTGGGTGAGACTAACATTTAAATTGGTAGACTGAGTAAAGCAGATTGCTCTTCCTAATGTGGATGCACCTGATCCGATCAGTTGAAGGCCTAAATAGGACAAAAAGCCTGACCCTCCCACGAGTAAGAGAACTCTTCCTGGGTTTTTTTTGGAACTGAAAACATGGGCTCTTCTGGAGTCTTGAGCCCGCTGGCCTACAGATGGGAATGACATCATTGGCCTCCAGTACGAGACTCACCCTGCAGAACTTGGGGTGCCAGCCCCCATGATTACATGAGCCAATTCTCTATCCTATATAATAAAAGGCTAATATGCAAATTGACCCCTTGGGAATTCCATCGGGAGTTGGACCGCTCACTATGATGTGTGCTGACCACCAGAGGGCGGCGCAGAACGAAGGAAGGCTCTGATTGGCCCTGATTGCTGGCTAGGCCTAGGGACCCTACCCATGCACAAATTTCGTGCACCAGGCCTCTAGTAATAAATAGGTAAGTGTGTGTGTCTCTTATTGGTTCTGTTTCTCTGGAGAACCAAGACTAACAGACTTGATGAAAATAAACTCATGTGTTCTGGAGTTCCTTCCATGTAGGGGCTCAGAAGTTGGGGTTGGGGGTATTCAGGGTCCAGAGCCCCTAGTCCTGCCCATGGACTCCTCTGGTATCTGGAACCCAATCTGATCTGCTTGGGGCATGCTGTTTATCAGCTTTCTGGTCCCTGTGGTCTGGGCCATCAAGAGGGGTCACTCTCCTGGGCCAAGCACAGGGGGCTCCTCCCTGCTTTTTCCCCCAGGCAGCAGGCTGGCTGGCCTCTGGAAAGATAGGTTCACTTGGACCAGAAGGAATTGAGGCTGTAATTTCCTGCCATGCACAGCCAGGATGTAGTCATGTCATGCAAACCAGGCATTCTCAAGTCAGAGAAAGCCCAGGATGAGGTCTGCTTGTCCTTGCAGTGGCCTCTGGTACCTGACACATGACACTGTTCATCAACTGTGATACATACACGAGGTCCGGTGCCTGTGGCAGGAAGTGAAGGTGCTGGATGTGGGTCCATCCCCCGGAGGGCAGGGTGGGGACGAAGCCACAGGAGGCCAGTGCAATTTGCTGAGTCCCAACTCTGCCTTGCTGCTGGTGTAAATGTGAACATGTCCCTTCACTTTTCCAAGTCTTATTTCCCTCATCAATAAAATGGGGAAAACCATGGTGTCTACTTCCGAGGAGCTTGCTGCAGATGAAATGAGATGATTCGTGCCTGGAGGATGGTGCCTTCACAGCATCCAGGGGCAGACCCAGAGGTCAGGGCGCTGGGTTCTTCTCCCCTACCAAACCAGCCTCAGTTTCCCCAGAGGCTCTAGGGTCTCCTTCAGCTGCAACACACAGTGATTCACCTCTGAAAACCGCCAGAGCGAGTTGGAGAGGGGAGGGGCTCAAATGGCATTTGCAGGATCCTCCTTGTCTGGGTTCCACAGTCAAGAGGGGGAGGGTCCCGAAGGGTTGGAGGCCGACAGAATTTCCAGAGTAGCTGAGTTGTGGCCAACACCTCTGCTTCCTTCGAGGGCTGGACTTTTCTTTTGGCAGAAGGCTAAATTGCCAGGTTCTGCCTCCAGGCTGGGGTCCTAAATTAGATACCCCTTCTCCCTTCCCCTCTCCCCCCCCCCCCCACACACACTCCTACAGACGCCAGGGGGGCCTCACAGTTTGTAAATGTAATCAACCTTGAGGTCTCTGTCTTCCACAGGTGCAATTAGCATGCCCATCTGCTAATCCCTGATAAATGATGTTTACAAACATGGGGCTCCACTCAGAGCTGCTCAGCCCCTCCCTCCCAGGCCAGGAGGCCGGGGTCTTCCTAGCACACTCTCCCCCTTGCCTCTGCCCCCCACTGCTACTTCAGTCTTCTCTAGCCAGCATCTCTCTCCATCCCCTTCCCAGCAGTGGGCAGAGCTGGAGTCCCTTCCTTAGGGCCCCTGCCCCACTGTCATTGCACACTCGTGGGAAGAAGATGAAGAGAGCACACAGGGAGCCTGGGAGGAGGATGGTAGAGCTAGGATCCTGCTCCCCCCACTTCCCGGGTCTGAACGTTCAGGACTCGTGGTGGGCTGGGTGTGCTTCCTTTATTCACCGCGTCAGCTGCAACCCGGGTGGAGGTGTGGGCCCACGCCTAGTGCCCCCAGGGTGGGCTCCTGGACCTGTCCCCAGATGGGAATGTTCCCACCCCACCCACCTTCTGTTGAGGACCTGGGTGGGCCCATGTCACAAGCACAGTAGCAAAAGCATTAACACAGACTTCTGAGTTGAATAGTCCTGGGTCCAAATGTTAGCTCTTCCTCAGGCCACTTGACCTGATTGAGCCTCAGTGTCTTCACCTGTAAAATGGAGACATGACATCACAGTGCCTGGGACATAGAAGGTGCTCAATAAATGTGCGTTGTTTGCTGTGAACATGATGAGGAAAAGAGGCATCTGAAACTACAAAGATGCCCAGAGATTTC